TCGCAGAGAGGACAAGATGAGGTACGCTGGTATGGACGCCATTCTACGCTGTGCTACATTGACCACCATTTTAGCACAGCTCGATTGCAAGCACGACCACAGAACTCCGTGCTCCCACGTTTTTCGTGTCACCAGGCGGGATCGAGCTCCACGCGGCCGTTCTGCCTCTGGATGATGCGGGGGGATTCCTCCTCGTCGACTTGTTCTGCCGAAATCCCAACCCCGTCTTCCTGTTGCTTGAAAGGGTGGACGACTCGAAGCTCAATGCTCACGCTGCTCCGCTATACCAGCCCACAGAGAGACCCGTTGTGTCGCTGCGGGAATCAAGCACGGCGATCGAATCAGATGGCTGGAAGATGACCGATCTCCGCGTTGTAGCCCTCCTGCCGTACACCGGTGACCTCTCCGAGGGCGAAAGCGCAGGGATGGAGTCGCTGAGGCGCTTCTGCGAATCCACCACTACCGGCTCCCCCTTTCACCTTGTCTTTTGCGACCTCCTCCAGCTCCAGAAAGATAACATGGACTTCGTCAGTGGCAGAAGCACCCTGCCGTCGCCTTCTTCTACCGAAGACGTCTCCCTTTTTTTTACTCACACCTACTATCCTCCAACGAGGCTCGTAGTCGTTATTGGGACATGCTCTCGTACCGAGTCCGCCATCGACAACCACCTACGCTCATCCAGGCCAACCTCTACATCGTCCCGGATCGCCACGGAGACGCCAGGTCCGGGCGTACCACGCCGACAACATTTCTGCATCCTTCGTTGGTCCGACAGCGATGAAGAAGCCACGGCCGCTGCGGCTGCACATTCGTGCGAAACGGATCATATCGACATGGACGGACCATGGTCAGTGGAGCGCCGAGCGCAGGTGACAGATATTTTAGGGAATATACGGGAAGTCGTGTTATCGTTCTCTTCTAGTCCGTTGGGTAGAGAAACGCTGCAAGTGAAATTCCGGCTTGAACGAGTCAGGAGGTTTATATACTATAGATGAAGAAATTGATTTGTGTACAGCTTCAGGTCTGGTGGTACGAGACAGAGCACGGCCGATTGTAAACATCACCGCACATTTCCAGAGCCAACCAACAGATCCATCTATCGACAGCACCGCGCATGGAACGGTCGTGACAATGCTGTTGCACGCTGATGTGGCGCCAACTCTGGCGTAGACTCGGTGGCAGAGTTGAGGGCGAGGGAGCGATCTGGCGTAACCGCGAGGCTCGGGACATTGGGTGAGGTGAAAAAGAAGCAAGATACGACACCCCGCGTGGAGGCCGAACGCGGGGCGCCCGAAGTGGACGGGAGAATAGACGCGGGGAAGATGAGGTCGCACACACGGGCTGGCGAGATGATGAAGGATGCGCGCGAGGGCGAAAGTCAGGATGGGGTCGTGGGCGTGGGCGTGGGCGAGGTCAAGGTGTAGCGAGAAGAAGTCGAGGCGAAGCTGGATGAGCACACCGCACACCCGGGAATAGAAAGTTGACTCATAGCCTACACACATACAGTGCGCGCGGCGCGAGGGCGTATCTAGGAGAAGATACTGTACCGAAGCCAATTGTAAATCCGTGACGCGGGAGACACTGCGGAAGAAGCGAGAGAGAGCGTGGATATAGACGGAGGTGGACCAAAACAGAGAGAAATGACAAGGGGACGAAGAAGGTGGATATTCCGGATCGTTTTATAGGCAATAAAGTGATAAAAGGACGTACGATGACGGCTACGTGGTACCATTTCGAGAGGTAGAGGGCGCCGCGCCGCGGGTAGTGGTGATCGAGTGCGCGCGGTGTAGACCGCGAGAGTGCACGGAGGACCCTGCGGTGCGTTCACATGCGTCGCGTCTTGACAGCTCCATGAGCTATGCGTACGCAATATTCATAAGATATCTGCTTGCGGGTCCCGATATGTGCGCGAGGCGGAATAGACGAGATGCGCGAAGACGAGGACCGAACGCGGAGATGATCGCGCGGGCGTTAGTCTGGTCGAAGGTGTTGTGTTCGTGCGTCTGCACCGTACGGCGACGGCGCGTGGATATGCCAGTTATACGACGGAGGTGTGATGGTCAGTACAAAACAAGTCCAATGATTTCCAGTGCACTCACTTACAACCCAAGCAGCACTCAGGGACGCGCGCACTGAGAATCGTATTCTCAAGAGTGGATGACCCCGCTGTGCGAGTGCTGTTGTCAGTTCTCCATCTGTATCGCTATAATCTGCGTATTCTCACCATTGTAGTAGTATACCCGGCCTCCTGATCTTCTATTAACACGGGCACGTCCGCTTCAAAGAGATCGAGAGCACGCGGCTGCCGGCGCGAGCGCGCGATGCGCCATCCACTGTCTTCTCTGCGCACAAGCTGGTCGCTTGGGGCCTATGCAACGGGATTAGCGGTGAGCGCACGCGCGATATCCCATCTTACCCCAACGCGTGTGCTATGAACCCAATGCTCACACCTCCCAGTTCGTCGTACGTCTCTCCTTGTCTGTTCCATGGCATTGTCCCCTGGTGCTGATGAAACGCTCACGTCTACTGCGCACCAGCAATGATGAAAGGTACCGTGCTCGTCCAAACCCGTACCCGCGGACGAGGGTCAGGGTACGTCGCAGGTCGGGTAAGGGCATGCTCCATTTGCCCATGCCCGACCCGTGCCATTCCCTAGGCCGCATGATCACACCGGAGTAGGTGCGCACCAGGGTAGCTTTGATCTCGATGCGCTCTGTCGAGTCTGAGGTGGCGTTGGGTTGGGTGAGAAGCACAACCAGGCAGAGGTCTTACGCAACGGTGGCGTCACGGATGTCGAGGAGGGCGAAGGGGCCGGCGTGTTCTTTGGTCGTTGCCGGGACGCTGCTCCGAAGAGGAGACGGTCTGTAGATAGGTCAGTGCACTGTACCAAAACGAGGGTATGTCGGAGTACGTACCATCTGTAACACCTCCAAAGAAGAACGCAAGCTCGGAGAGGCGGTCCGCGGGCAAACTCGCGATGTCCAACATCAAACAAATTGTCCGTCCCAGTCTATCAATATCGCGTGTCAGTTACAGGACCACCTCCTTCCAGATGCGAGGACGCTCGTCTGAAGACGCGCCCTGCCTGAAGACTGGGTGTCAGCACGTATCAATCCTCCCGCATCCTTATTCAACCGCATATACTCACCATTGAGTATAGATCAGAAGGGCACGCGTCCAGATCAGACGCCGCAGTGACGTCACCCCGTTTCCCAGCTCGAATCTGTGTCAAGCACTGATTAGGGAAACGAGCGCAGAACATACTTGGATAGCGCGAAGGGTGTGGAGAGAGATCCGGCGACATAGACGGGGGATTCCTAAGAGAATTTGAATAAACGGCATGAGGTGGAGTCGGAGTGAGCCGCCCGAGGGATCGTGGATGACATCGATCGCTGTCAAGAGCCAGGAAGCATGCGATAGGGCAGCTTGTACGGCGTCGGGTGCCACGGGAGAATGCGAGGGAAGTCGTCGAGCGCGACGACGTCCGCGCGCGCCGGCGGCATCGACGGCGATTACAGCTCGAGCGTGAGCATGCGGAGGGCCGGGCAGACGGCCTCCTCCGCGTCCGGCTCAGCTCGCGCCGCGCGCAGGCATGCAACGGTGGCCGCACCCGCTCGCAGTCATCACGAAGAGAGCACGGTGAGAGCTTCGAGCGCTGTGCTCTAGGGGTGTGGCGAACGCGAGCTCGGCGTTGGTCTAGAGGCAGAGGCGCAGCGCGAGCGCGGAGGGAGGCCGCGCTCGAGCCAGCGCGCGGGGAAGGCGTGCGTGTCGGGTGTGCGGTCGCGGCGGACTTGTAAAGGTGGAGGTGACGACGAGAGTGAGGTCGTCATGCAATGCGTCGAGGCTCACGCTCGTGGGCGCGGGAGGCGTGTTGAGACAGTGCTGGAGGGCTTGGGAGCGGCTGTATGTGGCCGGCGGCTGGGAGGCGGAGGGCGTCGACGAGGGCGCGCACGGCGATCCATTAGGGGCTGTGCGTGACGACGGTGGTGCGCTCGGCGGGAAGATGGACGGTCGGGAGGAACGTCGAGGGGAACGTCTGTTCCCATGTGTTAGCGATTAAGAGTTTGGAGCCGTGGAGGACGGAGAGGCCTACGCGCGACGGAAAGTAAAAGATGGGATCTAGGTCGCGTTCTGTACTCGTGGCCGCAATCCTATACAGACTGGCCCGCGCGGGACGTCGTCGTGGACTGACGGGCTCAGAGGGCGGCCGCTCCGGAAGGTTTGTCCGCACCGCGCTACGGCCGTGCTCGCACACGTTTTGGGTACTTACCGCCAGCATCGGAACTCAGCGGACGCCACCGCTTTCGTGTTCGAGGTGTGTGCTCGAGTGAAGCAGCTCGGTCAGCCAGCTGCTGTCGGGGGTTGTGGCTCGTGCGGCTCGTGTGGTCCTGCGGCCTGAGCTGGGCAGCGTGCGGCCGAATTCAAGTCATTGTCCTGTCATGGCTTACGTTGGAGGTGTCGCGCTTCATGCGGCGGCCCCATCTGAGGCATGGCCATTGGGGTGAGGGCGGCTGCGCTTGTCTCTGTAAACACCCAGGGTACCTGAACGAGGAGGGGGGACGTCAGCGATCTAAAACAAGTCCAGAAAAAAGGCCACAAGAATGTTGGCACGAATATTTATGCATGTTCGCCATCGACATAGAAGCGCACCTTGGCCCATGAACAAGTTGAGAGATGTGGCTTGCACACAGCGACGGATCTCGCTTACGTCAGCTCTCACGCGCGTTGGCGCCGTGTTCTCTCGTCTCCGAGTCTGCCTGCAGACTAGTTCGTCCACTGCCTCCTTCCTCTCACCATCCACATCTATCCTGCCCTGCGGAACTCTCACTAAGACGCGCCTTGCTCTTGACCCTCCCCCCATTTCACTCTCTCCGAAGTCATGAGATCATGCTGCAAGTTTGGCACATTTCTCGCGGGGTACGGAGTGCCGAGACGGGCCTTCCTGTGAACTGAAGGGGGATTGGTACGCAGCTATCCATGCTCCCTGAGTCCACGTCGCGATGCCTGGTCTCACACCTTACCCGCCTTTCCCTCAGGACGTCTCCACCAGCCCCCTCTTCGTGATTGACTATGAGCTTATCAAAGCTGGAGATGCGGGCGAGATTGAGAGGCTCAGACTGGAGGGCTGCGACGGAGATGGGGTTTTGGCAGTGGGTGACTGCGCAGTGCTTCAGTGAACATTACGACTAACCGGAAATCCGTTCCATGCCTCACGAACCACGAGGAAGCGGAAGGGATGTTTGCTATGGGCGAGAAGGCGATCGTTACCCTCGAAGAGAAGCTCCTTTTTGAGCAGGGAGACCACGGAGTTTCGTTTGGGTACGTTCTCTCGAATCTCTTGCATTTGCGCTCTCCACCGACCTCCGCATCGGCACAGCTACAAGGCCGACAAAGGCACGCGCGACGTTCCTGAGTTTGTCAACAAATCCAAGGACGACGCGCTCGCCTGGCCAGCCGTTGCGCGCCGCACGTACTCCTCCGCCGTCAACGCGCGGATGGAGTCCACCATCGCGCCGTTCGTGAAGAAGTCTCTCGCGATCAGCAACCACCTCATCGGCGTCCTCAACGACACGCTCGGGCTCCCTCGGGTCTCTGCACAAGGTCGAGGAGTTCAGCGGATGTACGGCGCGGTTCATCAGGGTGCCGCCACTGGAGGAGAAGACGTTCCTGGCGGCGCACACGGACTCTGGGTCCTTGGTGAGTGATTCACCGTGTGCCCCCTCGCGTTGTACCAACGTCCCTCTCCTTAGTCGTTCCTGCACAACCACCTCTGATCAGTGGTTCTACGTGAAGGTCGGCGATCCTTCTCTATCTGCCGCGCTCATGCTCACGCAGTCGTCCGTCGCTCAGCCCCTGCCCGGACACGCGACCTGCAACATTGGCGACGCGCTCAACATCGTCTCCGGCGGCATCCTGCGCTCCAACATCCATCGCGTCGTGTGAGTTTGTCCACGACATTCCCATTTGATACTCCGCGGCTCACCCCCTTCCCAGCAGTTCCCAGCCCGCCTCCGCGGGAGCAAGCCCAGTACGAACGGCACTCGGTCGTGTTCTTCACCCGCCCGAACGACGTCGTCGAGCTGCGGGTTCTGTCCGGGCAGAGCGAGCGCATCGCTGCGGCGGTCGCCTACGCGCCCCCGGGGAAGTACGCCCCTGGTGTGACGGCGATGGAGTGGCTGGTGAGGAGGGTCAAGTCGCAGCGGGTGACAAACTACAAGGTATGTCCTGTCCCGCCGACGTGCGATGTTGCGAAGGGCTGATGAACCCGGTAGGATCCGGATAGCTGGACGGATAGGCGGGGTACCGAGGACACGGCGATTCCGAGCCAGGGAAAGATCTGAATAGCTTCGGATAACGTTTATGTACTATGTACAGTCGTAGCTCTCGATGAATACATGCGTTGCGAACACCCCGATTGCGCTGTCTGCGGACGGGGATCAAGCCGACCGTTTCTGGACAGTCGAAGTCTGGGCCTCAGTTGGCGTACCCAACGAGCACGCTCGGCATGAACGACAACCCAGATATTTATTTTGCGCATGGTAGTACAGCAAGACGTAGACCCACACGTAACATCGTATGCATGTCACCAACATGCGTGACACGAGACGGAAGGTCGACGGACATCACCGTCCCTACCCTCACGACTCGTCCTGTACAGCTCCCTCGCTGACAACCTCCCTAGCTTCATGCTCCGTGCCACGCGGTTCTGCAGAAAGCCCCTCCCTGCAAACGCGCGAAATCAGCCCAACATCCGCTTACAACGATCGATCTACTCACCCCACCGCCTCCGTAGCCCGGTGCCTGGGACTTCCCATCCTGTCCGCGTACAGCTCGAACTCCGTGCACTTCGGTCCGCGCTGCACCCGCTCGTTCGCGCGCCCGCGTACCCCGCTGAGCAGAACGAAGACCGTCTGCAGGGTGGGGCATACGACGCACAGCCGGTGCGCGAACGCGTCCAGGTCGAGGGCGCGCATGAACGCCTCGGCCGCGCATGGGGGGTCCGCGAGGAGATGGCACAAGACGCTGACGGCGAGCACCCGGAGCGCGGGGAGGCTCCCGACGGCGGCGACGAGGCCGTCCTGCGGAGCAACAGAAAATGTGCCTCGTTCGACGATTGGACCTCCAAGCGCCAGGGGGTCCGGGGACAAGGGTGCTTCGTCCTGCGGCGGTTATAACCACATTTCTCGCTGACGGCGCGAGCGGTGTTGACGAGGAACGGGGACCTGAGCTCGTCGATGACAATTCCAGGCCGTTGACGCACAAGATCCCCGTTCTTCGGATGACGGAGCTCGGGAGGCCATCCGACGCGCTCGTAGCTGGCGAGCTTGACCGTGCGCACGACGAGGAGGTTCGTGCATTAATCCCATTGCTCGGACCCACGGACCCGCTGCTGTTGCCACCACTCGAACACTGCAAGGCAGAATGCGGCAACTTGTGCGCGGGGGGCTGCCGGTGACACGCCCACCGCCGCGCGACGGTCCTCCTCCACGAGCTCGGACGAAGCCTACAGTATCGTGGGTGGAACCGTGTCGGACAAGCGCGGCAGCGTGAGGGACTTGGAGGCGACAGGGGCCGGACGGGAGTGGGCGTCGACATCCATTGCGTCCGGGGTGAAGCCGGCGACAGGGCCATCGACCTCACAGTGGCCGAAACAGACCGGAACCGTGGGCTGTGCGTCGTCCTTCGTCGGGGGATCGACCTCCATCGCGTCGGTGGGGGCCTCGCTGAGAACGCTGGTGCGTCTGCGGTACTCGTCGGACACACCTGAGCGGCCATGGAGCCGAGTCCTCGACCTGGCCCTCCTTGCGCTTCTGCATCTTGTGGTGGACGGCGTCGATGACGATGAATACGCCGCTCCGCCTGAGTCCGGTTGAGTGGTGGTGGTGCACGGGGGTGTCGTCCTTCGCAAGCATCGCAACCCCAGTAGTAGCCTCGACTTCTTCCGCGATACAGTCCTTGTTCGAGACGATCGTCTTGCCATGTGCACGTGGGAGGCTCCTTTTCTCGTGGGTTTGACCGGCCGAAAAGGCATGTTCGACGGTGTTGCTGTGGGACAGAGGCCGAGTAGCGGAAGGCAATGAAGATCTCCCCAAGAGCGGGCGAGGATAAGACCCCGGAGCAGCCGCAAACGCGAGAAGTTACGATTGCGGAGAGAGCATCCTGCGATATCGATGATCCGTGCTCGAGCTGCCAATAGGGTCCTCCGTGCGAGTCGTCGGTCCACTGCTGTCAAGAAAGTTGGACATCTGTTATCTTCGATATATTAGAAAGTGCATGGAAAATCAAAAAAGCGAAACAACGCACCGCGGCCTGGTTGCAAGCAGTATTGTCCCCGTGATAGACCAGCACTCGAACCGGGGAGGCAAGAAGCTATAGGTGGGAACGCGTGAAACACATCGTTGTCCCAGCGGGCTGGAATACGTCAGCACGAGTGAATCCATGTAATCGTAACACAATACACACCTCGGTTGCGCGAAGTTGAAGCACGACAAGCCCTTCTACTAACTTTGACTGCCGTTCCCTCTTCAGGTTGAGCCGTCGAGGGAGGGGTTCCCAAGCGACGTACACGTTGAACAGGTCGACGCTCTTGGGTGGTAACAACGTCTTGTATTTCGATGATTGAACATGCGCCTCGACGACTGACATCGCCTGCCGACGGTGACCAAACTATGAATGAGGGAGAGGGCGCACGTCTGAGAGGACGCGGCGAATGCGACGGTAAGCAATCGACATCAACCACAGGGCAGGGTAGGCGTTGATCGCGGTGTGGGGAGAGGGCGCAGCTGTGGACTCACCCTTGGCCTCCGCCACCGTCGACCGTACGCTCTCGCTCGAAATTCCCAGCCCGTCGTATGAGTGCGGAGAGTGGGTGTTCACCGACGAGGCGGCCGACAGTCCTGAGCGGCACCGTAGGTCAGAGGGACCCTGGCAAAGAATGAAGACACTGGCAGATACGTACCGAGCTAGATTCGATGACAGGTGGCGAAGGAGCCGATGCTGTCCAGAGCCAGCGAGATGGCTAGACCGCCTGTTCAGTAGCTGTGGACGCAACGATACGCAGACTGCCAAAAGAACGCACCCTTTGAAGGCGACTCATGCTGGTCTCACTTGACCGCTTGACCACGGGAGGACCGCTGAGAAGAAACAAGAGCGTGTCGCCCGCGTCCAGGGAAGAGGCGCGAGGCTTGAGGAAATGTGGACGAAGAGCAGGAGACTCGAGAGAGCGAAGCACCTGTGCCTCCGGCGTCCGGGTGTTCCGGCGTCCGGAGTTCGCCGGTCCGCAGGGCCCAAACAGGCACCCCCGAAGATCCGCGTCGGCGCCGACTCCGAAGACCACACCTTCTGGTCGCCCACGATGGCCGTGTCCGAGGCTGAGTTCCCTCACCCCAGCACGATCATCCCCTGCCCCGAGGCGACGAAGGTCACAGTCGGCGACAAGTACTACATTCTCTCGCACTGACTACCCCGCCGCGGGACGCCCATAACATGGGGCGTCAACCTCGGGGCGGACAACGCGACGAACGCGGTGAACATGGTCAAGGCGACCGTCAGGGCGTTCAAGAGCACGGTCGCGAAAGCGTCGGGCGTCGTCCTGGACTGGATTGCTATCGCAGGTGCCCCAGCCGACGCGGCGAGCATTCGGGACAAGCACGTCGCTGCGGGGCGCAGCATTCGCGCAGCAGCAGTTCAAACTACGCGCGATCTATGATATTGATCGGGATCCTGGACAGCAATCCGGAGAGGGCAATTTCGATGTGCGTACAGATGTTTTTGCACGCATCTAGTCGGCTCACGCGCGCGAAATAGCATCTCGCAGCACCAGTATTCGGCTGCGTTCTGTGACGGCGGCGACTTCCTGCCCACGTCGTTCATGAGCAATGCCCATGTTCGAGGGAACCTGTCGCTTTTTGTACCGGACATCGAGGCAACCCTCGCTCGCGGTTTGCCGTACATTCTTGGGTAAGTCCATTGCACTCGCCACTCGCGACGAGCGCTGAACGGCTGCATCGCAGGGAGACCAACAGCGTCGCATGCCATGGCGCGCCCGGGGTCAGCAACACCGCCGGCGCCGCGTTGTGGGCGGCCGACTACACTCTCCAAGCAGCCATGCTGAGCATCGCCGATGTCTTCTACCACGAAGGCATCGGCTACAAGTAGTACAACTTCGTACGCATCCTCTCTGCCAGCGTACCGCCGACCGGCTCTCCGCTCACCTCGCACCCCAGCTTCAGCCGGTCGCGCTCAACCGGTCCATCGTCAACGGCTCCGCGCTCGACGCGCCGCTCCCGCCACACATCGAGCCGATCTATTATGGGGCATGGCGGTCAACGCCTTCGTCGGCCGCAGCGGGAACGCGCGCGTCGTCGAGCTCGACGTCGGCGACAACAACGTCGCGTGCTACGTGGCATACGAGCACGGCCGCCTCTTCCGCGCCGTGTTCGTCAAGCTGCATGCGTGGCTCGCGTCGTCCACCGGGGCGCGCCCGAGCGTCCACATCGACCTCGGCTTCGCGCGCGGCGTGGGCGCAGCGGGGAACGCGTTCTGGCACGGGGGCGGGAAGGCGCGCGCGAAGCAGCTCGTCATCGGGCACGTGGACGACACCGAGGGCCTGACGTGGGCGGGGCAGAGCTACGAAGACAGCGGGGACGTGTCGCCGACGGGGCGGATGATAAACAAGGAGGTCGTGCTGAACAAGGGGTTGGATTTGCGCTCGACGGAGGCGGTCTTGTTGTTCTGATTGGGGATGGAGACGATCAGAGTGCTGTCCACGAAGTAACAAGGTACTCGGATCGATAGGTGTATCATTACATGTGCATTCAGCGCTCACTGGCTACACCATAATATGCTACTCTGGGCGTGTAGCAATCTGGGAGAACTAGAGTGCGTAATTTGACTAAGCCTGCGATATCAGCGAAGGCTATCTCCAGGTTCCGATACGATCCGCAGCGCCATCTTCAACGTCTCCCCGGTCCTGCTCAGCGAACTCGTCGTGAACGACACGTCGAGCGCCCCTCGGCTGGGCCCCAGTGAGACCGTCCGCGTCCACCGCGTCCACCCGCGGATGTGGTCCCTCGCGCAGTCGTGCACGTCCGTCAACACCCCGTTGAACGAGTCGTCGTGAACGTACACGTGGGCGAAGTGGGCGCCGGGTCGGCCCCCCGGGTCTCCAGCGCGCGATCCTGCGGGTGGGGCAGGACTGCGGGTGCCAGACGATGGGGCGTGCCCACGGGCACCTAGAGAGCGAGGTGGATGGCCGGCAAGAAGAATGTCGTCTCGATCCGGGCTCTCGGGCAGCGTGCAACGACCGAGGACGAGGTCGACGCGGGCTATGTGCCTGGACACCGCCCCGTCGACTTTCCTGGACTCGACGATCAAGAAACGCAGCGAGAGCGAGTCGGCGGGGCTCCAGGGGACGGGAGGTATGACGCTTTCGCTGTCGTATAGATAAAACTCGGGCAGGCTGGCCAGGTTGGGGAAGGAGAGCTGGAACGGCGACCCGATCGTTGTAGCTTCACAGAAGTGGCGGAGGTGCTTCAGGCTGGGAGGAACGGAGAGTGGGTCTGCGGAGTACGGGGGCCGTGTGGCGACGTGGATCTCCGACATCGTCCAGTGGGAATCGGGTGGAAGGCTGACGGAAAAGGAGACGGCGCGGATGTTGCGCTCGCCGGGTTTCCTAGATGTGATATAGCCCCCGATGATATAAAGCGGATGCCCATGGACGGAGTGGTCTTGGTGCCGCTGGAGAAGAAGGTAGCAAGGCTGGCGACGAGACTCCCCGCCGACCACCACGATGTCTGTGCAGAACAGATTGAGGAGAAGGAAGGTCCTTGCTGCATCCAAATAGATCACTGGCGCCGTTAAGAGCATCCCGGATGGCGTGTTGGCGAACGTGGGAGGCCGCAAGGCATGAGAGGTCCATGCCTTCATCTTCCCAGCCAGTGGGCCGAGCGATGCGATGCGAGCCTATAGGGATGGGTCAGCGGATCGCGTCTACGGGACGGCATATCAACGAACCGTGAATGTTTTCTTCCAGCTTCAGGGCCGAGTCGCTGGTTCTTCGTATCGCATGTTCCCCTGCCCCGAGTATGCATAGGCGGAATGAGCGAAAAGGTAGTGATACTGGCCCATGTCGAACGTCCACAGAGATTCTCGGAGACTCACGGTGAGCCTATGGAGGGTTGTGAATACGGCTGGGCTACTCCCGCTCCAACCGAAAAGAGAAACATCGCCGGATGTTCTGAGTATCTCCTCCCGCAGCCTGTATAATGCGTTCTGACCTTCGCCGTCCAGCGTCGGAAGGTTGACGCCGAAGAGCCCAAACAGACAGTAGGCCGCGTCTTCGGTCCTCGTCGTCTCCCGCTTCGACGCCCATGACATGCGCGCAGCCACGCTCATGTCGGTGAAGTCCTTCTCCAGTCGAACGACCTCGGAAGGGATGCCCGTGATGTCCTGTAGCAGGTCTGCGAATTCAAACTTCGTCCCGAGCGGGGTCCACTCCTTGGAGAAGAAGACGACGACGCGCGATGCGAGCAGTTCTTGGGGCGTCCACCCGCGCCGGTGCCATCTGGAAAGCGAGAAGGCCGTCGTAATACCGCGTGAAGTTGGATCGTCTTCAACGGAGACATCGTTGAGGTAGACGTAGCAGACGCCGGAGAGCGCATAGTAGCGGAACATGGAGTTGATGGCCTCGGTGAGCTCGGCGCTGCTCGTCTTGTCGATGCAACACGTGTCCGCCCACGCCCACTCGTAACCGTCGCGTTCGGCAAGAGTGAGGAAACCGCGGATTTTGGGCAATATGAGATCGCGGGGAGATGATAGGGCGTGTTGGTGAGTGGACGTTCGAGTAGTTACTGAAGTTCCTGGGCATTGATCCGCGTTGATCTGCACCTTCTGAACCGTATCCTCTTGGTAATATTGCAACCAGACGTGGGAGAGTATGGCGTAGCCACCGGGAACGGCCTCGGGCCCAGGCAAGAACTTGAGCTCCGCTCCAGCCGTGCTGAGCAGCCACATGGTCTGCGATATGAACGCGTCAAGATACGAACTTTCGGACAATTTCAGTGACGAAGTACCTGATCGAGGACGTGGGGATGAGCGAGATGGAGGAAAGGACTGCGAAGATGTTTGTGTCAATATATACGCTCTCGCCTGACATGGACGCCCACCTCGACATGATGCATGGGCGATCCGCCGTATCGCCGGCGAATCTATTGGACATGACGTCATAGCTTTACGGTCATCGTGAGGTCCGAAAATCCACGGAAACGTGCTGGGTGGAGGTGAGCGTGAGGCTCGTCAAGTTGGTTGGCGGTTGGGTAGAGAATTCTAGGAGCGCGAACGGCGACAACGGAACTGGGATGTCCAGCGAGCTCGGTTTCAAGAAGTAGTCTCCCGTTGCGTCACGATTCGTAGATCCATCTTCATCGGCTGCCTAGCGGACTCGTCGCGAACGACAGCTCCAACGCAGTTCCAGGCGACCGGGGGTCTGGGAAGGGCGGAGTCTGTCGCGACCACCGCACCCACGTCTGGATACGGTCGCGCGCGCAGTCGTGCACGCCCGTGAACGTCGCACGCGCATGAGTCGAGGGTCACGAGCGGGTTGTACACCTGAATGCTGGTAAAGTGCGCGCCGGGTCCGATTCGACCCACATCCGGTGGAAGCGCGGTATCGGCGACGGTAGAAGGAGAGCAATAGCGACGAGGGTGTGCGGGAAGAGTCTCGTCCTGGGGAAGGGTGCACCGACCGAGCGCAAGCGGGAGTGCAGACTCCGTCCACGACGCGCGGTCCACTTCAACGGAGGTGCCCTTGAAATAAAGAGCTTGTCGTCAGGGCTCAAAGGTACGGCGGGGACGATGGCCGCGTTTCGGTCAAGGTGAAAGGAGCGCAGGTCAAGGGCGTAGAAGTCGGGAAACGTAAGCTGGAACGGCGCCCCCATCATCGCCGCTTCGCAGAAGTGACGGAGACACTGAAGGCTGCGCCCGAGGGAGAAGCGGGTCCGCAGAGTACGGCGGTCGAGTGGTGAGATGGATGTCAGACGTGGTCCAGCTGGAGTCGTGCGGAGGGTCGACGGAGAAGGCGACAACACGGATGTGGATGGGGATGGGGATGTCGTATGGATCTTCGTATGCGAGTGTGGACACGATCTGGCCTGTCACCCCGCAGTGGTAGGGCGGGCGACCGCGGACGGAACGGTTGTCATGTCGCTGGATAAGGAGATAGCAGGGGCGACGGCGAAGTTCAAACGTTCGCCATCGATCCACACGGTATCGGCGCAGAAGAGGTCAAGAAGGGAGGAAGTTCTTTGACGTATCCAGATAGAGTACTGGTGCGGTCACGAGCATCCTTGTGGGCATGGCAATTTATGCGGGAGACTGAGCTGACGTCTTCATCTTCTTTCTGGTCGCTCTGAAAGGCCTGAACGTTTGAACGGTCCTGCGAGAATTCTCAGCAAGTTGTGTTCATTTGGAGGAAACAACGAACGAACCTTAATCATCCGGTTGCTGCGTTCTGGACCAAACTTCGGCTTTTCGTGCTGCATCTTCCCTTGAACTGAGTACGCATAGGCGGATTGGGAGAAGAGAGATAATATCGCCGCAGGTTCGACGTCCAGAGGTCCCGAGGATATCAAATTGACGGTGTGACGGGGTTTTTGAAGACATCGAGCGGGGTTCCGCTCCAAGCGAAAAGTGAGGCGTCGCCGGACGTTTGAGTATTTCCCCCTGGAGCCTGCCATAGTACGCGTTCAGGTCGAGCTCAACATGGTCGCGATGAAGAAGCTGTGGCTTTGCGGCACACGAGCGATGGCACCAGGCAGATCCCGCTTACATCAGCTTTCGCGTGCATTGGCGCCGCCTTCTCGAGTCTCGGCGGGCAGACTTGGTTGTCCACTTCCTCCTCCACACGCACTGAACCACTCACCATCCACATCTATCCTGCCCTGCGGAGCTCTCACTAAGACGCGCCTTGCTCTTGACCTTCTCCCCATTTTACTCTCTCCGAAGTCATGAGATCGTGCTGCACATTTCTCGTGGAGTACGCAGTGCGGACACCCTTCTCATGAACTCAAGGGCCAGAGGTATGCTGCGATCTACACTCCCTGAGTCAGTGCTGTGATGCCTGGTCTTACACCCTGCCCGCCTTTCCCTCAGGACATCCCTACCTGTCCTCTCTTGGTGATCGACTACGAGCTTATCCAAGCTGGAGATGCGGACGAGATTGAGAAGCCCTGAAAGGCTGCGACGAAAACGGGGTTTTGGCAGTGAGTGACGGCTCCGTGCTTGAGTGAACATTACGACTCACCAGCGATCCGTTCCAAGCTTCACGAACCACGGCGTATGCGAGGAAGCGGAAGGGATGTTTGCGATGGGCAAGGGGACGATCTCTCTTACCCTCGAGGATAGGCTCCTCTTCGAGCAGGGAGCCCAATGCGTTTCGTTCGGGTGCGTTCTCTCGAATATCGTGCATTTGCGCTCCCCACCGACCTCCGCATCGGCACGGCTACCAGGATACCGGCGTGCAATTCACCGACGACAAAGGCACGCACGACGTCCCCGAGTTTGTTGACATCCCCAAGGACGACGCCCTCACCTGGCCGGCCGTTGCACACCGCACGTACCCCTACGCCGTCAACGCGCAGATGGAGTCCACCATCACGCCGTTCGTGAAGAACTCGCTCGCAATCAACAACCACCTCATCGTCGTCCTCAACGACAAGCTCGGGCTCCCTGCGGGCACGCTCGCGTCTCTGTACAAGGCCGAGGAGTTCAGCGGATGCATGGCGCGGTTCCTCAGGGCGCCGCCGTATCTTGGGCCGGAGGAGAAGACGTTCCTGACGGCGCACACAGACTTTGGGTCCTTGGTGAGTGATTTGCCTTGTGCCCCCTCGCATTGTACCGACATCGCTCTCCCCAGTCGTTGCTGCACAACCGCCTCGGGGGCTTGCAGGTGCTCCCGCCCGGGTCAGACCAATGGTTCTCCGTCAATGTCAGCGATCCTTCTCGATCTGCCGCGCTCATGCTCACGCAGTCGTTCGTCGCTCAACCCCTGCCCGGACACGCAATCTGCAACGTCGGCGACGCCCCCAACATCTTTTCTGGCGGCATCCTACGCTCCAACATCCATCGTGTCGTGTGAGTTTGTCCGCGCAACGTGCCTATCCGATACCCCGCGTCTCACACCCTTCCCAGCCCGCCTTCACGGGAGCAGGCCCAGTACGAACGCCACTCCGTCGTGTTCTTCACCCGCCCGAACGACACCGTCGAGCTGTGCGCGCTGTGAGAGCAGAGCGAGCGGATCGCTACGGCGGTTGCCAACGCGCCCCCGGGCAAGTAGGCCCCTGGCGTGACGGTGATGGAGCGGCTGCTGAGGAGGGTCAAGTGGCAGCGGGTGACGAACTACAAGGTGTGTCTTGTCCTGCCGATGTGCGCTGTTGCGAAGGGCTGATGAAGCCGGTAGGGTGCGGAGAGCTGGGCGGATAGGCGAGTTACCGAGGACACGGCAATTCCGAACCAAGGGAAGATCTGAACAGTCTCGAATAACGTGTATGTAGTATGTACATTCATAGCTCTTAATGAAAACAGGCGTTGTGAACACCCCCGATTGCGCCATCTCGGGACGGGGATTCATACGTGAACATATAAAGACAACACATGCAGCCGACCGTTTCTGGACACTCAAAGTGCAGGCCTCATCTACAGAGCCTTGGTGTACCCGACGACTCACGAGCACGCTTGGCATGAACGACAACCCTGATATTTCTTTCGCTCATGGTGGTACAGCAAGACGTTAAGCAAAACGTAACACGCGTAGCACGATACGGAGGGTCGACGAACATCACCATCCCTACCCTCCAACATCCGCGTACAACAATCAATCCACTCACCCCACCGCTTCCATACCCTGGTGCCTGGGATTGCCCATCCTGTCCGCGTACGGCTCGAACTCCATGCACTTCGGTCCACTGAACAGAACGACGGCCGTCTGCAGGGTGGGGCACGCGCCGCACAGCCGGCGGGCGAGCGTGTGCGGGTCGAGGGCGCCTCAGCCGCGCACGGGGGGTCCGCGACGTGGTAGCATAAGATGCCGACGACGAGCACCCGGAGCGCGGGGAGGCTCCCGACGGCGGCGATGAGGCCGTCCTGCAGAGCAACACGTGCGTCAAGGCCGAGGAAGCGCTAGCGGAACCACTAATTCGAGGGACGTATGACGATCCGGGGGCACCTACGTCAGCGAGCCCCGCTGCCCGCGCGACGTCGTCCCGGGGTGTGATCCCGATCACGAAGACGATGAGGTCGCATGACTCCGTCGTGCCGTCCGCTACCTCGACGCCTATCACGCGCGCCCACCGAGTCGGATTCCGAGGGGAGGTGTAGACGCGGACCGCGAAGGTCCCGCCGAGAAAGCGCACGCGCATTCCCTCGATCCGCCGGCGGACGATGTCGCCGCCCTGGGTGTCGAGCTGGCGGGAGAGCGAGTAGTGGGAGCGGTGCCCGGCTGTGGCGGCCTCGAGCCCGAGGAGTCCTCCGCCGAGGACGTCGGCCTGGTGGAGCCCCGTCGATATAGGCAATGTGTCTGCCAATCTCTGTCCAAGCGAGAAACAACCTGGGTCAAAAGCGTCAGATATAATATAGACAGGGCGAAGCGGACAAATATCACCTTCCGCCTCAGTGTTCGCGCCGACCCGCCTTTCTCCTCAATCTCCTGTCACGCGCGTGCCACACCAGGACGGCGATCGTGCAGCTCTATCGGCGGATGGACCGATTTCGCGATCCTATGACACTTCAATTTGTGAGGGCGCCGCTTCGCACAGGGACCACGCTAAGTGCGTCGGAACGGGGAAGCCGGGATGGTGGGGCGCGAGGAGGCTTGTCGGAGGGCGCCGCGCGTGTCGTCTCGTTTTGACAGACACCTCCGTGGGCGCGTAGGGTTGTGTCGCGACAACGAGTTCCAATATGGCCGGACCGAGTCTGTGGATCATGTCGACGATCCTCTCGATGTTGTCGTTCACCCACTTGCGTGCACTCGCCGAGCGCGGAACGTCGGGCGGGACAGCATCCATCTGCGCGATCTCGTTGTCCGTGAGCCGGAAGGAGCTGTTCTTGATGCGTTCCAATTCATGCGCAACGCTGATGTCCACGCGCGACCGCAAGTTCTTGACCACCCCGGGTATACCGCTGAACGGTGTGAGTGGGTTTGCGCGAAAACTCTGGCGGGCGTGGCCCGACATTGTGGGCTTGGTCGACTTCTTTGTTTCCAGCCGGGGCTCGAGCGTTCGCAACACCATGAAGATCGATTCGGGCGTAACGCTCAGCCAAGGAGGAAGTTCGGGTGCGTCCGTAGAGAGTCGAGTCGACAGGTTTTCGAGAGCGCGCAACAGGCTGTAATGAGAGGGGAGTTGGTGCCGCGAAAATATGGTCTAGTGTGTCGCTCACCAGTTGTAACAATAGGACAGCATTTAAGAAAAGCAACGCAGAGACGGGAACTTCCTGCACGATCGGCGTTTCGAGTACGTCACCGCGCATTGTCGTCCCGCCCAGAACTTCATCCGTCACCTGGGACCTTCGTCGGCCGGATCTCCGCCGCTTCAGTATGGGTTCGATGGCGCCCGCGAGGAAGGGGACGAGTCGTCGTTCCTGGGAGTGGTATGGAACTGCAAACGAAGACTCGTAGAGATGAGGCCCAGCGCAGATGGTGTAAAAGGAACGGAGAAATACCACGGGGCGTGTGAGAGGGCTTGGATCACGGAAGCACTAGCTGGGGGTTGGACGATGCGTTTTAAGAGGCACATATATATCGGACGCTGCCTCCGACTATATGCGAGGGTATCAGAACAGGCTGTGCTCGGAGCAGTATGGGGAGATCGAGACCGGACGAAACATCCAAGGAGCAGGACGTACCACACGAGCACCGTGATCCTGCTATTCGTGATCGACCATAGCGACTGAAACGCCTCCACCCATCTCGTGCATAGATTACGCCCACGCCTTTAAGTGAGCGATCTTTGGGTCCGTTGGGTCCTGAGCAGAGAAACGATGGCCGTAAGACAACAGGTATGGAGTAGGAGGACGATTCAAACGTACGGCAGACGGCCTCCACCCCTCCACCCATCCTCAGGTGTATCCGGATTCGCCTATCCTCGTCACCCAGTTGGAATAGCCAAGATGGAAGGACCCAACTTCAAAGCGTGTCTTGAAGGCCGACCTGGAGGGCTGATGACGTCTGTGGCGAAGAGCAGAAGTTTGGCCAGCTGCAGAGAGTTGTTTCAAACGGAGAGACGTACCTTGGATGAACGACACATCACAAGTATATCCCATGCGACAAAAACCCTCGTGCACTAGCACCGGGGCCCGTTTCTCGGCTTGCGGAAGCGATGTTGCACAGACGACACGACCTGTAGAAGCAGCTGCGGTGCCGCGTTGAGCGAGTGCGTCGTAGCACAATTGAGGAAAGGTGCGTACGCAATGGGAGTGGTCTGGGGAGAGAGGACGAGCTGCTCTTCTCAGACGGAGCTGAGCCCGATCGGAGAATGCGGACCGTGATATCGTTGGCGCTGGTGCCTGTGGGCGCCACGAGTGAACCAGCTTGGAACCAGCAGCCGGTGACTCTCTGCTCTCGCCATCCCCAAAACACACGGAACATGCTGTGTGTAAGTCCTTCTCCCAGCCGTTTCCTTTCCGATTCTTGAGCCGCACCACGACATTGTGTAAGCCTGTTCCGAACCACCCTCTGTTCGGTACGTATTCCTCGATATTAGGCGTTGTCGTCGAGCGCACCGCGGTGCCAAGTCATGTGGGATCAGCTGGCCATCTATCTCAGGAGTGCATATTTACCTCCGAGGTTGTGCGGCCACTGCCGCGCTTCCTCATCCGGGAGACGGCGTTGAACGGCTCTCTAATCCCCCGCTTCTCGCTCAGCTGGCGTGTTGTGCACATTCGCGTGCATCCACGAGCGGTGTGGAGGCACTCGCGCGCGTTTACTGTCTACTCCGGTGATCCAAACATCGTCGAACATCTGGGGCGCCACTTATCGGCGTGCGTACATTCCCCCGAGGTAGTATCGGACCACATCGTGTACTACCTCTCGACGAATGACATAGAACACTCTCAGCTTCGCCCAGCGGATTACACGCACGACATCGATACATCTAACACATTATTCGAGAGAGAGAGATATATATAAATCATCTACGCTATGTCAGTGAGGAAAGGCAGGTCATCACGCCCCGGGAGCGCGAAGCCGGCCCGGACTCTGCTGGCCGTCATATCTCAGGAGACGCTCCGACGCTCTCGGCTGCTTTCACCGCATGTTCGAACTTCGCGTTGTGGGCGTGTGGGACCGCAGTCTCCCTCGCTGCGACCTGCCCTCTACCGTCTCGCTCTCGACCCATCTCACATCTCCCCTCGTCCATCTTACATCCCCTCCGCCATCGACTCCCTCCGTGATATCAAGTACAGGAAACCCCGTTTACTGGATACTCATTGTACGTCCGGATACTCATTGTACGTCCGCTCTTCCGATGCTCTGCATCGCATTCACTCATGCTCCCCAAGTGTCTGTACTCCTCCCGCGAATCGTGCACATCACCTCTCACCCGGTATTCATCCTTACCCTCGCGAGACATACATGTGCTCATATTCGTGAAAGAAGCGATGTGGCTCCTGGGCACCGCGCGCGCGAACCTCGTCTTCTTTCCCCAACCTGAAGACGTCCCTGGAGGCTATGCTATCCTGTCGCACACCTGGGGAGGAGAGGAAGACTCGTTTCAAAAGGTTCAAAAGCTGAATGCAGAATCCAATAGCACCTTCTCCCCCGAAGATCAACGTCCCTTGCCCCCCACTGAGCTCCGATCTCTCATTTCCCAGGCGGTCTCTGAAGAAGCGGCCGTTCTCCGAACCCTCATCTCCCAGGAAATCTCTCAAGAAGCGGCCGTTCTACGAGCCCTCATCTCCCAGGAGGTCTCTCAAGAAGCGGCCGTTCTCCGCGATGAGCTGCGCTTTCTTGTTTCTGAGACGGTCCCGAAAGAATCTGCGGCTTGCAAAAACTTGAAGAATGCTTTCCATAAAGTGAAATCACACATCGTGCAAAAGTTCAAATTGCTACTACACCTACGCCCTTCCCGCCGTACCGAAATTTCTCCTGGATTAGTCCAGGACGACGCGGGTGGGAATCGCCCAGACAGACGACCATCCAGTACTGAATGCGAGCTAGGTTCGTGGAATGATGAAAACTCGTTTTCCATACTCGGCGCTGACATACGAAGGTCGCTCGACAGATTCAGGTTCAGGTACTCCCGCGATACCGTTTTCCCCTACTCCTACACCCGTTCAAGGACTTTCTGAGCCATCCCGCTCGTCACCGCCATGGTTCAACCCACGCGATCGCCTCACTCCAAAAGTTCGATCATTTCTTGAGCTCGCCGAAAAGCACGGGCACGAGTACGCTTGGGTAGACACGTGCTGTATCAACAAGGAGAGTAGTGCCGAGCTCTCGGAAGGCATCAATTCCATGTTCCGTTACTACGCCCTCTCTGCCATTTGCTACGTCTATCTCAGCGACGTCGAATACTACTCCGGCACTCGTTCACGTCGCATGTGGAACGGCTTCCTAAAAAGCCGCTGGCACTCGCGGGGCTGGACGCTCCAAGAGCTCATCGCGTCCGGCGTCCTCGTGTTCTATTCCAATGAGTGGATCTCTCTGGGCACCAAGTACGAGCTCGCCGACCGCCTAAAAGAAGCAACTGGGATCTCTGCGGCAGTCCTCCGCTTCGATAGCCTGTTTAGCGACGCGAGCATCGCGACGCGCATATCCTGGGCGGCGCATCGGAAAACCACGAGGCCGGAAGACGCTGCCTACAGCCTCTTCGGGCTTTTCGGGGTCAATATGCCGACGCTCTACGGCGAAGGGCAGCACGCATTCTGCCGGCTCCTTATGGAGATCTTGAAGACTTCGCAGGATCCTTCGATATTTCTTCTGGGGGATCGACGGTATACGGGCAATTTGGAACAACTCCAGTCGGACCTTCAGGGAACACCTCAAAGCCGAACGCGTCGTCATCTTCTCCCCCTTCGGCCTTCGCCGACCTTTCGCCTATCCGGCCCTATTACTAGGGGAATCAGATACGAACCCAGTGCCCGCTCGCAGAGAGGACAAGATGAGGTACACTGGTTTGGATGCCATTCTACGCTGTGCTACATTGACGACCATTTTAGCACAGCTCGATTGCAAGCACGACCACAGAACTCCGTGCTCCCACATTCTCCGTGTCACCAGGCGGGATCGAGCTCCACGCGGCCGTTCTACCTCTGGATGATGCGGGGGGATTCCTCCTCGTCGACTTGTTCTGCCGAGATCCCGACCCCGTCTTCCTCTTGCTTGAAAGGGTGGACGACGAGCCCAATGCTGGCGCTGCTCCGCTATACCAGCCCACAGAGGGCCCCGTTGTTTTGCTGCGGGAATCAAGCACGGCGATCGACTCACATGGCTGGAAGATGACCGACCTCCGCGTTGTAGCCCTCCCACAGTACACCGGTGACCTCTCCGAGCGCGAAAGCGCAAGGATGGAGTCGCTGAGGCGCTTCTGCGAAGCCACCACTACTAGCTCCCCCTTTCACCTTGTCTTTCGCGACTTCCTACAGCTCTGGAAAAGTCAAATGGTCTTTGACGGTGACGCAAGCACCCTGCCGTCGCCTGCTTCCACCGAAGACGTCTTCCTTCGTTTCACTCACAGCTACTATCGTCCAACGCTCGTAGTCGTTCTTGGGACATGCTCTCAAGCCGAGTCCGCCATCGACAACCGTGACCCACGCTCATCCAGGCCAACCTCTCTGTCATCCCGGATCGCCACGGAGACGCCAGGTCCAGGCGTACCACGCCGACCACGCTTCTGCGTCCTTGGTTGGTCCGACAGCGATGAAGAAGCCCCGGCCGCTGGGGCTGCACATTCGTGCGAAACGGATCACCTCGATATGGACGGACCATGGCCAGTGGAGCGCCGAACGCAGTTGACAAATATGCTTGGGTTCAGAGAGGAAGTCGTGTTATCGTTCTTTCCTAGTCCGTTGGGTAGAGAAACGCTGCAAGTGAAATTCCGGTTTGAACGAGACAGGATGTTTATACGATAGACGAAGAAATTGATTTGTGTACAGCTTCAGGTCAGACGTAGAGCGCGGCCTATTGTAAATATCACCGTACATTTTCCAAAGCCAACCAACAGTTCCATCTATCGATGGCACCGCGCTAAGAACGGTCGTGACGATGCTGTTGCACGCTGATGCGGCGCCAACCCTGGCGTAGACTCGGTGGCAGGGGTGAGGGCGAGGGAGCGATCTCGCGTATCCGCGAGGCTCGGGACGTTGAGTGAGGTGAAAAAAAGGCAAGATACGATGCCCTGCGTGGAGGCAGAACGCACGGCGCACGGAGTGGACGAGGACGGGGGAATAGACGTGAGGAAGAGGAGGTCGGACACACCGGCTGGTAAGATGAAGGACGCGAGGGCGAGAGTCAGGAAGGGGTCGTGTGCGTGTGCGTGTACAAGGTCGAGGTTTAGCGAGAAGAAGTCGAGGCGAAACTGGATGTGCACACCACACACGCGAGAATTGAGGGAAAATTGACTCATAGCCTACATGCATACAGCGCGCGCGGAGCAAGGGCGTATCTAGGAGAAGAGACTGTACCGAAGCCAATTATGAGTCCGTGACGGGGATACACTCCGAAAGAAGCGAGAGAGAGCGTGGAGATGGACGGAGGTGGAGAAAGAGAGAGAGACATGAAAAGGGGACGAAGAAGGGGGAGTCTTGTAAGAAATCAAGTGATAAGATAACGTACGAGGACGGCTACGGGGTGCCATCGCGACAAGGAGAGGACGCTGCGCCGCGGGCGGCGGTGGTGGAGTGCGCGCGGTGTAGACCGCGAGAGTGCACGGAGGACGCCGTGGTGCGATCGCATGCGTCGCATCTTGACGGGCCCATGCTATATGCCTATGTGGTAGTCATATGGTATCCGCGGGCGGATAGCGAAGGGTGCGCGAGCCGGAATAGACTAGGTACGCGAAGACGAGGACCGAACGCGGAGATGATCGCGCGGGCGTACGTTAGCCTGGTCGACGGTGTAGGGTTCGTGCTCCTGCACTGTACGGCGACAGCGCGTGCGTATCAGTAGAGAGACCCGTTATACGGAGGTGTGATGGTCAGTGCGAGACGGGTCCAATGATTTCCAGTGCACTCACTTACAACCAAGCAGCATTCAGGACCACGCGCACTGAAAATCGAGTTCTCAAGAGTAGATGACCTCGCTGCGCGAGTGCTGTGGTCAGTTCTCCATCTGTGTCACTGTCATCCGCGTATTCTCACCGTTATATTAGTGTGCCCGGTCTCCTGATCTTGTATCAACATGGACACGTCCGCTTCAAGGAGATCGAGAGCATGCGGCTGCCGGCGCGAGCGCGCCATGCGCCATCCACTGGCTTCGCTGCGCAAGAACTGGGGCCTATGCAACGGGATTAGCGATGAGTGAGCGTGCGATATTTCCAGCGCGTGTACCATGAACCCAATGCTCACACCGGAGTACGTGCACACCAGAGTAGCCTGGATCCCGATGCGCTCCATCAGATCTGAGGCGGCGTTGGGTTGGGCGAGAGGCATAACCAGGCAGAGGTCCCGCCCAACGGTGGCGTCATGGATGTCGAGGAGGGCGAAGGGGTCGGCTTGTTCCTTGGTCGTCGTCGGGACGCTGCTCCGAAGACGAGACGGTCTGTAGATAGGTGAGTCAGTGCACTGTATCAAACGAGGGTATCTCGGAGTACGTACCATTGAGTCCAACACCTCCGAGGAGGAACCCAAGCTCGGAGAGGCAGTCCGTCGGCGAACTCCCGATGTCCAACAGGTTGAATAGATCAACCACATCGTCCGTCCCGGTCTATCAATATCGCGCGCGTCCGTTACAGGATCAACGCCGCAGACGAATCCCACCTACTGGGATTTCTGCAGAAGAGAGTCATCAGTCTCCAATGACCGCTTTCAAGGAAAGGTCAAACGTACACCGGGTTGTAGAACATGGGGAGAGCGCCTCGGTTCCGCGGGCCGTCTCTCCGCGTAATCCCGAATCTGCCGTAGCATGCTCGTCCACCCTTCCAGATGCGAGGAAGCTCGTCTGAAGACGCGCCCTGCCTGAAAACTGGGTCCCAGCACGTGTTGATCCTCCCGCATCCTCATTCAACCTGCGCATATACTCACCTTCGAGTATAGATGAGAAGGGCACGCGTCCAGATCAGACGTCGCAGTGACGTCACCCCGCTTCCCAGCTCGAATCTGTGTCAAGGTGACCTCACACTGATTGGGGAAATGGGCGCAGAAAATAGCGGGATAGCGCGACGGGTGTGGAGAGAGATCCGGCGACCTAGACAGGGGATTCTCAAGAGAATTGAACAAACGGCACTCACATGGGATCCGATGTCAGAACGTCGCCAACGCTACGGCGCGCTGGGTGACGCAGTCGTCCTGGTTCGTTCAGATATCAACGGCCGTGGACCGCTGGAGGTGGAGTCGGGGTGAGCTGCACGAGGGATCGTGGTTGATATCGAGAGAGGCCGTGGGGTTCGGGGAGAGGACCAGTACGTGTAGTAGCGAAATGGCACGCTGTGAAGAGCGGGTGCCACAGTCGGCATGGAGGATGCGAGGGAAGTGAGTGCGACGACACGCGCGCGCGCGGCATCGCGGCGGGTACAGCTCGAGCGCGAGCATGCGTGGGGCCGAGCAGACCGCCTCCCCCGCGTCCGGCTCGGCTTGTACCGCGTGCAAGAATGCGGTGGTGGCTCCCACTAGGAGTCGTCGCGGAGACAGTCCGAGGCGCACGGTAGGGGCTTCGCGCGAATTCGAGGGCGGTTAGATGCTTGAGGAGCGTGGCAAGCGCGAGCAATGCGTCGGTCTCGGGGCGGAGGCGCAGCGCGCGCGGAGGGGAGCAAGGGGGCGGAGGAGAGGCCACGCTCGGGCCAGCGCGCGGGGAACGCGTGCGCGTCGGGTGTGCGGGGGTGCCACCACAGGCGGCCGCGGCCGAAGATGGAGGTGACGACGTGAGTGAGGTCGTCATGCGAGGCGTCGAGGCTCACGCGCGTGGGCGCCGGAGACGCGTCGAGATGGTGGTGAAGGGCCAGGAGAGCAGCCGAATGCGCCCGGCGGAGAGGTGCCCGCAGGGAGTCGAGGCGGAGGGCGTCGCAGAGACGGCGCGCTATTGGGAGCAGCGCGTGACGATGACGGTGTGCTCGGCGGGAAGATGCACGGTCGGGAGGGACGTCGAAGGGAACGTCTTTTCCCGTGCGTTGGGAATCAAGAGGATGAAGCCGTGAAGGACGGAGAGCCGCGGGGTGGCGGAGAGGAAGTCCGGCGGTTGGGGCGCGACGGCGAGCAGCAGGCGGGAGCTAGGTCGCGCTGGGTACTTGTGGCCGCAATCCCACGCAGACTGGCCCGCGTGGAACGTCGTCGAGGGAAGTGGCAGGATAAGAGGGCGGCCGCTCCAAAAGGTTCGTCCACACCTCGTGCTCGCACACGTTTTGGGTACGGCCAGCATCGGGATTCAACGGAAGCCACCGCTCTCGTGTTCGCGGAACGTGGGGCCGGGGCCGAGTTTTCAGCAACACGCAGTTCGCGAGGCGTTGCCGCTGTCCGTGGGTGTACTTCGTCGACCTTTGCGGAGAACGCGAGAGCCTTCCGATGCCACATGGTCAAGTTGTGTGCTCTTCAAGGAGCTCGTGCGGCCCACCTGTCGAAGGTTGTGGCTCATGCGGCCGCGTCAAATTCTTCACATTCGTGCGGTCCCGCAGCCTGCGTTGTGCTCCAAGAAGTGTGGCGACGAAGTACCTGAACGCGGAGGGGGATGTCAGCTAAAACAAGTCCGAGGATGGTGCCACGAACATATACGCATGTTCGCCATCGACATAGAAGCGCACCTTGGCTGATGAACAAGTTGAAAGACAGTGTGGCTTGCACCCGAGCAACAGACCTCGCTTACATCAGCTCTCACGCGCGTTGGCGCCGCGTTCTCGAGCCTCGGCGGGCAGACTCGAACGTCCACTTCCTCCTACCTTTCCCCATCCACACCCATCCTGCCCTGCGAAACTCTCACCAAGACATGCCTTGCTCTTGCTTCGCCACTTCATCCCTCTCCGAGCCATGATATCGTGCTGCAAGTTTAGCACATTTCTCGCGGAGTACGGAGTGCCGACACCCTTCTCATGAACTCAAGGGGCATAGGTACGCTGCGATCCATACTCCCTGAGTTGGTGTCGCTATGCCTGGTCTGAAAAATTAACCGGCTTTCCCTCAGGACGTCCCCACCTGTCCTGTTCGGATCGACTGTGAGCTCGAGATGCGCATGAGGTTGAGAAGTTCTGGAGGGCTGCGACGGAGATAGGGTTTGGTAGTGAGTGACTGCGCAGTGCTTGAGTGAACGACGTTACGACTAACCGGTGATCCTTCCCAAGCCTCATGAACCACAGCGTACACGAGGAAGCGGAAGGTATGTTTGCGATGGGCGAAGAGACGATCGCTCTTACCCTCAAGGAGAAGCTCCTCTTTGAGCAGGGTGTTTCGTTCGGGTACGTTCTCTCCAATTGCTTGCTTTTGCACTTTCCACCGGCCTCCGCATCGGCGCGGCTACAAGGCAGACAAAAGCACGCGCGACGTACCTGAGTTGGTCAACATCTCCAAGGACGACACGCACGCCTGGCCGGCCGTCGCGCGCCGCATGTATCCCTCCGCCGTCAACGCGCCGATGGAGTCCATCGTGACGCCGTTTGTGAAGAACTCGCTCGCAATCAGCAACCACCTCATCGGCGTCCTCACTGACAAGCTCGGGCTCCCTGCGGGCACGCTCGCGTCTCTGCACAAGGTCGAGGGGTTCAGCGGATGTACGGCGCGGTTCACGGTCTTTGGGTCCTTGGTGAGTGATTTGCCTTGTGTTTCCTCGCCTTGTACCGACATCGCTCTCCCCAGTCGTTCCCGCACAACCGCCTCAGCGGCTTGCAGGTGCTCCCGCCCGGGTCCGACCAGTGGTTTTACATCAAGGTAAGTGATCCCTCTCGATTCCTCGCACTCATGCTCACTTAGTCGTCCATCGCTTAGCCCTTGCCCGGAGACGCGATCTGCAACATCGGCGATGCCTTCAACATCTCCTCCGGCGGCATCCTGCGCTCCAACATCCATCGCGTCGTGTGAGTTTGTCCACGAAGTGCCGATGCTCCGCGTCTCATTCCCTTCCCAGCCCGCCTCCGCGGGAGCAAGCCCAGTACGAACGGCACTCGGTCGTGTTCTTCACCCGTCCGAACGACACCGTCGAGCTGCGGGCGCTGTCCGCGGAGAGCGAGCGCATCTCTGCGGCAGTCGCCAACGCACCACCGGGGAAGTACACCCCGGCGTGACGGCGATGGAGTGGGCTATTGAGGAGGGTCAAGTCGCAGCGGGTGACGAACTACAAGGTGCGTCCCGCCCCGCCGATGTGCGCTGTTGCGAAGGGCTGATGAAGCCGGTGGGGTGCGGAGAGTTGGACGGATAGGCGGGGTACTGAGGCGGACCAGGGGAAGATCTGACTAGCTTCGAACGACGTGTACGTACTATGTACAGTCGTAGCTCTCGATGAATACATGTGTTGCGAACACCCCGATTGCGCCGTCTGCGGATGTGTATCCATACGTGAAAATGTAGAAACGACGCGTGCAGCCAACCGTTTATGGACACTCGAAGTCTATGCCCCATCTGCAACATCTTGGTGTACCCGACGAGCATGCTCAGCATGAACAACAACCCAGATTGTTATTTCGCGCATGGTACAGCTTGAATGCTTCCTCCTGAGCGTAGGGCCGAAGGTAACAACGTATGTATAATATTGACACGATACGGAGGGTCGACGAACATCACCGTCCCCACCCTCGTGAGGACCGCAACTCGTCCTACATAGCACCCTCGCTGGAAACCTCCCCAGCCTCACGCTCCACGTCGCATGGTTCTGCAGAAATTTCGTCCCTGCAAACGCACGAAATCAGCCCAACATCCGCGTGCAACGATCGATCCACTCACCCCACCGCCTCCGTACCCCGGTGTCCGGGTTTGTCCTTCCTATCCGCATACGGCTCGGACTCCGTGCACTGCGGCCTCAGCTGCACCCGCTCGTTCAACGCGCGCCCGCGCACCCCGCTGAGCAGAACGACCACGATCCGCAGGGTGGGGCACGCGACGCACAGCCGGCGCGCGAGCGCGTCCAGGTCGAGCCCGCGCATGAACGCCTCGGCCGCGCATGGGGGGACCGCGACGCCGCGAGGTAGCACAAGACGCTGACGGCGAACACCCGGAGCGCGGGGAGGCTCCCGACGGCGGCGACGAGGCCGTCCTGTGGAGCAACACCCGCGTCAGCGTTGAAGGAGCGCGGGCGGAAGCGAATTCGAGGGACGTACGACGATTGCAGGGGCGTCGACGTCCGCGGGAGAGGCTGCGTGGTAGTCGGCGATGAGGGTCGCTTCTAGGCACTCGATCTGCAGAGTGCAGGCGCGGCCCATGACGCGGACGATGCCCCGCGCCAGGACGCCAGCGTCGAAGCTTTCGAGGGAGAGGTGCACAGGCCCGAATGGCTTTGACGATGAAAGTTGGTCCCTTGATGTAGAGCGTGCGGATGGAGTAGGAGGGCGCAAGCAAGAACAGATCGTTGAGTAGGGCACGGCATGATTGCAGCGGCTCGTGACTCAGCCTACTTGGGGAGAAAGTACGAGGGCCAGGATTAAGGTGAACGCATGCTGAACGCCGCGGCTTTCATGCCGCCCGGCCGTGTACTTCTGGATCCGAATCCGCAGTGCCGGAAAGAAACGTTGTGGGTCCAAGGACTTGAAGGGGGCGAGAAAGTCCAGTTAAGTTGAGGACGAGTTGAAGCTCGCGGCTCGAATCCTTCGAGTCTACAAGTACCGTCGAGGCACTCCTTGAGAGCTCGAGGCTCGGTCGGACTCGCCCCGCACTTCTGCCGCCCAGGAACTGCGCCTGCGCCAGACGCGAGGTCGCCAGAGTGTCTCCGAGACGCTCCGCTCCACCAACAGCACGCACGCCGGGTTCGCGGAGTGCGCGGGATCCGCTGCGTTGGGCGCAAACGGCGATGTGAGGCGGTGGAGGGCGCGTTGCGTTGCGCGTGCCCAGGTTGAATCCGGGCGGTGAGGGCGGGCCATGGGCTGCGGCCGTGAGGGGCTGGAGGAGACGGTCCCATGAGGATGCGAATGTGGATGCGCGCGCGCGTTGCTTCGCCTGCCGTGCCGCTTCTCCTCGTCGACTTGAACCATCGAAGAGCCCTGGGTGATCGCGTGGTGAGCAAAGAGGCTCCAGCAGAGGCTCATCCGCTGCTTGCGCATGTCCTGGATCACACGCTGGGTCGGCTCGGAGGCGTACGTCAATAGCAACAGCGGCGACGAGTCCGAGTGCGGCCTGCGCGGGTAGGGCGATACCTCTGCGACGTCCATCGTGCCGTCAGACGGGGGGCGGCCACCGGAGATTTGGAAGGCCTCCCGCAGAATGTTGGCGTTGGCGGAGGAAGACGGGAGGAAGTGCGCGCGGCGAGCACCGCAGAGGGCGAAGGCAAATGTCCCTCTTTCGACGATTGGACCTCCCGGCGCCGTGGACGGACCCGTTGCACCTGGGCGGCAAGCGACTTGTCCGAGGACAAAGGCGCTTCGGCCGGCGACGGCGAAGACGAGCTCGTAAGCGCATCGTTCTCTGACAGCGCAGGCGCAGTCGACGAGCCTGGACAGGGACTTGCGCCAGTCGACGCCGATTCCGGGATGTTGACGCACAGCATCCCCGTCCTTCCGATGAGGGACCTCGGACAGCGTCCAACGCGCTCATCGCTGGCGAGCGTGGTCGCAGGACGAGGGGTCTCGCACGTTCCCGCTGCTCGGAGCCGCGCTGCCGCCGTTATTGCCACCACTCGAACACGCGCCGTCTCCAGTCAGGCAGAATGCGGAAGCTCGAATTCTGCGCGGGGGGCAGCCGGCAACACGCCCATCGCCGCGCAGCGGTCTTCCTCCACGAGTTTGGGCGAAGCCTGCATGTTGGGGGGCGGGACCGTGTCGGACGGGTACAGGGGCGTGTGCGGCTTGGAGGCGACAGGGACCGGACGGGAGCGTCGACATCCATGGAGTTCGGGGTGGAGCCGACGACAGGGACATCGACTTCGCGGTCGTCGAGAGAGACCGGAACCGTGGGCTGTGCGTCGTCCTTCGTCGTTGGGCCGTTCGATGGAGTCAGGGGATCGACATCGATCGCGTCGGTGGGGGCCTCGCTGGTGCTTCTGCAGTACTCGTTGGACACACCGGAGTGTGCCTAGAACTCCGACGCAGCTTGCGAGATGACAGGGCCTTCGACCTAGCCCTCCTTTTTTTGTATATAGTGTGCCTGACGGCGTCAAGCCGATGAACCTGCTGCTCTGCCGGACCCCGGCTGCGCGGTGGAGGGGTGTTGTCCTTCGCATGAATCGCGACGCCAGTAGAGGCCGAGGCTTCTTTCGTTCGAGACGATTGTCTTGACGTGTGCACGTGGGAGGCTCTTGGAAGTAGATTGGCCCAGCACTCCTTCGCCTAATGTTCTGACCAGTCGAACAGGCATGTTCGACGGCGTTGCTCTGGGATAGGGACCAAGTATCGGAAAGCGGGGAACGGGAAGGGGAGGAGAAAGGCCCCGGAGTAATCGCAAATGCGAAAAGTTTCGATTGCAAAGAGACTGGGGACGATATGCCATATCCGAATCCTGTGATATCAATCATTCGTGCTCGAGCCGGTTGACGGCGGTTAAGGATGATGGGCATCTATTATGTGCGATATGTCAGAAAGTGCATCGAGCATCAAAAAGCGAAGCAACGTACCATGGCTTGGTTGCAAGCAGTATCGTCTCCGTTGTATACCACTAGCCTATAGTCGACCCGGGGAAGCGAGAAACTATAGTTGCGGACGAAATAGAAACATCGTCAGCACAAGTCGTTCCATATGATCGCAGCACAACACACACCTCCAGTAGTTGCGCGGGGCTGAAGCACAGCAAGCCCTTCGACTACCGTTCACTGCCCTTCCCTCTACGGGTTGAGCCATCGAGGAGATTACGGGAGTGTCCACCACGCCGGCTCGTAGGCAGCCTGTGCAACGAGACACCGTCGTCCGAGCGCGAGGCCGCCCAGCGAGTAGAAGTTCGCTAAAAAGACTCGTCAGCAACCGCACGGCAAAATGTACAGTGGAGAGGAAAGCCAACTGCGGGACGCGGTAACAAAAAATACGGCCTGAACTCACCTTCAGCACTGGACTGCTTCCTGAGCGCACCCGCGAAGGGTTCCAGAGCGACATACACGTTGAACAGGTCGACGCTCATCAGCGTTGACAACGTCTTGTATTTCGCCCATATATCGATGCTGCATTGAACGTGCGACTCGGGTACTGAAATCGCCCATACTATGAAAGCTGAGCGAGAGCGGGCACGTCTGAGAGGACGCGGCTATTGGGAGGGTAATCAATCGACATTGGTCGCGGTATGGCGGGAGAGTACGGCTGCGGACTCACCCCTGACCCCGGCCACAGGAAGCTCTCGCTCAAACTCCCCAGCCCGCGGAATGGTTGCGGAGAGTGGATGGCGGCCGAAGTCCTGAGCGGAACCGGGGTTCAGATCTCAGAGGGGCTCTGACGCAGAGTGAAGGTGGTGACAGGTACGTACCGAGTTGGATTTGGTGACTGATGGTGCAGGGGCCCGTACTGTCAAGAGCCAGCGAGACGGCTAAACCGCATGTTCGGTATCCGTGGACACGGCAACGATACGCAGACCGAAAGAACGAACCCTCTGAAGGCGACTCATGATGATCTCAGATGGTTGGGACTTAGGCAGGAGAGGACCGACGAGAGGAAACAAGAGCGTGTCGTCTGCGTGTAAGGGAGAGGTGCGGGGCTTGGAGGCAGCTGGTGCAGAGTGTGGACGAAGAGCAGGAGAGAGCGTACTGGCACCAGTGTCTCCAGCCTGCGGGCGTTCCGGCGCTCGCGATCGGAGTCGCCGGACCGCTGGACAGGCGCGTCGTCGTCAACGCTTGCAGATTGTCCTCTGCTTGCAAGTCGCGATGCGCACGGCGACGTTCGTCCGTGAACGGCGTCTCCAGAAAGGGGACGATCGAGACGGAGTGCATATCGTGCGCTCGATGCGCTCCGCGCGCTCGTATCACTTGGTGCCCCCCGCGCGTTTCCGTCCCCTTCGGATCCTTGCGGCGCGTCCTTGCCACGATGTCTCCTTCCTCAAGGCCTTATCCCCATTAGCTACGCCGCGCCTGGCCAGCCACACCCGTTCCACCTGCACGGTCACGCCCGCACGTAGTCCGCTCCGCCGCCTCATGACTTCATCAACCCGCCGCAGCACCACGTCGTGTTCACCGGCATCGCTGGGGATAACGCCACGATCCCCTTCGGCATGAGTAACTCAACCTCGAATGTCCCCCACTGCGACATCAACGAACGTTGCGGAAAAGGGAAACGAATTACACATGTACGCCTGGAGCAAACGAGGAAGAGACCGCCGCCGATACCGACAGAATGCGGATGGTCTGGTTGGCGCCTGTGCCTGCGTTTCGAGCCAATTGAGTCCACTTCGATCGAATACTTACTCAAACACGCAGTGCATATCGTCTATGGAAGCTCCCCTAGAAGGGCCCCCTCCGAGTCTTGCACGATGATTCCGGAACCCTCTGTTCGGCACGTCTTCCTCGACATGCGTTATCGCGCGCGTGGTCGAGCGCACTGCGGTGATCATGTGAGTCCGCATGGAGCTCCTCAAGTACTCAAGTACCCACCTTTGAGTTTTGTCCAGTTGAGACGCCGCAGTGACGGCACCCCGCTTCGAGGCCTCGCACGGATGGGGAAACGAGCGTAGAAATACCGGAATCGTGCGACGGGTGTTGAGAGATCGCCTGATCCAGCGACCTAGACAGGGGATTCAAAGGTGGTCGTGGGTGATATCGATCGCTGTCAAGAACAGCCGCGGTTGTCCCATATGATAAGGCAGCTTGTACAGTGAGGGAAGGTGCCACAGTCGGCATGCGCGACAATGTCCGCGCGCGACCGCGGCATCGGCGGCGGGTCAAGACGAAGAGGGGCTGGATGATCGAGCCTAGGCGGCGGGTACAGCTCGAGCGCGAGCATGCGGAGGGCCGGGCAGACGGCCTTCCCCGCGTCCGGCTCGGCTCGCGCCGTGCGCGGGCGTGCGGCGGTGGGAGTGCCCTAGGTGAGGGCTTCGAGCGCGGTTGTGTGCTCGAGGAGCGTGGCAAGCGCGGGCGGGGCGTCGGTCTCGAGGCGGAAGCGCAGCGCGCGCACGGAGGGGAGGCCGCGCTCGGGCCAGCGCGCGAGCAAGGAGGTGCCACCACAGGCAGCCGCGGCCGAAGGTGGAGGGGGCGAGGAGAGTAAAGTCGTCATGCGAGGCGTCGAGGTTCGCGCCCGCGCGCGCGTTGAGACAGTGGTGGAGGACTAGGAGGGCGGCTGGATGTGCTGGCGGAGACATGCGCGACGGCCGGAAGGAGGAGGGCGTCGAGGAGAGTGAGCACGACGCGCCATTAGGGGCAGTGCATGACGACGACGGCGAGCACGGCGAGAAGATGGACGTCGGGAGGGGCGTCGAGGGGAATTTCTTTTCCCGTGTGTTAGGGATTAAGAGGATCGAGACGTGGAGGATCGAGAGCCGGAGAGTGACGGAGAGGAAGTACTGCAGCTGACGCGCGACGAGATCGGGTTGTGTACTTGTGGCCGCAATCCCACACAGACTGGTCCGCGTGGAATGCCGTCGTGTAGTGACGGGATCGGGGGGCGGCCGCTCCGGAAGATTCGCCCACGCCGCGCGACGTGCATGCTCGCACGCGTCTTGCGTACGGAAAGCATCGGGGTTCAGCGGACGCTTCCGCCCTCGTGTCCACAGAACTTCACGGGGCCGGAGTTTGCAGCAACGCGCAGTTCGTGAGGCATCGCCGCTGTGTATCGAGGCGAGTGTACTCCGTCGACCTCTGCGAAGGGCCTGAGAGCTTTGCGATCCCACGCGCGCTCAGCAGGTGAACAATGCAGGTCCTGTCGTCGCATCGCAAAAGGTCAGCATACGTCAAAATGATCCCCCGAGGCCCGTCGCGGATCCGGGTGCCGAGGGGAAGAGCACAAAATGAACACCGAACGCACCGGGGATGGTGTAGTTCTTAACGGTTGGGTAGTAGATGCTGATGGTGATGCCTGCGAACGCGCGGGGGAAATGCCGAATGAGCTCGACGCTCTGGCACCTATCCATGAACAAAAGCCGCACCGGGGTTGGAGTCGGCGTACGCGCCGGGGAAGGAGACTGTCGAGGGCGTCTTGGCCCCAGACCGTCCTTGATGTTCGGCTGCGCGCATTCCATGTACAACGGGGTAGCTCGACGCGGCGTGGAGCGCTTCAGGGCGCCGCGCGGGTCAGCACGTATGTGGGAACGACGCACGAAGCGGTTGACGTACCGATGACTCTCTTGTGGCGGAGGTACTGGCCGTCCTCGATGCACTAGGGGACGGTTGGCGTTACCTTGCCCGCGTTGGCGATCATCACGTCCGTCGCCCACGTCCCGTCGGGATCGAGCCCTTCTTCCGCGATCTTGAACCACTTGAGTCCGACTGGGTTGCTTCCGGGATCTTGGCACTACGAGCGCGAATGTTGTGAGACGGGGCCAGGAGCTATTGGGGCATAACAAAGACATACAGGTAGGAGGTGAGCGGACCCTTGTGGCTAGAATCGATGGGGTCCGCGGGGTCGCCCGCGGCTTGGTTCAGAGCGTGATGCCACTAAGGATAGTAGTGATTAGAATCAGTTTCGGATCCAGGCACGAACCGGATTGCACCTACCTCTGCGGTAAGCGGTGCGCCGGCCCGAGCGTCGATGACGGTGGTGGAGACGGGTCTTGAATGTGGTGGGCGTCGCGGATGCTGTTGTGAGCAACGGTGGCTGAATATTCAACGTTCAACGGCCGCACACACCTGGCAGCGCACTGCTTTAGGCCTGCGGAATTCATCGTTCCGTCCAGATCTTCATGTCTGCGCGCGAGCGCGTCTTGAGCCCGAACTTGCGCGCACCGCACCATAGAGCGTGTCTTGCGCCTGTGGGACGTCGTCAGGACCGTCGTCACGCCTCCTCGAGTCCCTCTGGCACGAATGAGCGGCGCCCATTCCTTCAGAACACGACCCCAGCGCCGTCTACCCTCCAGAAACACCCTGCGGCCGTCGACGCCTTCCACCATGGCACCATGGCCAAGTCATCGCCGTGGGTACATCAAAATGGACGCACCGGAGCGACGGACGGGCGCGCAAGAGTGAGGGACGCGCGGGGAGGAGCCCAAGAGCGAGGGCATGAGCTGACGTACCGGCACACTTCATCTTCTTCTTTCTGTCTGCGGCGTCGTACGGGAGGGCTTGCGGGCGGGCGACGGGTGCAAGTGAGACGGGGTGCCCGACGCGCGCGCCGCGACCGGCATCGGCGTCTATCGGCGCCGTCATGTCATCTGAGCGATGACGTCAACGAGCACCGTCGCGACTAGCGAGCGATCCGTCCGTCAAGTGCCTCCGCTACGCTGACTCTCATATATATGTATATACTTGGTACCTCATGACGCTTGCGATTTGTACGACATGCATGGCACTACATTGGATATGTAGTTACTCCTCTGTCGCACCTCTGCCGTCCTCGACTCGCGCCTGCGTCGGACGCGAGGTCGCCGGACTGCATCTCCGAGACGCTCCGCGTCTTCAACAGCACGCACGCGGGGCTCATGGGGTGGTCGGAGCCCGATGCGTGGGGCACGAAGGGCGACGCGGGGAGATGGAGAGAGCGCGTCGGGTTGTGCGTGCCCAGGTTGGCGTTGAGCGGCGAGGGTCGGTGGGCTGCGGCCGTGTCGAGGGGGCTGGAGGAGACGGTCCCGCTGAGGATGTGGACGCGGATGCGTGTGCGCGGTGCTTCGCCCGCCGCGCCGCTTCTCCTCGTCGACTTGAACCATCGAAGAGCCCTCGGCGATCGCGCGTGAACAATGACATTCTAGCGCCGGATCTAGCGGGGGCTCATCCGTCCTTGATCACACTCCGGGTCGGGTCGGGTCGGGGTCGTACGTTAACAGCAACGATGGCGACGAGTCCGAGTGCAGCTTGCGCGCGTCGTGGGGCGGCGGCGACGCTTCCGCGACCCGCATCGTGCCGTCAGACGAGGGGCGTCCATCCGAGGTCTGGAATGCCATCCGCGGATTTTGGCGTTGGCAGAGGAGGACAGGAGCGGGGGAGGAAGTGCCCGCGGCAGCGGTGAGCACTGCAGGGGGCGAGGGCGAGTGCCACTCGTTCGGAGACTGGAGTTCCGACCGCCATGAGTTCTAGACCCGTTACAGCTGGGCGGCGAGCGACAGGTCTGAGGACAAAGACCCTTCGGCCTGCGGCGGCGAAGACGAGCTAGCAACCGTATAGCCCGCCGACGGCGCGGGGTGCGTCGAAGAGGGACAAGGGGTTGAGCTCGTCGACCAGGACGTTGACGCACGACCTCCCCGTCCTTCCGATGACGGAACTCGGGAGTGCCGTCCAATGCGCTCATCGCTGGCGAGCTTGGCCGCAGGACGGGGAGGTTCGCGCGTTCCCACTGCTCGGACCCGCGGAGCCGCCGCTGTTGCCACCACTCGAACACGTGCAGCCGCTGGCTCCTGTCAGGCAGAATGCGGCAACTGGTGCGCGGGAGGCAGTCGGCGACACGCCCATCGCCGCGCGACGGACCTCCTTCACGAGTTCGGGCGAAGCCTGTGATATTGGGGGCGGAACCGCGTCGGACGGGTGCAGTAGCGTGTGGGGATTGGAGGCGACGGGAGCGGGCGTCGATATCCATGAACTTCGGGGTGAAGCCGGCGACAGGGACATCAACTTCGCAGTGGCCGACAGAGACCGGAACCGTGAGCTGTGTGCTGTCCTTCGTCGTCGGGCCGTTGTGTGGAGATGGGGGATCGACATCCATCGCGTCGGGTGGGGCCTTGTTGAGGACTCTGGAGCTTCTGCGGTACTCGTTGGACACATTAGAGTGTGCCTGGAACTCCGACGCGGCGTGCGAGATGACCCTAGCCCTCCTTGTGCTTCTGCATCTTGCAGCAGACGCGTCGATGGTGGTGAACCCGCCGCTCCGCCGGACTCCGGCTGAGCAGTGGGCGTGCACGGGGTGTTGTCCTTCGCAAGCATCGCGACGCGAGTAGAAGCGTCGAGTTCTTTCGCGGCATAGTCCTTGTTCGAGACGATCGTCTTGCCATGTGCACGTGGGAGGCTCTTGGTAGTAGACTGGCCGAGCGGTCCTTCGTTTCGTTGGTTCCGACCAGTCGAACAGGAATGTTCGACGGGATTGTTCTGGAACAGAGACCGAGCAGTGGAAGACAATGAAGATCTCCCCACGGGCAGGCGAGGATAAAGACCCCGGAGCAGCCGCAAACGCAAGAAGTTGTGATTGCGCAGAGACCGGGGAAGAGAGAAGCTATAGGTGCGGACTGAATGGAACCATCATCAGCACAAGTCGTTCCATGTGATCGTAGCACGATACACACCTCTCAGCAGTCGCGCGGAGCCAAAGTGCAGAAAGCCCCCCTGCTACCATTGACTGCCCTTCCGACTTCGGGTTGAGACGTCGAGGAGGCTACGGGAGTGTCCGCCACGCCGGCTTGTAGGCAGCCTACGTAGTGAAATACTCTCGTCCGAGCGCGAGACCCAAAGTTCGCTAAAAACCCCGTCAGCAACTGCATGGCAAAATGGACATCGCAGGGGAGCGTCGGCTGCAGGACGCGGTAACCAAAGGGATGGTCTGAACTCACCTTCGGCTGTTTCCTAAGCGCACCCACCAGGGATTCCCGAGCGACGTACACGTTGAACGGGTTGACACTCATGGACAACGTCTTGTATTTCGATGAGGCATTGAACATGCGAGTGTACGACTGGCATCGCCTGCCAATGGCAACCATACGAGAGCGCGCACGTCTGAGAGGACACGGCGACTGCGAGGGTAAGCAATCGACATCAGCCACAGGGCAGGGTAGGCGTTGGTCGCGGTATGGGGAGAGGGTGCGGCTGTGGACTCACTCTTGACCTCAGCCACCGGACGCTCTCGCCCAAACGACCCAGTCCGTCGGATGGTTGTGGAGAGTAGGTGGTCACCGATCTGACGAGGTGGTCAACAGTCCTGAGCGGAACCGGAGTTCAGAGGGGCTCTGACAAAGAATGAAGATAATGGCAGATACATACTAATCTGGATTCGACGACAGGTGGCGAAGGAGCCTAGATCTGCTATCAAGAGCCAGTGAGATAGCTAGACAGCCTGTTCAGTATCTGCGGACACAACAATACGCAAACTGAAAAAAACACACCCTTTAAGGACGACTCATGCTGGTCTCAAAGGGTTGGAACTTGGCTACGCGAGGACCAACGAGAGGAAAAAAGAGTGTGTCGTCCGCGTCCAGGGAAGAGGTGCAAGGCTTGAGACAGCTGGAGAGGAGGAGAAGTGCGGACGAGGAGCAGGAGAGAGCGTAGCACCTCAGTCTGCGCCTCCCGGCCTGCGGGTGTTCCGGTGTCCGGCTCTCGCCGGTCCGCAGGGCCTAAACAGGCGCGTCGTCATCGGCGCTTGCAGATTGTCCTCTGCTTGCCGTGCGCACGGCGACACCCATCTCCGTGGGCAGCGTCTCGAGACGGAGGACGAAGACGGGGTGCGCCAGGCTCCTACCCAGCCGTCTTGTCGAGTTATGTGTCCCAGCGCCCTCGTGTGTCCCGCGCCTGGCGGCGCTACGGCTTGCAGACAGACTGAGCCTACGCTAGGTGCATGACGCACGTGGGCCAGGCGAGCCTACGCCACACAGTCACGGGAACACACTCGGGCACAGGGACACATAACTCTCCAAGACGGCTGGCACCAAACATCAGTAAATAACGGAGCTCCGGTGATGAAGCGCTCGCAGCTCCTCAATATGGTGTTCACGGAATTGCCCGAGCACGAATTATGTCTGCAGCCCACTGCATTTTAGAGACGGATATTGCGCGCTCACGTGAGCTATCGCGTCGGCCTCATCGCGAAGTACTCGCACGCGCATACATCCAGTGCATGCATACAGCTTTGCCTAGTCCCTCTCACCGTCGACATGCCTCCGTCCGCACCCCACCGGCTCAGGCTCCAAAGTCTACACCGAAACCCCTCCCAAGTGTCGCTGAGCTTTGCAAGAAGACACAAGAGGTCTTTGCAGACTTGATGACCTTCTCCGGTGTGTTGGCAGCCTGGAAGAACATTCCCATGACACTTTGATACGACTTGGCTCATTGATCTTGGCCTTGAATGAGCATGAAAATAATGGTCGTCGCACGCTGTGATATGGGATGACGGCTGAAGATTGGAAACAACCATCCTAAACCAGCTGCTACATACTATGCGTACGACCTCACTGTGCTTGACCGGATGAGCATGCCCATCACCTGTTTGGGGCTCGTTGTCTTCGTCTTCCCCGACAACCTCATCGTCTGTACCATCTTGGGCGTCGGAGGGCGTGCAGCGGGCAGAAAGAGAGACCGAATTCCGAAATGAACTAAGGCAGGTTCGGGTAAAGGACGCACCTGTGAGTAACTCTCGGACAAGCTCCCACAGCCGTGGTGCACGTTTCTCCAGATCGCGGGCATAATCTTCAAGCCGGAACTCGGGCAGCTGGTCTGGAGAGGTGTTTGCAGCAGAGAAATGCCATCCGTTCTCAGGGCGAGAGAGACTCCAGATCGCGCAAGACCTGGGGTGGCGTGTTCATGGTAGAGACGGAGAGCGTACGTATGGGACGCGGCACGGACGCGTCGTGCGGGACGCGAACCACGGAAGCGCCAGCCATTAAATCTGCAACGCTCCCAGGCATTTTCACGCGCTTCCCAAATGGAGGAGTCGTGGGCGCTCCGGCGCCGACGCCCCGTTATTTACTAATGTTTGGTGCCAGCCGTCGGTGAGAGTTAAGTGTGCCCGGTGCTGAGTGTGTTCCCGTGACCTGGTGGCGTAGACCCGCCCAGCCTGGTGTTCTATTTCCGTTCTATTCTTCGGTAAGCCGCATCCTATGGACTAGTAGTATTGCTCTCGCAGGCCCGTAGGGCTCGCCGCGCCGCCAGGCGGGGGACGCGCTCAGCGCCGCGGCCACTTAACTCGAACCGACGGCTGGGTAGGAGCCTGGGGGTGCGCGTTGTGCGCCCGATGCGCTCCGCGAGCCCGTATCGCTTGGTGCCGACTCCCGCGCATTTCCGTCCCCCTCCGGATCCTGGGCGGCGCGAACGTCCTCGCTATGTCTTCTTCTCCATCCTATTGGCTACGTCGCGCCTGGTCAGCCGCGCCCGTTCCACCTGCACGGTCGCGCCTTCCACGTATTTCGCTCCGCCGCCTCGACGGAAGATGAGTCCGTCAATCCGCCGCAGCACCGTGTCCACGGGCATCGCGGGGGACAACTCCACGATCCCCTTCTGCATGAGTAACGAACGCCGCGGGAACAGAAGACGATATATCGCTCATGAACGCCTGCAGCAAACGAGGAAGAGACGGCCGCCGATACCGACAGAATGCGGACCGTGGGCTGGTTGGCGCTGGTGCCTGCGTTTCCAGCCAATTGCGTCCCCCGCAAAACACGCGGCGCATATCGTCTGTGGAAGTTCCCCTCGAAGTTCCCCCTCCGAGTCTAGAGCCGCACCACGACCGAATCCTCGTTTCTCGCTGTTTCGAGTCTGATTCCGGAACCCTCTGTTCGGCACTTCCTCCTGGACATGCGTTATCGTCCGCGTGGTCGAGCGCACCGCGGTGATCATGTGAGTCTGCAGCTCGCTCCTCACTTACTTCCTGCGCTCAAGGTGCTACTCCGGGATATTGATGCCGGCTGCTCCGCTGCTCTTCAATATCATGTCACGCGGACGTGCTCTTGTGACCAACTGAGGTTGCGAAGATCATCGGTGCAAACATCTCCGCAGCAATGCTTCTGTACACAACCCTCCTGAACCGTGGCATGGGGTCATCGGCAACGCGGCGAAGCACTGCCGCGGACCTTCCCGAATCCTCGTTGCAACGATATGTTCTGTGCATGCTTGGACCAGCTGACTCATTTGTCTCAGGGGTGTTCATCTCCGCTCAAACCAGGGCTCTGCAGCTGGGAGATCTAGAACATCGCGCTTGTCCTTCCTGGAGACGGCGTCGAGCTGCTTTCCGAGTCCCCGCTTCGCACCCCGCGGGAATATAGTGCCCATTCGCGCGCATACACTGTCATTGATAACGAGGCGGTGACTGAGACACTCGCGGTTACTGGAGTCTACTCCGGCGATCCAAGCGTCGGCGAACATCTGGGTATCGGACCACACCATTTACCTTGCGACGAATGACATACCTCTCAGCTTCGCCCAATGGTGGACACGCACGGTATCAGAGCCTGACATGTTCGTGGCAAGGAACGTCATCTCGCCCTGGTAGCGCGAAGCCTGCCTACACCCTATTTGCTTTTATTTCTCAGGAGAAGCATCGGAGGCGCTCTGACGCTATTGCGTGCATGTTCCACATGGTGGAACGTGCGGTCGGCGTCTGAGACTGGGGTCGCCTTTGCTGCAACTTGGCCTCTTCTGTCTCGCCCTCGGCCCTCGACCCATCTCTCGTCTCCTCCCGTCCAACTGGTGTCTCCTCCCAGCCATCGACATCCTCTGTGAACCAAAGTACCGCAAAACCCATCGACCGTCTTGGATACTCTCATCGTACGTCCCCTCTTCCGATGCTTTGTATCGCATTTGCTCATGCTCCCCAAGTTTCCGTACCCCTCCCGCAGATCGTGCACATCACCTCTCACTCGGTATTCGTGCTTACTCTCGCCTGACATACCTGTCCTAATATTCGTGATAGAAGCGATGTGGCTCCTGGGCACCGCGCGCGCGAACCTCGTCTTCTTTCCCCAACCTGAAGACGTTCCTGGAGGCTATGTTATCCTGTCCCACACCTGGCTCGGGGAGTACGAAGGAAAGGAAGACACGTTTCAAAAGGTTCAAAAGCTGAACGAAGAATCCAACGCTCCCTCGCTCCGGTCCAAGCTGCGATCTCTCATCTCCCCAGTGATCTCAAAGGGATTTTTGGCGCTCAAAAACCCACGCGATCGCCTCACTCCCAAAGTTCAATCGTTCCTTGAGCTCGCCGAAAAGCACGGGCACGAGTACGCTTGGGTCGACACGTGCTGTATCAACAAGGAGAGCAGTGCCGAGCTCTCGGAAGGCATCAATTCCATGTTCCGCTACTATGCCCTCTCCGCCATCTGTTACGTCTACCTCAGCGACGTCGAATACTCCGACACTGATTCGGGCAAGATGTGGCGCGCCTTCCTAAACAGCCGCTGGCACCGGCGGGGCTGGACTCTCCAAGAGCTCATCGCGTCCCGCGTCCTCGTGTTCTATTCCACAGAGTGGACCTGTCTGGGTAGCAAGCACGAGCTCGCCGATCGCCTAGAATGGGCAACTGGAATCTCTGCGGTAGTCCTCCGCTTCGAGAGCCCGTTTACCGACGTCAGTATCGCGACGCGAATATCCTGGGCGGCGCATCGGGAAACCACGCGGCCGGAAGACGCTGCCTACAGCCTCTTCGGGCTTTTCGGGGTCAACATGCCGACGCTTTACGGCGAAGGGCGGCACGCATTCTGCCGGCTCCTCATGGAGATCTCGAAGACGTCGCGGGATCCTTCTATTTTTCTCTTGGGAGAACGATGGGATGCATACGGCTTGCGACACCTCCAATCGGGCCTCCAGGACAATCCCCGAGGCCAAACCCGTCGTCATATTCTCCCCCTTCAGCCTTCGCCGACCTTTCATCTATTGCGCCTTATTCCTAGGGTAATCAGATACGAACTCAGTCCCCGCTCGCAGAGAGGAAAAGATGAGGTACGCTGGTATGGATGCCATTCTACGCTGTGCTACATTGACGACCATTTTAGCACGGCTTGATTGCAAGGACGACCACAGAACTCCGTCCTCCCACGTTTTCCGTGTCACCAGCCGGGATCGAGCTCCACGCGGCCGTTCTGCCTCTGGATGATACAGAGAGAGTCATCCTCGTCGACTTGTTCTGCAGAGATCCCGACCACGTCTTCCTCTTGCTTGAAAGGGTCGACGACTGCAAGCTCAATGCTCACGCTGCTCCGCTATACCAGCCCACAGAGAGCCCCGTTGTGTCGCTGCGAGAATCAAGCACGGCGATCGACTCACATGGCTGGAAGATGACCAACCTCCGTGTTGTAGCCCTCCCTCCGTACACTGGTGACCTCTCCGAGGGCGAAACCGCAGGGATGGACTCGCTGAGGCGCTTCTGCGAAGCCACCGCTACCAGCTCCCCCTTTCACCTTGTCTTTCGCGACTTCCTCCAGCTCCGGAACATGAGACTTTTCTTCGACGGTGACAGAAGCACCCTGCCGTCGCCTTCTTCCACCAAAGACGTCTCCATGTGGTTTACTCACAGCTACTATCTTCGAAGGCTCGTAGTCGTTCTTGGGACATGCTCTCGTACCAAGTCCGCCATCGACAACCACCTACGCACATCCAGGACAACCTTTATGTCATCCTGGATCGCCACGGAGACACCAGGTCCAGGCGTCCCACGCCGACCACGCTTCTGCATCCTTCGTTATTTCGACAGCGATGAAGAAGCCCCGGCCGCTGCGGCTGCGCATTCGTGCGAAACGGATCATATCGATATGGACGGACCATGGCCAGTGGAGCGCCGAGCGCAGGTTCGGCGTTGGGAAGTCGTGTTATCGTTATTTCCTAGTCCATTGGGTAGAGAAACGCTGCGAGTGAAATTCCGCGTTGTCAAGAACGTATGGTAGACGAAGAAATTGGTTTGTGTACAGCTTCAGGTCTGGTGGCACGAGACGTAGAGCGCGGCCTATTGTAAATATCACCGCACATTTTCTAGAGCCAACCAACTTACTGCCAGATTTTACTGTCCGTTTGTCGTCTGCTCGTCCGTGGGTCACTGTCCGTCACTGTGACAGACGGACAATGCCCCACAGACGTGTGAAAAATTACTGATGGCCACGAACACAACATCTTCAACCAGCCTAGCGCCCGCGTGATCATCTCCGCATTCGGTCCTCGTCTTCGCGCATCTCGTCTATTCTGCCTCACGCACATATCGGGACCCGCACACAGATGTATTATTGATATTGCGTACGTATAGCTCATGGAGCTGTCAAGACGCGACGCATGCGATTGTACCGCGGCGTCCTCCGTGCACTCTCGCGGTCTACTCCGCGCACAAGTACTCGATCACCACTACCCGCGGCGCGGCGCCCTCTCCCTCTCGCAATGGCACCCCGTAGCCGTCATCGTACGTCCTCTTATCACTTTATTGCCTATAAAACGATCCGGAATATCCACCTTCTTCGTCCCCTTTTCATTTCTCTCTGTCTTGGTCCACCTCCATCCATCTCCACGCTCTCTCTAGCTTGTTCCGCAGTGTCCCCCGCGCCAAGGATTTATAATTGGCTTTTGTACAGTATCTTCTCCTAGATACGCCCTCGCGCCGCGCGCGCTGTATACTATGTATGTAGGCTATGAGTCAACTTTCTATTCTCGCGTGTGCGGTGTGCTCATCCAGCTTCCCGTCGACTTCTTCTTGATACACCTTGACCTCTCCCACGCCCACGCCCACGACCCCGTCCTGACTCTCGCCCTCGCGCGCATCCTTCATCATCTCGCCTGCCCGTGTGCGCGACCTCTTCTTTCCCGCGTCTATTCTCCCGTCCTCGTCCACTTCGCGCGCCCCGCGTTCGGCCTCCACGCAGGGCGTCGTATCTTGCTTCTTTTTCACCTCACTCGATTTCCCGAGCCTCGCGGTCACGCGAGATCGCTCCCTCGTCACCCCTGCCACCGACTCTACGCCAGAGTTGGCACCACATCGGCGTGCAACAGCATCGTCACGACCGTTCCATGCGTGATGCTAGCGATAGACGGAACTGCAGTGCGCCTGCACCGCACGGCGACAGCGCGAGGGTATCAGTTGATAGGCCCGTTATAAGGAGGTATGATGGTCAGTATGAGACAAGTCCGACAAGTTCCAGTGCAGCACTCAGGACCGCGCGCACTGAGAATCGTGTTCTCAAGAGTGGATGACCCCGCTGTGCGAGTACTGTTGTCAGTTCTCCATCTGTGTCGCTATAATCTGCGTATTCTCACCATTGTAGTAGTATACCCGGCTTCCTGATCTTCTATTAACACGGGCACGTTCGCTTCAAAGAGATCGAGAGCACGCGGCTGCCGGCGCGAGCGCGCGATGCGCCATCCACTCTCTTCTCTGCGCACAAGCTAGTCGCTTGGGGCCTATGCAACGGGATTAGCGGTGAGCGAACGCGCGATATCCCATCTTACCTCAACGCGTGTGCCATGAACCCAATGCTCACACCTCCCAGTTGTAACGGTCCACGTTACGTCATGCACGTTACGATCATCTCGGCTACCGCTTTCGGACTCGCGCTATGTACCTGCATTTTGGATTCCACGTACCTTTTGAGCAACCAACACACACCCTCTGCTACGACACCACGCCCTGCGGACGGCTCGGCGGTCGTCCTGCTCGCCTACGACTCTCCTGCGGGCAGGCTATGTGACGTCCCGGCCGCCGACCGTCACACCAGCTCGTCGTACGTCTCTCCTTTCCTGTTGCATGACATTGTTCCCCGGCGCTGATGAAACGCTCAGGTCTACTACGCAACAGCAATGATGAAAGGTACCGTGCTCGTCCAAACCCGTGCCCGCGGACGAGGGCCAGGGTACGTCGCAGGTCGGGTAAGGGCATGCTCCATTTGCCCATACCCGACCCGTGCCATTCCCTAGGCATGATCACACTGGAGTACGTGCATACCAGGGTAGCTTGGATCTCGATGCGCTCGGTCGGGTCTGAGGTGACGTTGAGTTGGGTGAGAAGCAGTCCCGCGCAACAGTGGCGTCGTGGATGTCGAGGAAGGCGAAGGGGCCGGCTTGTTCTTTGGTCGTCGCCGGGACACTGCTCCGAAGACGAGACGGTCTGTAGATAGGTCAGTGCACTGTATCAAAACGAGGGTATGTCGGAGTACGCACCATCTAGTCCAACACCTCCAAAGAAGAACGCAAGCTCGGAGAGGCGGTCCGCGGGCAAACTCCCGATGTCCACCATCAACCACATTGTCCGTCCCGGTCTATCCATATCGCGTGTCAGTTACAGGACCACCGCCGCGGAAGAATCCCGCCTACTGAAGCTTGCCTGGGTGGGATTTCTGCAGATGAGAGGATGAGTCGACGATGACCGCTTTCAGGGAAGGGTCAAACGTACATCGGGTTGTAGAACATGAGGAGAGCGCCCTCGGTTCCGCGGGCCGTCTCTCTGCGCAATCTCCAAGCTGGGGCAGCATGGTCGTCCACTCCTTCCAGATGCGAGGACGCTGGTCTGAAGACGCGCCCTGCCTGAAAACTGGGTGTCAGCACGTATCAATCCTCCCGCATCCTTATTCAACCGCATATACCCACCTTTGAGTATAGATGAGAAGGGCACGCGTCCAGATCAGACGCCGCAGTGACGTCACCCCGTTTCCCAGCTCGAATCTGTGTCAAGCCGGCCTCGCACTGATTAGGGAAACGAGCGCAGAACATACTGAGATAGCGCGACGGGTGTGGAGAGAGATCCGGTGGCCTCGACAGGGGATTCCTAAGAGAATTGAATAAATGGCACTCACATGAGGTGGAGTCGGAGTGAGCCGCCCGAGGGATCGTGGATGTCGATCGCTGTCAAGAAGAGCCAGGAATTATACGATAACGCAGCTTGTACGGTGTCGGGTGCCACAGCCGGCATGCAGGATGCGAGGGACTCCATCGAGCACGACGACGTCCGCCCGCGCCCGCGGCATCGACGGCGATTACAGCTTGAGCGTGAGCATACCGAGGGCCGAGCAGACAGCCTCCTCCGTGTCCGGCTCCGCTCGCGCCCCGTGCAGGCATGCGACGGTGGCCGCACCCGCTAGGAGTCGTCACGAAGAGAGCACGGTGAGGGCTTCGAGCACTGTGCTCGAGGAGTGTGGCAAACGCAGGCTCGGCGTCGGTCTAGAGGCAGAGGCGCAGTGCGAGCGCGGAGGGGAGGCCGCGCTTGGGCCAGCGCACGGGGAAGGCGTGCGTGTCGGGTGTGCGGTCGCGGCGGACGTGTCAAGGTGGAGGTGACGACGAGAGTGAGGTCGTCATGCAAAGCGTCGAGGCTCACGCTCGTGGGCGCGGGAGGCGTGTTGAGACGGTGCTGGAGCGCTTGGGGAGCGGCTGTATGTGCCCGGCGGCTGGGAGGCGGAGGGCGTCGACGAGGGCACGCACGGCGCGCCATTGGGGGCAGTGCGTGACGATGATGGTACGCTCGGCGGGAAGATGGACGGTCGGGATGGGCGTCGAGGGGAACGTCTGTTCCCATGTGTTAGCAATTAAGAGTTTGGAGTCGTGGAAGACGGAGAGCCGTGGAGTGGCGGAGAGGAAGTCTAGTAGCCGACGCGCGACGGAAAGCAAACGGTGGGAGCTAGGTCGCGTTCCGTACTCGTGGCCGCAATCCCATACAGACTGGCCCGCGCGGGACGTCGTCGTGGACTGACGGGCTCAGAGGGCGGCAGCTCTGGAAGGTTTGTCCACACCGCGCTACGGCCGTGCTCGCACACGTTTTGGGTACTTACCACCAGCGTCGGAATTCAGCGGACGCCACCGCTTTCGTGTTCGAGTTGTGTGCTCGAGTGAAGCAGCTCGGTCAGCCAGCTGCTGTCGGGGGTTGTGGCTCGTGCGGCGCGCCAACTTCTTTCCACTCGTGTGGTCCTGCGGCCTGAGCTGGGCGGCGTGCGGCCGAATTCAAGTCGTTGTCCTGTCATGGCTTACGTTGGAGGTGTCGCGCTTCATGCGGCGGCCCCATCTGAGGCATGGCCATTGGGGTGAGGGCGGCTGCGCTTGTCTCTGTAAACACCCAGGGTACCTGAACGAGGAGGGGGGACGTCAGCGATCTAAAACAAGTCCGGAAAGCCGGCCACCAGAATGGCGGCACGAATATGTACGCATGTTCGCCACGACATAGAAGTGCACCTTGCAAGCTGATGAAGTTTGAACAAGGTGAAAGATGTGGCTTGCACACAGCGACGGACCTCGCTTACGTCAGCTCTCACGCGCGTTGGCGCCGCGTTCTCTCGTCTCCGAGTCGCCGGCAGGCACTGGACTCGTTCGTCCACTGCCTCCTTCCTCTCACCATCCACATCTATCCTGCCCTGCGGAACTCTCACTAAGACGCGCTTTTCTCTTGCCCTTCTCCCCATTTGACTCCCTCCGAAGTCATGAGATCATGCTGCAAGTTTGGCACCTTTCTCGCGGGGTACGGAGTGCCGAGACAGGCCTTCCCGTAAACTGAAGGGGGATTGGTACGCAGCTATCCATGCTCCCTGAGTCCTTGTCGCGATGCCTGGTCTCACACCTTACCCGCCTTTCCCTCAGGACGTCTCCACCAGCCCCCTCTTCGTGATTGACTATGAGCTTATCAAAGCTGGAGATGCGGACGAGATCGAGAGGCTCTGGAAGGCTGCGACGGAGATGGGGTTTTGGCAGTGGGTGACTGCGCAGTGCTTCAGTGAACATTACGACTAACCGGAGATCCGTTCCAAGCCTCACGAACCACGAGGAAGAGGAAGGGATGTTTGCTATGGGTGAGGAGGCGACCGCTCTTACCCTCGAAAGAAGCTGCTTCTTGGGCAGGGAGACCACGGCGTTTCGTTTGGGTACGTTCTCTCGAATCTCTCGCATTTACACTCTCCACCAACCTCCGCATCGGCACAGCTACAAGGCCGCCGGCGTGCTGTTCACCGACAACAAAGGCACGCGCGACGTCACCGAGTTTGTCAACATCTCCAGGAACGACGCGCTCGCCTGGCTGGCCGTTGCCCGCGGCAGGTACCCCTCCTCCGCCAACGCGTGGATGGAGTCCACCATCACGCCATTCGTGAAGAACTTGTCGCTCGCGATCGACAACCGCCTCATCGGCGTCCTCAACGACAAGCTCAGGCCTTGCGGGCACGCTCATAAGGCCGAGGAGTTCAGCTGACGCACGGCACGTTTCATCAGAGCGCCGCCGTGTGCTGGGCCGAACTTTGAGTCCATGGTGAGTGGTTTGCCTTGTGGCCCCTCGCGTTGTACCGACATCGCCCTCCCCAGTCGTTCCTCCACAATCGCCTCGGGGGCTTGCAGGTGCTCCCGCCCGGGTCTGACCAGTGGTTCTACATCAAGGTCAGCCAGCGACCCTTCTCGATCCGCCGCGCTCATGCTCACGCAGTCGTCCATCGCTTAGCCCCTGTCCGGACACGCAACCTGCAACATCGGCGACGCCCTCAACATCTTCTCCGGCGGCATCCTGCGCTTCAACATCCATCGCGTCGTGTGAGTCTGTCCACGACGCCCCAATGCTCCGCGTCTCATTCCCCTCCCAGCCCGCCTCCGCGGAAGCAGGCCCAGTACGAACGCCACTCTGTCGTCTTCTTCACCCCCGAACGACATCGTCGAGCTACGCACGCTGTCCGAGCAGAACGAGCGCATCGCCGCGGCGGTCGCCAATGCGCCGCTGGGGAAGTACACCCCCAGCGTGATGGCGATGGAGTGGCTGGTGAGGAGGGTCAAGGCAGCGGGTGACAAACTGCAAGGTATGTCCCGGCCCGCTGATGTGCGCTGTTGCGAAGGGCTGATGAAGCCGGTAGGGTCCAGATAGCTGGACGGATAGGCAGGGTACTGAGGACACGGCGATTCCGAGCCAGGGGAAGATCTGAACAGCTTCGAATAACGTGTATGTACTATGTACAGTCATAGCTCTTAATGAACACACGCGTTTCCAACACCCCGACTGCGTCGTCTGCGGACGGGGATCCATACGTTAACATGTAGCCGACTGTTTCTGGACACTCGAAGTCTAGGCCCCATCTGCAACGTCTTGGTGTACCCGACGAGCATGCTCGGCATGAACGACAAACCCGATATTTATTTCGCGCATGGTGGTATAGCAAAACGTTAAGCAAAACGTAACACGCGTAGCACAATACGGAGGGTCGACGAACATCACCGTCCCTACCCTCGTGAGGACCGCAACTCGTCCTGCACAGCACCCTCGCTGGAAACCTCCCCAGCCTCACGCTCCACGTCGCATGGTTCTGCAGAAATCTCGTCCCTGCAAACGCACGAAATCAGCCCAACATCCACGTACAACGATCGATCCACTCACCCCACTGCCTCCGTACCCCGGTGCCCGGGATTTCCCATCCTGTCCGCATACAGCTCGAACTCCGTGCACTGCGGTCCAAGCTGCACCCGCTCGTTCGCGCGCCCGCGCACCCCGCTGAGCAGAACGACCACGGTCCTCAGGGTGGGGCACGCGGCGCACAGCCGGCGCGCGAGCGCGTCCAGGTCGAGCCCGCGCATGAACGCCTCGGCCGCGCACGGGGGGTCCGCGACGAGGTAGCACAAGACGCTGACGACGCGCACCCAGAGCGCGGGGAGGCTTCCGACAGCGGCGAAGAGGCCGTCCTGCCGAGCAACGCCGGCGTCAGCGTTGGAGGAGCGCAGACGGAAGCGGATTCGAGGGACGTACGACGATCGCGGGGGCGTGGACGTCCACGGGAGAGTTCGCGTGTACTAGCTGGCGATGAGGGTCGCTTTTAAGTACTTCATCTGCAGAGGGGCGGTCCGTGACGCGACCGACGTTGAAGCTTTCGAGGGAAAGGTGCACAGGCCCGAATGGCTTTGACGATGAGAGCCGGTCCCTTGATGCAGAGCGTGCGGATGGGGCAGGAGGGCGCAAGCAGGAACAGATCGTTGAGGAGGGCGCGGCGCGACCGCAGCGGCTTGTGACTCAGCCTACTCGGAGAGAAAATACGAGAGCCAGGAGGGTGAACATTTGGTGCACGTGCGTCGTGCCGTCAGACGAGGGGCCACCGGAGTTCTTGAACGCCTTCCGCGGAATGTTGACCTTGGCGGAGGAGGACGGGAGCGGAAGGAGTAGCGGAGGAAGCGCGTGCGGCGAGCACTGCAGGGGGCGAGGGAAAATGAGCCTCGTTCGACGATTGAACCTCCGAGCGCCAGGGGTAGACCGCTTGCAGCCAGCTGGCCGGCGTGCGACGGGCCCGAGGACAAGGGTGCTTCGTCCTGCGGCAGTAGTGACCACATTTCTCGCTGACGGCGGTGTCGACGAGGGACAGGGACTTGAGCTCGTCGACGTCGATTCCAGGACGTTGACGCACAACCTCGGGCCCGTCCTTCCAATGACGGAGCTCGGGAGGCCGTCCGACGCGCTCATCGCTGGCGAGCTTGGCCGCAGGACGAGGAGGTGTTAATCCCACTGCTCAGACCCGCGTAGCTGCCGCTGTTGCCACCACCCAGCTCCTGTCAGGCGGGATGCGGTAAATCGTGCGCGGGGGGCTGCGCACCCGCGACACGCCCACCGCCGCGCGACGGTCCTCCTCCACGAGCTCGGACGAAGCCTGCAGTATCGTGGGCGGAACCGCGTCGGACGAGCGCGGCAGCGTGAGGGGCTTGGAGGCGATAGCGGCCGGACGGGGAGCGCGTCGACATCCATCGAGTCCGGGGTGAAGCCAGTGACAGGGCCATCGACCTCGCAGTGGCCGAAACAGACCGGAACCGTGGGCTGTGCGTCGTCCTTCGTCGGGGGATCGACCTCCATCGCGTCGGTGGGAGTCTCGCTGAGAACGCTGGTGCGTCTGCGGTACTCGTCGGAAACACCTGGGCGGCCATGGAGCCGAGTTATCGACCTAGTCCTCCTTGCGCTTCTGCATCTTGCGGCGGACGGCGCCGATGGCGATGAACACACCGCTCCGGCTGAGTCCGGCTGAGTGGCGGCGGTGCACGGGGGTGTCGTCTTTCCCAGTAGTAGCCTCGACTTCTTCCCCGGCACAGTCCTTGTTCAAGACGATCGTCTTGCCATGTGCACGTGCGAGGCTCTTGGCAGTAGACTGGCCGAGCGATCCTTCGCCCTATGGGTTCTGTCCAGTCGAACAGGCATGTTCGACAGTGTTGCTCTGGTCGGACAGGGACCGAGTAGCGGAAGGCAATGAAGATCTCCCAACGAAGATCCTGGAGCAGCCCCAGATGTGAGGAGTATCGATTGCGCAGATATTGGGGACGATATGCCACGACAGAATATTGCGATATCTTCATCATCCATGTTCGTGTTGTGAATAAAGTCCTCCGTCGGCAAGATGGTGGAAAACTGTTACCTGGGATATATTAGCAAGTGCACCGAACTTCGGAAAAGCGAAACAACGCACCGCGGCTTGGTTGCAAGCAGTATCATCTCCGTTATAGACCATTGGTAGACCCGGGAAAGCAAGAAACTAGAGGTGCGGACGCGTGAAACACATTGTTGTCCCACTGGGCTGGAATAGAATCATCCTCAGCACGAGTGACTCCGTGTGATCGTACCACAGTACACACCTCGATCGCGCGAAGTTCAATGACAAACCCTTCTGCTACCACTGACTGCCCTTCCCTCTTCACTGAGGAGGCCACGGGAGTGTCGGCACGCCAGCTCGTAGGCAGCCTACGCAACTACATACTCGTCCGCGCGCGAGACCGTCGCTTAGGAAGTAAAAGTTCGCTGAAAAGGACCCGTCAGCAACCGCACTACTACATTGGAGGGGAGCGCCGACTGCGGTACGCGGTAACCAGAAGAATGACCGGAACTCACCGTCAACACTGGGGTGCACCCATCAAGGTTTCCCGAGCGACGTACACGCCGACATTGCACAGGTCGAGAAGTTGCAAAGCACTTGCTGTCACGCTCATCAGAGTTGACAACATCTTGAATTTCGTGCACAGTTCCATGCAGCATTGAAAATGTGACTCGACGACTGCCATCGCCTGCCGATGGTAACCTTATGAAAGATATCTATGAGGGGGAGAGCGCGCACGTCTGAGAGGACGCGGCGATTGCGAGGGTAGGCAATCGACATTGGTCGCGGTATGGGGGGAGAGCACGGCTGTAGACTCACTCTTGGCCTCGTCCACAGGACATTCTCGCTCAAACTCCCAAGCCCGCGGAATAGTTGAGGAGAGTGGATGGCGGCCGAAGTCCTGAGCGGAACCGGGATTCAGAGGGGCTCTGACGCAGAATGAAGGTGGTGACATGTACGTACCGAGTCGGATGTGATGCAGGAGCCCGTACTGTCAAGAGCTTGCGAGACGGCTAAACCGCATGTTTGGTATCCGTGGACGCGGCAAGCCTCCCTTTGAAGGCGACTCATGCTGATCTCAAATGGTTGGAACTTGGGCAGGAGAGGACCAAGGAGATGAAACAAGAGCGTGTCGCCCGCGTCCAGTGGAGGGGTGCGAGGCTTGGAGGCAGCAGGGTGGACGAAGAGCAGGAGAGAACGTAGCACTGGTGTCTCCAGCCTGCAGGTGTTCCGGCGTCCGGCACTCGCCGGACCGACGGATAGGCGCGTCATCATCGACGCTTGCAGATGCGATGCGCACGGCGACGCTTATGCACATGTCCGTGAACAGCATCTCAAGACAGAGGACGATTGAGACGGGATGCACGTCGTGCGCTCGATGCGCTCTGCGCACTCGTATCACTTGGTGCCCACCCGCGCGCGTTTCCGTCCCCTTCGGATCCTTGCGGCGCGTCCTCGCCACCATGTCTCCTTCCCCATCGATATCCCAGCCACACCCGTTCCACCTGCACGGTCACGCCTTCCATGTAGTCCGCTCTGCCTCCCCGACGGAACATGACTCCAACAACCCGCCGCAGCACCACGTCGTGTCGCTGGGGATAACGCCACGACCCCCTTCGGCACGAGTAACTGGGGCTTGCGCTTGAAGTCCACCACTGCGACATCAACTAACGCCTGCTTATGTACGCCTGGAGCAAACGAGGAAGAACCGGCCGCCGATACCGACAGAATGCGGACCGTGGTCTGGTTGGCGCCGGTGCCTGCGTTTCGAGCCAACTGCGTTCTCTTCGATGACATCTCTTTCCCCCGCCATCCCCGGCTAGCCACGCGGAGCATACTGTCTACGGAAGCTCTCCTGGACGTTCCCTTTCCGACTCGAGAGCCGCACCACAACCGGTTGCTCTTTTCTCGCTGTTTCGAGTCTTGCATGATGATTCCTGAGCCTTCTCCTATTCCTGAACGTTATCGCGCGCGTGATCGAGCGCACCGCGGTGATCATGTGAGTCCGCATCTAGCTCCTCTCCTCTTTCTTGCGCTCAAAGTGCTACTCCTGGGTATTGATTCCGGCTGCTCCGAGGCTCTTCAGTATCATAAATCTGGTAATTCACACGGACCTGCGCCTGAGGGTCCGAAGATCGTCTGCGAGAACTGCTCCGGGGCGACAATTTTGTCCAAACCGCGCGTGGACTACATACATATTGCATGTGCCGTCACCGGCAACACGGCGAAGCGCTGCGGTGGTCCTGCCTGAATCCGGTACGTCATGGGCATGCTTGGGACCAGCTGACCCATTTATCTCAGCGGTGTTTATCTCCGCTCAAACCAAGCTGTTGTGCGGCCGGGAGATCTAGAGCATCGCGCCTCTCTTTCCTGGAGACGGCGTTGAGCTGCTCTCCAATCCCGGCTTCGCACCTGGCAGCTGGCATCCGGTGCCCATTCGCGCGCATACATTGCCATACGAGCGCGGCTGAGATCTCTCGCAGTTACTGGAGTCTGGCTACTCCGGCGATCCAAGCGTCGGCGAACATCTGCGTATCGGACCGCATCATGTACCTTGCGACGAATGACATATCTCTCAGCTTCGCCCAATGGTGGACACGCACGGTATCAGAGCCTGTCATGTTCGTGGCAGGGAACGTCATCTCGCCCTGGGAGTGCACACACTCTGTTCGCCTTCATTTCTCAGGAGGTGCCTTGGAGGCGCTCCGGCGCTATCGCGTGCATGCTCCGCACGGTGGGACGTGCGGTCGGCGTATGGGACCGGGGTCGCCCTTGGCCTCTTCCGTCTCCCACTCGACCCATCTCACGTCTCCTCTCGTCCATCTTGCGTTTCCTCCCAGCAACCGACCCCCTCTGTGCCAATATCAAGTACAGATAACCCAATCGACCGTCTTGGATTCTCACTGTACGTCCGCTCTTCCGGTGCTCTGTATCGCATTTGCCCATGCTCCCGCAGTGTCTGTGGTCCCCCTTCCACGAATCTTCCACAGCAACTCGCACCCGGTATTCGTGCTCGCCCTTGCATGAAATACCTGTGCTAATATTCGTGAAACAAGCGATGTGGCTCCTGGGCACCGCGCGCGCGAACCTCGTCTTCTTTCCCCAACCTGAAGGCGTTCCTGGAGGCTATGCTATCCTGTCGCACACCTGGGGAGGAGAAGAAGAGACGTTTCAAAAGGTTCAAAAGCTGAACGAAGAATCCAGCGGCACTTTCTCCCAGGAAGATCAACGTCCCCTGCCCCGAGCTGAGCTCCGATCTCTCATTTCTGAGGCAGTCTCCGAAGAAGCGGTGACTCGCAGGGACTTAGAAGATGCTCTCCATCAAGTGGAATCCCGGATCATGCAGAAGCTCGATGCCAGGCTACCCCCTCCTCGCCGTACCCGCGATCGCGCCGAAGAGAATCTCCGAGATAGTACCGAATGCGAGCCTGGTCAGTGCAATTAAAGCTCGTTTTCACTCCTCGGCGCTGACGTACGAGACCCAAGGTCGCTCGACACATTCAGATCCACGTGCCCCCACGATACCGCTTTCCCCTACTCCTGCACCCGTCCAAGGGCTTGCTGAGCCATCCCGCTCGTCGCCACCATGGTTCAACCCACGCGATCGCCTCACTCAAAAAACTCGATCATTCCTTGAGCTCTCCGAACGGCACGGGCATGAGTACGCTTGGGTCGACACGTGCTGTATCAACAAGGAGAGCAGTGCTGAGCTCTCGGAAGGCATCAATTCCATGTTCCGCTACTACGCCGTCTCCGCCATCTGCTACGTCTACCTCAGCGACGTCAAATACTCCGACACTGATCCAGACAAGATGTGGGACGCCTTCCGATGTAGTCGCTGGCACTCGCGGGGCTGGACTCTCCAAGAGCTCATCGCGTCCCGCGTTCTCGTGTTCTATTCCAAGGAGTGGATCTATCTGGGCACCAAGTACGAGCTCGCCGATCGCCTAGAAAAAGCAACCGGGATCTCCGCGACAGTCCTCCGCTTCGAGAGCCCGTTTACCGACGCGAGCATCGCGACGCGCATATCCTGGGCAGCGCATCGGTACACCACACGGCCGGAAGACGGTGCCTACAGCCTCTTCGGGCTTTTCGGGGTCAACATGCCGACGCTTTACGGCGAAGGGCGGCACGCATTCTGCCGGCTCCTCATGGAGATCTCGAAGACGTCGCGGGATCCTTCGATTTTTCTCTTGGGAGAACGACGGGATGCATACGGCTTGCAAGACCTCCAATCGGGCCTCCAGGACATTCCCCGGGGCCAAACCCGTCGTCATATTCTCCCCCTTCAGCCTTCACCCGACCTGCGTTCTGTGTCCTACGACCCAAGAGCACGCTCTCAGAGGGGACAAAATGAGGTACGCGAGTATGGATACTATTCTACGCTGGGCTACATTGACGACCATTTTAGCACGGCTCGATTGCAAGCGCGACCGAAGAAATCCGTGCTCCCACGTTCTCTATGTCGCCAAGTGGGATCGAGCTCCATGCAGCCGTTCTGCCTCTGGATGATACACATAGATTCTTCCTTGTCGACATGTTCTGCAGGGATCCCGACCCCGTCTTCCTCGTGCTTGAAAGGGTGGATGACGACCTCAACGCTGGTTCTGCTCCGCTCTACCAGCCCACAGAGAGACCGGCTGTTGTGTCAATGAATCAATCAAGCACCGCGATTGCCTCACATAGCTGGACGATGGCCGACCTGCGCGTTGTAGCGCTCCCGCCGTACACTGGTGACCTCTCCGAGCGCGAAACCTTAGGGATGGAGTCGCTGAGGCGCTTCTGCGAATCCACCACTACCGGCTCCCCCTTTCACCTTGTCTTTCACAACTTCCTCCAGCTCCAAGAAGATTACGTATTCTTCGACCACGTCGCAAGCACCCTGCACTCTCCTTCTTCCGCCGGAGATATCTCCCTCCATTTCAGGTATCATTGGCGCCGTGCAGCGCTCGTTGTTGTTCTTGGTACATGCTCTCGTACCGAGTCCGCCATCGACAACCACCTACGCTCGTCCGGGCCAGCCTCTCTGTCATCCCGGATCGCCACGAAGACGCCAGGTCCAGGCGTACCACACCGACAACACTTCTGCATCCTTCATTGGTCCGACAGCAATGAAGAAGCCCCAGCTGCGCATTCGTGCGAAACGGATCATATCGACATGGACGGATCATGGCCAGTGGAGCGCAGAAAGAAGTATTGGTCTTGGGAAGTCGTGTTGTCGTTCTCTCCTAGTCCGTTGGGTAGAGAAACGGTGCAAGTGAAATTCCGCATTGTCCCGAAGTATGGAAGGTAGACGAAGAAATTGATTTGTGTACAGCTTTAGGCATGGTGGTACGAGACGTGGAGCGCCGCCTATTGTAAACATCACCGCACATTTTCCAAAGCCAACCAACAGTTCCATCTATCGCTAGCACCGCGCATGGAACGGTCGTAACGATGCTGTTACACGCTGATGTGGTGCCAACTCTGGCGAGTCTCGATGGCAGGGGTGAGGGTGAGGGAGCGATCTCGCGTAACCGCGAGGTTCGGGATATCGAGTGAGGTGAAAAAGAAGCAAGATACGACGCCCTGCGTAGAGGCCGAACGCGTGGCGCGCGAAGTGGATGAGGACGGAGGAATAGACGCGGGGAATATGAGGTCGCGCACACGGGCTGGCGAGAAGATGAAGGATGCGAGGGCGACAGTGGGCGTGGGCGAGGTCGTGGGCGTGGACGTGGGCGAGGTCGAGGTGTAGCGAGGCGAAGCTGGATGAGCACATCGCACATGCGAGAATAGGGGGGAAGTTGACTCATAGCCTAAATACATACAGCGCGCGTGGCGCGAGGGAGTATCTAGGGGAAGAGACTGTACCGAAGCCAATGAGGGCGTCGTTCTCGTATATCTCGAGGGTGTAGTCATCGTCGCCGAGTAGGTATCGTGCGCCCTTTGTGTCGAGACACCGGTTCGTCTGCATGAGATGAGAGATGGTAACGTCGTCAGAGGACGACATGATGTTCAAGAGGACATCGGGTACGAGGGTAGGCCGTTCGCAGGACGTCTGGATATTCGGCGTCGCCAAGTGATTCCAAAGGAGAATCCATTAAGCAAAACTTACAGGTATCTTCACGGGAATTGTCAGCGATGCACTCCGTTGACCATGAATATTCTTGGACCTACCTTCCAACGACACTGATCCGCAAGTAATAATGATGATTTAAAGTGTTGGCGTTAACGTAGGGAGGGATTTTTGCAGCTTCGCGGTAGTGTGTAGTGGGAGTTCATAAACTCGGAGCAAGACGAGTTCAGTGTCTGACTTGGAATGCATCCGGGGTAACACAATCCGATGAGCTGGGGAAAGCAACAGTGAGGTGATTGACTACCAATCTAAACATCGGGGAACCCACCTCTACAGCCTCGTTGAGATTCAGAACGCCGTCAAACAATAGGCCTGATGAGCGATGGGGCATCTCCGCAGCTTCGTGTATGTGTGGCCATCTACCGCGTCGCCGATGTCAGAGAAGATCGGCGAAGGCAAAAAGGGAGGGAAGGGATAGCCGCTTGGACTTGTAGTAGCCTGGCACTGCGATGCGCGCGGAGCATGCAACGCTAATTGACATACCATTACAACACGCCGCAACCACATCATGTTTTCCTCGCCATCGCCGTGTTGAAGTGGGATGAACACGGTCCTTGTACGTGGAAGAGTGGTGCTCGCGAGTGCGAGGAAGGCGAACGCTTGGTGAACGCCTCAGTCTTCATGCCGCACAATCGTGTACTTCTAGGTCCGAATTCGTGGTGTCGCGAAGAAACATTGGGTTGACAAAGACCAAGGAGGCAAGGAAGTCTAGTTCGAGGACGAGTTAAAGATCGCGGCTCGAATCCTTCGAGTGCAAGAGCTCGCAGTGTGCTGACTAAAGCGTCCGTTAGCGCCCCAGCAACCGCGGTCAGCCCACCTCTCCGTATCTCTCTCTCTCTCCTCGTCCCTGAACTCCCTTGTCACGTACCACCTTCGGGTGTGGCCATCACAGAGTGTACTCTGCTTCATCCTCACGCTCCTCGATGGTTGGAGTCGACAACTCGACGCGCTCCCGACACGCCCTCAACATGTCCGCGCCCCAGCACACCCCCATCGTTGATGCGCCCTTCACTGCCCCGCGATCGTGCACGGGTGGTACGGCCAGAACGCGAGCGGGAACGTGAGTCGAGCATGTGCGCTAAGCTTGTGAGTGCACTCTGTATATCATCGTCGTTGCGCAGAGCGCGCGTGCAGCTCGTGAGCTGCGTCGCATGTACGTACACGCTCGGGCAGGGGGGCCTTGCGGCCAAAGGTGTCCGCCAGACTACCCAAGCGACATCCCCCTACGTCTGTGCGTTGCGGCCGGTGGTGCAACCTCACGAGCTGCACGCACGCACGATCCACGATCCACAGTCCCCAACGAACGGCCGCCTTGACAGTCCCTCAATACGCGCGGTCCCGACTCGCCCTCAATGCGCCATGTCCCTGGAGCGCTCCCACTCCCAACACTCCCAGACGCTACTCCCACTGCGCCAACACATGCAAGGAGGGGCGTGGGATTTTCGTAGTGAGTTACTGCGCCGGGATTCAGTGAACACTACGACTGACCGGCGATCCGTTGCAGACCTCACAAACCACGGCGTATATAAGGGATGTTTGCGATGGTCGAGGAGACGATCGCCCTCGAGGAGAAGCTCCTCTTTGAGCAGGGAGATCGAGACGTTTCTTTCGGGTACGCTCTCTCGAATCTTTTGCATCTGCACCCTCCACCAATCTCCGCATCGGCACAGCTACAAGGCCGTCGGCGTGCAGTTCATCGACGACAATGGCACGCACGACATCATCTCCAAGGACGATACGCTCGCCTGGCCGGCCGTTGCGCGCCGCACGTACGCCTCCACCGTCAACGCGCGGATGGAGCCCATCATGGCCACCATCACGCCGTTCGTGAAGTCGTCGCTCGTGATCAACCACCACCCCGACGATAAGCTTGGGCTCCCTGTGGGCACCCTCGCGTCTCTCCACAAGGTCGAGGGGTCCAGCGGATGCGCGGCGCGGTTCATCAGAGCGCCGCCGTGTCCTGGGCCGAACTTTGAGTCCGTGGTGAGTGGTTTGCCTTGTGGCCCCTCGCGTTGTACCGACATCACCCTCCCCAGTCGTTCCTCCACAATCGCCTCGGCGACTTGCAGGTGCTCCCGCCCGGGTTTGACCAGTGGTTCTACATCAAAGTCAGTGATCCTTTTCGATCTGCCGTACTCATGCTCACGCAGTCGTCCGTCGCTCAGCCTCTGCCCGGACACGCGATCTGCAACATCGGCGACGCCCTCAACATCTTCCCCGGCGGTATCTTGCGCTCCAACATCCATCGCCTCGTGTGAGTCTGTCCACGACGTTACTCTGCGTCTCATTCCCTTCCTAGCCCGCCTCCGCGGGAGCAGGCCCAGTACGAACGGCACTCTGTCGTCTTCTTCACCCCCGAACGACGTCGTCGAGCTGCGGGTTCTGTCCGGGCAGAGCGAGCGCATCGCTGCGGCGGTCGCCTACGCGCCCCCGGGGAAGTACGCCCCTGGCGTGACGGCGATGGAATGGCTGGCGAGGAGGGTCAAATCGCAGCGGGTGACAAACTGCAAGGTGTGTCCTGTTCCGCCGATGTGCGCTGTTGCCAAGGGCTGATGAGGCCGGTAGGGTCCAGAGAGCTGGACGGATAGGCGGGGTACTGAGGACACGGCGATTCCGAGCCAGGGGAAGATCTGAATAGCTTCGAATAACGTGTATGTACTATGTACAGTCATAGCTCTTAATGAACACACGCGTTTCGAACACCCCGACTGCGTCGTCTGCGGACGGGGATCCATACGTTAACATGTAAAAATAACATGTAGCCGACTGTTTCTGGACACTCGAAGTCTAGGCCCCATCTGCAACGTCTTGGTGTACCCGACGAGCATGCTCGGCATGAACGACAAACCCGATATTTATTTCGCGCATGGTGGTATAGCAAAACGTTAAGCAAAACGTAACACGCGTAGCACGATACGGAGGGTCGACGAACATCACCGTCCCTACCCTCGTGAGGACCGCAACTCGTCCTGCACAGCACCCTCGCTGACAACCTCCCCAGCCTCACGTTCCGTATCGCGTGGTTCTGCAGAAAGCCCCTCCCTGCAAACGCACGAAATCAGCCCAACATCCGCGTACAACGATCGATCCACTCACCCCACCCCCTCCGTACCCCGGTGCCCGGGATTTCCCATCCTGTCCGCATACAGCTCGAACTCCGTGCACTGCGGTCCACGCCGCACACGCTCGTTCGCGCGCCCGCGCACCCCGCTGAGCAGAACGACGACGGTCCGCAGGGTGGGGCACGCGGCGCACAGCCGGCGCGCGAGCGCGTCCAGGTCGAGCCCGCGCATGAACGCCTCGGCCGCGCACGGGGGGTCCGCGGCGAGGTAGCACAAGACGCTGACCACGAGCACCCGGAGCGCGGGGAGGCTCCCGACGGCGGCGACGAGGCCGTCCTGCGGAGCGACACGCGCGTCAGCGGTGAAGGGGCGCGGGCGGAAGCGGGTTCGAGGGACGCACGACGATCGCGGGGGCGTCGACGTCCGCGGGAGAGGCCGCGTGGAAGCCGGCGATGAGCGTCGCTTCTAGGCATTCGATCTGCAGGGTGTAGGGGCGGCCCATGACGCGGACGATGCCCCGCGCCAGGACGCCGGCGTCGAAGCTTTCGAGGGAGAGGTGCACGGGTTTGGTGCGGCCGAGAACGGAGCGCATGGCTTTGACGATGAACGTCGGCCCCTTGATGTAGAGCGTGCGGATGGGGCAGGAGGGCGCAAGGAGGAAGAGATCGCTGAGGAGGGCGCGGCACGACTGTAGTGACTTCCACGAGCCCGAGCGCGCCTGCTCGATGATGTTCAACATGCGGCAGCTCTCGAACCGGTCGGTGTCTGCGAGGTCTTCCACGGTGCGACGCTTGAAAGAGTACTCCAAGTTCTGGAGATGAGGGAACGCGCCCACCAAAGCGACGGTCTCGATGGCTTCGACGTTCTTCAGGTAGAGGTCTGTGACGTGGGGGTACACCTCTTCGTGATGTTGCGCGCCATCGACAAGGATGAAAGCGTTGTCCGCGGAAAGGGATTTCAGCGTCCATTGGGAATTGCTGAGAACTAGGACAGGGTTCTTGGAGTCTTCGTCCTCGTAGCTGGCATCATCTTCCAAACTCGTGTCCGAGTCTGAATCCGAGTCGGGGACATCCTCTCGTTGATCGTCCTCATCGCCTTCATGAACCAGTGTGGAAGTGTGGACGGAAGTAGAAAGGGGCGCGGGAACGTCCTCAGTGGCGACGGTCTGCGCCGAGGAGCGTTGTCGGGGGTGTCTCGAGTTACGAGTCCAATCGATCGTCGCAGTCACGAGCTGTGAGCGAGACATGCTCAGCATCTGCGAGCCCCGCCGACCGACTTCGCCGAAATCGACGCACTTGAGGGTCGACAACCGCGATAGGGAGTATCTGAGACGCGCGGAGCATTCGAGGAGAGATTCGAGATGGAGGACGCATAACGTCGTGATGCGAATCTTCTCGGAGAAGGTGTCCAGGAAGTCGCCGAGTAGTACTGCGGTAGGACGGTGCGGGTGGACCATCAGCAAGGAGAGGCCGCGGAGATGGCGCAGTCGGTATCCGTCGTTGGCGCTGAGGAAGCTTATCAACGAGCAGAGGGCGTCGTCCTCGTATATCTCGAGGGTGTCGTCATCGCCGCCGAGCAAGTACCGTGCGCCCTCCGTGTTGAGATATCGGGTCGTCCGCATGAGACGCGAGATGGTAACGTCGTCAGAGAACGACATGATGGTGAGGAGAACATCGGGGATGAGCGTAGGCTGTTCGCGGGACATCTGGGATATTCGGTGTCATGGGGTTATTCTAAAGGAGAGGCCATTAAGGACGGCTTACAGGTATCTGCATGGGAAATGTCAGCGATGCACTCCAGTACCCCGTTGACCATGAACTTGGACGTACCGTTCAACGACACTGAATGGCAAGTGATAATGATAACCTGAAGTGCTGGCGCAAACGTAGGGGGGGCAGGAAGGCTTTTCGCAACTTCGTGGTGGCGTGTAGCAGCTCATAAACTCGGGGCAAGATGAGTCGATTATTGTCTGACTTGGAATGTATCCAGGGCGACACAATCCGACGAGGTGTGGAGAGCAACAGTGAGAAACTTACGTACACAGTCTGAACATCGGGAAACTTACCTCTACAGCCTCGCATGGACGATGAGAATCAGGACGCCGTCAAACAATAGACCCATCATTGTTGTGCGCAGGGTGATGAGCGATGAGGTCTTGAGGCCTTGAGGCTTCTCGGCAGCTTCGTGTATGCGTGCCCGTCTACCGCATCTCCGATGTCAGAGAAGATCGGCGAAGACAAAAAGGGAGGGGAGGGATGGCCGCTTGAAGCTGTGGTAGCCTGGCACCGGGATGCGCGCGGAGCATAAAAATGCCAATTGACATACCAGTAGAACACGATGGAACCCTGTCATGCTTCCCCCGCCATCTCCGTTTCCAAATGGGATGAAAACGGTCCTTGGAGGTGTAAGAGTGGGTACTTGGAGAGAAGATGTGCGAGTCAGGAAGGTGTCGGTGACTGCTGGGTGAACGCCGCGGTTTTCATGCCGCCTAGCTGTGTGCTTCTGGATCCGAATCCGTGGGGTCGTGCAGAAACGTTGTGGCTTCAATGAACAAGGAGCAGGAAATTCCGGTTTGAAGACGAGTTGAAGCATGAATACTTAAACCCTTCGAGTCCAAGAACTCAGAGCAGTATTATGATGCACGGCTGACTGCACCCGCCTCCGGGTCAAGAGTGCACTTGCTGACTCAGCGGCATCATTCGCGGCTTGCTAGGCGCCGCTGCCGTTCAGAGTCAGACTCCTTTGAAACTTGAACGTTTGAACCTGGCACTGGCAGTCACGGAAGATTGCGCGTGATTCGCCGTCAGACTTCAACGCTCAACCCCGCGCGCGCACAGGGACAAAGACGCAGTGTGCAATTAATTAATATCAGCGCATACATTTGACGAAGGGAAATTTTTAAGAACGCAGGGCGGCTGGGTCACGGTAATGAGGTGAATATATGATGATATCATAAGTACTACGTTGAGAGCGATACGTGCGCGAAAGCGATGTGTGATCCGGAAATTACACGTGCCAATCTGAAGTGAGAGGAAGGGGAAGGGGAAGGGAGATGGGAGAGCGAAAAGCGTGCGCGCGCAGAATGAGACACCCCACATACCAGCGCGGCTGTTGCACACGAGTGCGCCTTGTCTACTCCGGCGCGCGTGGCGGGCTGTCTAACAATCCGTGCCGAAATCTCGAACGCCGTCGGGGCGAGCGACCGCGGTTACGTACTAGAAACGTATTGAGTGTTGTACATCGGGCAGAGGTCCTCCCAGGCGGTCGGGGGCGTGACGAACGAGCTGACGTCCGGGACGTCCTCGGCCATGACGACCGCGAAGCCGGCCTCGAGGTGGAAGTCGATGTGGCAGTGGAGGAACCACGGCCCGGGGTTGTTCGTGTCGAAGCGAATGGTGACGTTGTCCCCCGTGACGCCTGTCGAGACGACGTCGCGCTGCGGCGGGTTCGCGAAGTTGTAGTCGGTCGAGCCGGCGGAGCGAACGACGTGGAAGGTGTGCCCGTGCAGGTGGAAGGGGTGGGGCTGGCCGGGGGCGGCGGCGACCATGGGGAACGAGAGCTCGATGGTGGAGTTGCTCGGGAGAGATATGATGGAGCCGGTAGGAAGGATGTCGGTGACAGAAGACGCGCCGCTCATGAGCTGCAGAAGGACGGGGACGGTGGGCGAGTTGTAAGCCTCGCCGTTGATGAAGAACGCGGTCCCATTGAAGCTGAAGTTGAAGTTGATTGCCATGTCGACGCCGCCAACCTCCGGCTTTCCTGGAGCCGCCTGATTAGAGAGAGGAACAAGGGAGGCCTCGCTGAGAACGGTGGGGTCAGTCATTTGCGAGGTAGTGGGCTCAATCTCCGCCGCGCCGTCGTAGCGCAGGATCGCCGAGTTGATACCGCCGGTGAACGAGGTCGTGCCGATGTTGGGGAGCGCGCGAATCCAGTAGTTGTCGACGTCCTGGTCCGCAGTGAGCACGAACGAGTAACGCTGGCCGGCGAAGATCTGGAGCTGCTCGACGGTCAGCGGAACGTGATCAACCGCATCAACCTCGATGATTGTCATGTTATGGCCGTCGATCGAGAACGTGTAGTTGGGGTCGCATGAAAGGCTGACGAGGCGGAAGCGATAACGCTTGCCCTTCGTAACGGTGATCACGGCCAGCTCTGCGGTGGCCCCCTCTATAGTCGCCGTGCGCCCGAGGCCATTGATGAGGGTGGAGTTCGCGCCCACGCTAAGAGAGAAGAAATGTGTGAGCGAAATCGCGAAAATGAGCATTACTGATGACGTACGGGAATCGGGAACCGAGCGCCGCGGCAGTGTGGTACCAGTCCGTGAGCGTGATGACCGTAGACCCGTCATCAACGTCGTAGAGGGAGGCGTGCGGGTCATTCTGATTGTACACAACAAACGGGCCGGAGAGACCGTCACAGTACTGGGTCGACAAGTGACTGTGGTACCAGAAGGTGCCGGCCTGGTCAGTGGACGTGAAGTCGTAGAGGAAAGAATGGCCGGCTGAGATGGGACACTGGTTGACGAAAGCCGGGCCGTCAGCCCAGTTCGTGCCTTTCTGGAAGAAGCCGTGCCAATGCTGGAAAGCAAATCGTGAACACATCACCGCGAACGCTTCGCAGAACGAGCACGCACAATGGTCGTTGCCGTGAGCATCGTGTCGTTGGTGAGGTTGTTGATGACGTTGAGTTGGAAGTTGTCACCCTAGAACCAAATGGCGGTTAGTGAGCCGCACAAGGGAGTAGTTTGCAGGACTAAGCCATACCATGTTACCAGTAACTAGCGGGCCGGGCATCTGACCATTGACAACGACCGCCGCACGAGTGTGGCCATCGGGAGTGATGTCAGCGTTGCTGATGGTCAGGTCTGCGATGGGACCGATGGCGGCGGCAGCGAAGTGTCCGAAACCGAGGAGCGCGATGAGCGGCCCAGAAGTAGGAGAGAGAGAAGGCATTTCGCGCGGATCAGGGAAATATGGGTACGAAGGGAGGCTTCCGACTGGTGGTGGAAATAAGGAAGTACGTACAATGGAAGTGTGCTTATATTCGCCTCGCCTCACCCCACTCCGCCACATCTCCTGGCGGAGCGGATATCAGACACTCCAGGACTGTATCATCCTGTTCCGCCCAAGTGCGGGTCATGATCCCGATCGCAAAAATCGCGCATCCGTCGCATCGCATCCAACTAGTAATGCAGCGACCCCTAGCCACTCTGCCCAGTGTCTTTTTAGCAGGCGACAACAGAATGCACCCGGGCATTGAGCCCAGGCCAGTTCAAGCGAAGGCCACGAGTCAGCTGAAAGTTAAAATTTCCATAGAGTCAGATTTCTCCATTATCCGCGATGCATTTTACTAGCACAGATGTCGTTTCACTCACATCCTACATTGGCGGTGGGGTTTTCGGACAAGCTCTAGATGTTTTTCATTGTGCTACGACTGGGTTTGTCTTCTCATGTTTGCTGCGGGAGCAATATCAGAAAGCCGGCACGTGGGGGTAGAAACGGAGACAGACTCAAGATCATCGACAAGGAAGACGGAGGCAAACTGCGTAGGACGAAGTGGTTGAAAGCAAGCTGCGCGTGTGTCTGATGGGGCCTGCGGCGTCAAGGCTGACTCAGCGGCGGCCTGGGCGAGCGCCCGCTGCCGTCGCTGCCTTCTTCAATGTATCGGCGAAACTCGTCTGCAGGGCTCACGGAAACATGTCTTTTTCAGCATACTCAAGAGCTCGTATCACGCGGAACCACGGATACCAGTAACATTATGTGCATGAGAACACGGTTGCAGGAGTGACGGGGGCAATCCCCGAATCCACACTGCTCGATCGGAGGCCGAATCTGAGATTGGGGAGCGTCAGCGGCTCCTCCGTCGATCGGGCCGGAGGAAGCCGCCTGCTTTTTCACCCCTCAACGGTCTCTGCAACGCTTCGTGCTCGACCCTACACCTCTCTCCTGTAGCCTCACGATGCTCACATAGGTTAGACCGCATATGAACCGCCGAAGTGCCATGGCCCCATCCTCAGCCTGGGCATAAGGGCGTGCTGGGCATGCAGAATACACGGTCGTTTCACAAGTCCGTGCAGGCGCCTCTAGGCTGATGGGATGGCGGGGCCGTCGCGCAACCAGCGTCGCAGCTTCCTGCCCTGGCGAGTGTGGCCTCTATAATTATGCCCGCCCGCCGCCTGCCTCCGCCTTCAATTCTCCCGCCCCCTCTTCAAGTTCCCGCCGCCACTCCACCCGTGCTCACCCCCCGCCAGGCTCCTGAGGGCTCCCCCCGACCCGGCCTCTCTGCTTTCCGCACGATGCAGTTCAAGGCCCTCAACCCCATCGCTGCCCTCGTCGCAGCCGCCGCAGCCGCCGCCGAGGTACGTCCCGCTTCTCATCCCCTTTAGTCCTCCGCTCACGTGCCGACGTCCAATGCCGCAGCCCTAAGCCTCCGAGGCGTTCGATCCCTCGATCCTGACCGTCTCGTTCTCGTCCGTGGTCACCACCACCGCCTCCCAAGTCCTCGTGAGCATGATGGAGGGCCTTCGCTCCCGGTGCGCTCCCCCAGCTCACGAATTCCCGCGCGCCTCGCAGTCGGGCCCTTCGTCACCACAATCGAGACCACCGCCGTCTGGACGGCGACGCGCACAATCACCGTCGCGGACCCCCACCGACGCCCGCCAAATGGGGTTGTGTGCAGGGTCGAGCACGATCCACTGCCAGCCTGCCCGCCTATCCCCTGTCGCGGCGCGCCGACCGACACGGTCCTGTGCCCCGTTCGCGCAGGCTTCAGACGGCGCCCCCCACGACGACGACGACGATCCGCGGCCAGTCCAGTCCACATACTCACGCCCCATATATGCTCGCCCCGCCGCCCGTGCGGCCTCTCGTGGACCCCGTCCGTCTCGGCCCCAAGCCCATCTCCAGACTCCCACGTCTTCGTCCCGCCACATCCGCACGCGCCTGGTGCGGCGGTAATACACACGCGGTGCATCGGCTCCCCCATCGACGCCCACGTGCCCGCATGAGGGTGTGCTGCTCCGACTGCGCTCAGCGTAAGGACAAGTCGCCAGTGAGCGCGATGACGTCGTAGAGAAGCGGCTCGGCCGATGAACGAGTGTGAGTGCCGTGAACATCTCGGAAGACGATCGTCCATAGTTCGGGCGGACACGGTTCGCGGCGTGATCCAGTGAATCCACACCTGCAGTTAAGCATTCAGTCCGGAAGCGGACATAGAAATTAAGGCCAGCCTACCCTGATGACCATCGGCGAGGCGCCGCTGTTGGATGAGCACGTAGAGGAGAAACTCGACGAGCTTTTTCCATACCAAAAATGGAGATTTCGTCGTAGGCCATTCGTCAAAGAAGGGGTAGATCTGTACTCGCGGTTGCAAAGCGCTGGGAACGAGGGGTGGGCTGCCGTGGGCATCTCACAGAGTAAGCAGGAGTATACTTACTAGGTAAATCCGAGCGCTGGCCTATCGATGTTGTTGCTTTGTCTTGACGCAACTTCGCCTTCCTCATCGACCCTTCTTGAGCACAATGCACCTCGTCTCTTGACTGCCACGACGTTATAGTGTGTCAAGGTACGGATAGTTGCTCAATAAGAGCCTCTGTCACGATCACGGGTGTTCTCTCGTTGGCGTGATGGGATAAAGATGAAGAAGCCGGTCAACGCGGGATGCAGGAAGTCAGCGCTTATTAGAAGAACAGGGACAAGCACGAAAAAATGCTCTGCGGCTGCTGACGTCATCATGCTGACCAGCCTCCAGCTCAACGCCAGGGAGGGGCAAGCTTAGCGGGAATCGCGTGGCGCGCTCTCCGATGCACGCATGCCCGATGGCGGACGCGGTGAATGCGGAGGTGACTGGTTGACCGCTGATTTCGACGTGGACGTGCTGTTGATCGAGTCGCCGGTGTCGATCGCAGGCGCAATCTGGATCGGCTGTCGCAGGCAGTACTTACTACAGTCAAACCCCTCATAGTGCATACCCCTCGGGAAGGCCCCCGAGGTATGCGTTATGTGGGGGTATGCAGTATGAGAGAAGCGCTCATCGTGGGAGACCCATTGACGCCCTTCTGCAGCGCGCCTTTTTGGCGGCTGGCGCGCGCATTGATCCTCACACGCGCATTCCTCGCGCGCACATTCCTCCCGTTTGTTATCTGACCTCGCCCCCCCTACATAGACTAAATACGAGTAAAGTAATCAGTGACTGCGAGATGTTTTTCCCACCTTGAAGAGAAGCTTGAAGGGCCGTTCGGCGCTCTTTCACCTGCTTCTCGAGGACAGCACTTAAGACCAGATTAGAGGAAGGCGAGAGGGATACATTGCGGAGGCAGGCAAAGGTGGCCGGGGGTGTGATCAAGTCGTGCTTGAGCCCCGGTCAGTCCCGATGGTTCGTGTGGCTATTCCAGGCTGCTAGAAGGGCACATGGGAAGGTTATCCCACATTTGGGCGGCATGCAAGGCATACATGCGAGGCGCTAATGCTGATTATATATGGCAGGTATGCGTTATGGACCCCCCGGCCGAGGTATGCAGTATGCGGTATGCGGGGGGGTATGCGTTATGCCCCTATACCAACTCGGGAAGAGGCCAAAGGTATGCACTATGTGGGGGTATGCACTATGATAGGTATGCGCTATGAGGGGTTTGACTGTAGCTGTTTTGCGCGCAATACTAGTCTCTGAGTTCATGCATGTCGCAGGCGAAGCGAAGCACCTTCAATTGCGCAACGTTGCACAGAGTCCAGCGCACTCGCGCGTGCGTACACACACGCGGACAAAGATAGAACATGAAAATGATCGGTTTCAATTCAATGCTCCACATGCAGTTGGTGAGAGGCAGAAGAGGACTAACAACGCAGAGCAGCTGGGTTGTGGTGACTAGCGTACAGATGTAAGTGTATGGTATAGCAGCAGTACTACGTAGGGAGCGATATGTAGAAGGGAGTGTGCGCGAAAGCGATATGTGGTCCGGGGGTTCTAGTCCTGCACGTGCCAGTCCGAAGCGAGGGAAGGGAGGAGGGGAGGGGAGAGCGCAGAGCGCAGAACGAGGCGCCCACATACCGACGCAGCGCTTGCACGCGTGGGGCAGGCCAACTTTAAGCGGCGAGTGCGCGAGGGGAAAGGCGAACGTGCGAGCTGAGGCCGCCACGACGGAGCACCATGTCTACTCCAGCGCGCGCGCGGCGGGCAGTCGAGCAGTCCGTGCTGGACGCTCGAACGCCTTCGGGGCAGGGGACCGCGCTCACGCGCTGGCGACGTACTGGGCGTTGTACGTCGGGCAGAGGTCCTCCCAGGCAGCCGAGGGCGTGACGAACGAGCTGACGCCGGGGACGTCCTCGGCCATGACGACCGCGAGGCCGGCCTCGAGGTGGAAGTCGATGTGGCAGTGGAGGAACCACGGCCCGGGGTTGTTCGTGTCGAAGCGGATCGTGACGTTGTCGCCGGTGGTGCCGGTGGAGACGACGTCGCGCTGGGGCGGGTTGACGAAGTTGTAGTCGGTCGCGCCGGCGGAGCGGACGACGTGGAAGGTGTGCCCGTGCAGATGGAAGGGGTGGGGCTGGCCGGGGGCGGCGGCGACCATGGGGAACGAGAGCTCAATGGTGGAGTTGCTCGGGAGAGATATGATGGAGCCGCCGGGGAGGAGGTCGGTCGCGGAGGACGCGCCGCTCATGATCTGCAGGAGGACGGGGACGGTGGGAGAGGTGTAGGTCTCGCCGTTGACGAAGAAGGCAGTGCCGTTGAAGCTGAAGTCGAGGTTGATTGCCATGTCGACGCCGCCGACCTCCGGCGTTCCTGGGGCCGCCTGGTCAGAGAGAGGAACAAGGGAGGCCTCGTTGAGAACGATGGGGTCGGTCGTTTGCGACGTAGTGGGCTCGATCTCCGCCGCGCCGTCGTAGCGCAGGATCGCCGAGTTGATACCGCCGGTGAACGAGGTCGTGCCGATGTTGGGGAGCGCGCGAATCCAGTAGTTGTCGACGTCCTGGTCCGCAGTGAGCACGAACGAGTAACGCTGGCCGGCGAAGATCTGGAGCTGCTCGACGGTCAGCGGGGTGTGGTCGACCGCGTCGACCTCGATAATCGTCATGTTGTGGCCGTCGATCGAGAACGTGTGGTTTGGGTCGCACGAAATGCTGACGAGACGGAAACGGTAGCGCTTGCCCTTGGTGACGGTGATCACGGTCAGCTCAGCGTTGGCCCCCTCGGTGGTCGTCGTGCGTCCGAGGCCGTTGATGAGGGTCGAGTCCCCACCGAAGCTGAGAGAGAAGAAACGTGTGAGCGGCATCGCGAAAGTGGGAAGTACTGATGACGTACGGGAAGCGGGAACCGAGCGCCGCGGCAGTGTGGTACCAGTCCGTGAGTGTGATGACCGTGGACTCGTCATCAACATCGTAGAGGGAGGCGTGCGGATCATTCGGGTTGTACACAACGAACGGGCCACGAAGACCGTCACAGTACTGGGTCGACAAGTGACTGTGGTACCAGAAGGTGCCAGCCTGGTCGGTGGACGTGAAATCGTAGAGGAAAGAATGGCCGGCTGAGATGGGGCATTGGTTGACGAAAGCCGGGCCGTCAGCCCAGTTCGTGCCCTTCTGGAAGAAGCCGTGCCAGTGCTGGAAAGCAGATCGTGAGCATACCGCCACAAACACTTCGCAGAACGAGCACGCACAATGGTCGTTGCCGTGAGCATCGTGTCGTTGGTGAGGTTGTCTATGACGTTGAGTTGGAAGTTGTCACCCTAGAACCAAATGGCGATGAGTGATCCGCACAAGAAAGTACAATAAATTCTGACTGAGCCGTACCATGTTGCCGACAACGAGCGGGCCTGGTACCTGACCATTGACAACGACAGCCGCACGAGTGTGGCCATCGGGAGTAATGTTGGCGTTGCTGATTGTCAGGTCTGCGATGGGACCGACGGCGGCGGCGGCGAGGCGACCGAGAGAGAAAAGCGCGATGAGGGGCGCAAAGGTGGCGGAGAGAGAAGCCATGCCGGATTAGAGGAAATAAGGAGGGTTTCGGTGGAGACGAGGAGAGCAGAAGAAGCGGTAGTTGGTGAGGACCGTTCGGAGGAGCTCCCGCTGCTTATATTCGCCCCGCCTCTCTCCGCCGCATCTGCAGGCGGGGAGGGCATCAGAGACTCGTTGGAGTGCATCCTCCACACGCGGGGCATGATCCCGATCGCAAAAGTCGCGCGTCCGTCGCATAGCGTCCAACCAGGAACGCGGCGAACCCTAGCCACTCTGCCCGGTGCCTCTTTGCGACGGGCGACGACAAACACGCCCGGGAAATTTGGCCCAGGCCGTTCTAGCCAAGGGAGAAGGTGACGAGTCAGCTCGGAGTGCGATATTCCGTGGCAGCCAAGTTCAAGCACAGTTGACATTTCACTCGCATTCTGCATGAGCTGTGGGGTTTTCTGACCAGTGAGTTTGTCTTTTCGTGTTTGCAGCGGGGGAAATACCAGAAAGGCGGTACATTGAAGTAGACATGGAGACCGACTCGGGATCAAGTGGTCGAAAGCAAGCTGCGCGCGTCTGATGGACCATCCATAGTCGGCGGCGTCGATGCTGACTCAGCGACGCCGTCTCGGCTGCCTGTGAGCAAGCGCCCGCTGCCGTCTCCACCTCCCACCTTCGTCAATGTCACTCACTCGTCTGCATAGCTCACAGTAACAACAACGCACATATTTGGCAGCGCAAGCGTGAACTCGTAGCCATCGGCGACATTGGACGCCTCGCTGACCTTGGATTGCTCTTTCTGCCGTGCTTACGGTCTCCACTTCCTTAGCACCATGCCCCGCTAAGCGTTCATAGCTCTCAGGCGAACTACGCATGTACATGTGCCCGACTCCTGGTGAAACGCCGCTCGCTTCGGCTCGAGCTGCGCATGACCTTGTCTCCCAGCTGGGGAGGCTTGGCAGGCCTTCCAAACAGTAAGTCCTCCCAGCGCAGCCACTGTATCGTCTCGCAGATCTGACGCAGACTATCTGCTTGTCCAGAGACGGGGCGATGATGTACGTCTCCACCGCGCATTCCTAAAACATCGTGACAAACAGAGGATCTCTGGGCTGTATGCCCTCACCGTACGGCGTCGGTTCTCCCCTGGGCGACGTGCCTCAACTTCAGTCGGCTTCCCTAATTTCCCTCAAGGCGTCGCGGAGTGCGCAAACCGCCGGCGATCTCGCAGGTCCCCACGGACCTGACCCAACGCTTGAAGCCCCCGCGTTTCGGTTTCTCCGCCTTCCGACGTCTCTGGAGATGCCCCGCATCAGGCCTTCGCCGATGCTCGGCCGGCGTCCCCGGGGCCCGGGTGCTGCGGAGCAAGGACCTTGCGTCGCGAGTCAACATCACATTCTACACGGTACGTTCTCAAGCTACGGTTCAACCTCAAGTGCACCGCGGTGTGCTGGGGACGGCTATGTAGGACGCTGATGGTGACGCTGGACTTGCAGTTGTCTTTTTTATATATAAAAAGCTGATCATTTATATCCCGCGTACGGGGTACAGGTGCGGCATTTCTGCATGGATGACGCTTGGTGGGCGAGTTTTCTCAGCCTGCGGGCATGTATATAAGGGCCGGTTGCACCATTGGGGACTTGTAGTTGTCCCGGGTGCCGTGACAGGCGGGCGAAAACATCGGGTATCCGTCCGAGCACTTCGCAGATGCCCCCGTGTCGAGGTCGACCTACTTACTGATACTATTGCGCGCACACAACAGCTTTTCCCAACTTTATGCACTCCACTTCAGCTCGGCGCGGTAATAATAGCCTACTGCAAGCGCGAAGACTAAACACAGGCGGTGTTGTGTATATAGAATGGCGAAGCCACAACGTTCTAACGTACGAGCGTGCATTTCGCGTATGCACCAATCAACATCTCTCCACACAGTTGCCTGCTGGTCCGTGTGCTATTTTTTCCGTCGGCATCGTCGACAAGTGCCGAACACTAGTTCATCCTTTCCGCCCGCTGCTCGACGTTCATCACTTTCATGGTTTCCTGCGGGAAAAAACGGCGCTCACCGCCGCTTGATATTCGTTCTGCGGCCCTCGCGGCCCCTCGGCTCCGTAGTCGGTCAGAGTTCTCCGAACAGCGGCCTGGATCCGTTTCTGACCCGTTCTGCGCTTGGGGACATCCGTTTCGCCTTCGGCTCGCACTCCCAAGCTCACTCGCACAGTCGCAATGCGATTGGAGTGTTGGGACTCTCGGATTGAACTAGAGCACCTATTTACATACATCAGTCAGTGCGGATGCTTCCGGATCTGTGCAACGCTCCCTTGCGAGGAATGTATAGGTGATAAATCCACCATCGGTGCTACTGAGGGAAATGAGCGTTTTGTGCCGGATTTGCCTCCGCAGCTGCTGCGCGACAGGAGGCCGAATCTGAGATTGCGGAACCAGAAGCTGCGCGATCGTGATGCGCAGGCGGCTATGCCCGGGAGCCGATCCCCTCTGTCAATCGGGCCAGGAGCTGAAGCCGCGCGCCAAGCTTTCCCTTCCTGCTCATCGTTCTCCGTCTTCGCCCATCGCGACCGCCTTGCAACGCTCCTTGCTGGGGCCTACGCGCCTCTTCGCGACGCGCACATAGCTTGGACCGCATGTGGACGGCTGGGGCGCCTAGACATACCCGGCTCGAGCACACGCGCGTGCTGGGCATGCAGAACGCACCGTCGTTCGCGATCGCATATATCGCTCATCCATGCTGCGGGCCACCGCAAGTGCAGACGCCCGCGTCTTTCGCCGGGGGCTCTGATGAGATCGCGCGGCCGTCGCGCGACCAGCGTCGCGGTATCGTGCCCTGGCTTCTATAAGTGCCTGCTTGACCCGAGGCCGCCGCAGAAAGTTCGCCCCGCCTGCCTCTGCCTCCACTCTTCTCCAAGTTCCCGCCGCAGCCTCACCCTTGCTCACCCCCGCCTTCCTCCGACCGACCCGACTTCCCTTCTTTCCGCACGATGCAGTTCAAGACCCTCATCTCCCTCGCTGCCCTCGTCGCTGCCGCCACCGCCGCAGTACGTCCCGCTTCGCGCGTCCTTTATCCCTACTACGATCATGAACTGACTCCACACCGCAGCCCCAGGCCGCTGAGACGTTCGACCCCTCCACCGCGACCGTCTCGTTCTCGTCTGCGGTCACCACCCAGACCTTCACCGCCTCCCAGGTCCTCGTGAGCTTGATGCAGGGTACGTGCGCCGTCCTTCCGCTCGCCGTGCACTCCCCCTGGCTCACTTCGCGCGCGCGCCCCGCAGTCGACCCCTTCGTCACCACCATCGAGACTACCACCGTCTGGACGGCGACCCGCACGGTCACCCTCGCGGTCCCCACTGGGGCGCGCTGAACGGGCCGCGCGCAGGGTCGAGCACGGTGCGCTCGAACGCCACCGCCAGCGTCCCTGCGCATCCCTCGTCGCGGCGCGCTGACGGACGCCGTCCTGTGTTCCGTTCGCGCAGGCTGCAGCCGGCGCCCCCCACGACCACGACCTCCCCAGTCTACATACGTACACTCCTTACTACCTGGCTCCGCGCCCCGCTGCCCGCGCGGCCTCCCGGCCCTGCCGAGGAGCATCTGAACACTTGCACTTCGCCCCGTCCCCTCATACTTAGTATCTTTACACCCTCGTCCGCACGTCTCGCGTGCGGCGGTAATACACGCTCGGTGCATCTTTCCCATCGACACCCGTGCGTCTGTGCTCTCGGCGAGGACGACACGATGCCCCGGGAGGCTTCCATGCGCGTCGCGTGCGCACCTTCGCCCTTGCGCACAGATACCGGCCGGACGCGGCTTCGCGGACGCTCGGCTCACCGCGCGCCTGCAGTCGACAAGTGTTGTGCACACGTTACAGAGCGCGCGCCGAGCTCCGCGTGTGTGCATGACTCCCGACATCGCGCTCCGCCGAATTGCCTCGCGCGACCATCGGCCAGAGGACGCGAAACGGGCGTGTCATCGCACACGCGATGCACGCGCCGGATGCAGGACGGACGCAGGCGTTGGTGCAACAGGGCGCAGGGTCCAGGTGCTTCCCACTTGCCACATATGTAGACAGTGTGATGCGCATATTGCCCACTTTACATAAACGCTCGCGCTCATCCGCGCACGCTCAGCAGGTGAACAGCGCAGGCCCTGCCGTCGCATCGCAGAAGTCAGCACGCGTCGACGCAATCCTCCAGCACGAAACGCACCGGGGATGGTGTAGTTCTTGACGGTCGGGTAGTAGATGTTGATGGTGATACCTGCACACGCGCGGGGGAAGCACCGAATGAGCTCGACGCTCCACGTATCCACGAGCAGAAGACGCACCGGGGTCGGAGCCGGCGTACGCGCCGGGGAAGGACACCGTCGAGGGCGTCTTGGCCCCAGACCCGCCCTTGATGTTCAGCTGCGCGCACTCCATGTACAACTGCGCGCCGGGGTAGCTCGACGCGGCGTGGAGCGCTGCAGGGCGCCGCGCGGGTCAGAAGGCGGGAACGACGCACGAAGCGGTCGGCGCACCGATGATCTCGTGACGGAGGAGGTACTGGCCGTCCTCGATGCACTTGGGGACGGTGAACGTGACCTTGCCCGCGTTGGCGATCATCTTGTCCGTCGCCCACGTCCCGTCGGGCTCGAGCCCTTCTTCCGCGATCTTGAACCACTTCAGTCCGGTCACGCTCGACTGCGTTGCATCGGGGATCTTGGCGCTGGAAGTGTGAGTGTCGTGAGACGAGACCGGGGGTCATTGCAGGAGGCATAAGGGAGACATACAGGTAGGAGATGAGCGGACCCTTGTGGCTGGCGTCGATGGGGTCCGAGGGGTCGCCCGCGGCTTGGTTGAGAGTGTGATGCCACTAAGGATGGTAGCAGTTAGAATAAGCTCCGGATCCAGGCGCCGACCGGATTGCAGCTACCTCTGCGGTAAGGGTTGCGCCGGCCGGAACGTCGATGACGGCGGTGGAGATAGGTGTATGGTACGGGTTGATGCCTAAGGCAGACGCGGTGATGTATGTTAAGGAGGCAAGTATCGCAAAAGGGCGTCCGAAAACTGACCTCCGTTGCAGATGACGTCGTTAGAGGTCACATCCATGATAGGCTGCAAAAGCTCTGGTGAGTCTTCTCCGCAGGGTCGAGGAAAATGAAGTGACGTACGCCATCGTAGTCGGGCGCGCGGATGCCCACAAGCTCGCCCTGGTCCACGCCGTTGACATAGAGCTTTTGGAAGATCGTGTGTGCGGAGGCAGATCCGGCGAGGAGAGCCGCAGTCGCGAGGGCAGACTTCATCGTCGTCGTTGGAGGTGCAGTAGGCGAGGTGTAGTTGAGGTTGCTCTCAACCCCGTCCCATGGCTATATACTCCGCTCCTACCATACCTCACAGAATATCCGGTGAACGCGTTGACGATGAGGCAATTCGGCCTCGACGATCAGGTGGGATGGTCAGTCCGGAAGAGCGTGCTCTGGGCGCGGAGCCATTTTGCCAGGATTTTGCCGTCGCGGATCGACGGAGAGCGCGTGGAAGACACGGGAAGAGCGTGACGTCATGCGGGGAATTAGAGTCTTGGAATCTGACCAAGGGAGGTTGCGGCTGATGAACCAGGGCCCGAGAGCCTTGTAGAATTTCCTACTGTCAATATTGTCAGAACACACGCCTCCAAAGGTAACCATATCCAGCTCCAGGGTCGTAGGCTCGCAAAAACTGACCAAACGAGATCTGAACTCACGGACAACTTGGTGCAATGAGGAGGTCCCGAATCCCATGTCTCACATCACGGGTCATTCTCAGAACAATCTCGGATGCGCGGAAGAATATATGCGGAGAAGTTGATGCCGAGCGAAGATACGTTCCAGAGATCTCCGGCATGTGTGCTGACTGGCTGGCACCCTATGAGAGAGTCAGACGGAACGGCGTACGCAGATCGTGATGAGGTATCACCTTCGAGATGGCCATGCTGTAACCCTGCTCATCACAAGCACAAGCTATATGCTTCCGGGGAGGCCGTGGCATGTGGTATGAACATCGGGAACACCTGGGAGCAGAACGATAGACGGAGTGGGAAGGGACGGGATGAACGGCCCGCATGATATGTTATCTGCCGCGACCGCAGCCCGTTGCGACAAAATGGTACAGATAGGGGGGAAGCTGGATGTGATATCGAGCCGGACTCACCAAGTACGCCACCGTCTTATATGCACGACTCGGTTTGAATAGTCAAGTTCCGAGCCCCTCGTCCATGATTCTGGTCTCCGACTACAGTCACCGTGAATCAGAAATACAAATGCAACAGAGAGCTCTTGGAAATAGTGCATGGACCACAATGCTGTATGCGTGCTGTATGCATGTTCCCGTCAGATGCGAGCTTCTGCAGAAACATCGCCGACAGTGGGCCGACTAAATCGCTTGAAACTCACCGCAAGACGGCTGCACTTCGAGCATCACGATGATTGCGTAACATCTCTTCCGTATCCAGCCTCCTCTGGTGTGAACTTGGGGTTTGGTCTCGACGCGGTAGAATAGGACGGAACAGCGGTTCAACACCGTGATAAGGTAGCATCGAACAAGTTGCGATGACGGTATACCAGATCCTTCACGAAGTCTCTTCGGTGACGATAAAGTCATGCGTAAGAAAGAGATAGGATGAGGAGGTAGGGGCTAAGGACATCAACATGGTGGATTGGAAGATAGGCTCGAGAGGAAATCTGCAGCCGCGTGAGCTCGAGTTTTCGCGGCACAGCGGCCCGACAGGCGCTCTGAGATGATGACGTCAAAACATAACACATCCGGCATGGGCATATTCCTGCGGGGATGTGCATGCGGCAGTCATGGGCAAGGTTTCCTTCCAATTTCCTCCCCTCGGAGGACAAGCAATCTTCGGAACAAAAAACAGGCGGAGGATGGACAGCCTCAGTTCTAACAGAGAACTACGACATTCACAACGAAACGGAGATAGACAATACCAATTAATCTAGGGGGGCTCCCCAGTCTACTTTTCAGCTCCTAGCAACGCCTCGAGCCCGGCAGAGAACCCACTAGCGAACTCCTCCCCAAACTCGTCTTCAATCGCGCCCTTGCCCCAGGTCACCGTGACGCCCATCGCGCCGTCGGGCGAGCTCGCGACGTTCACCTTGACCGCCGCGCCCAGCGTCGCGTTCGCCTGCACGAACAGCAGGTCGCGGATCCGCCACCCGCCGTCCTCGGTGCCAGTGGAGCCCTTCGGGAACGCGCCGAGGTTCGAGAGCTCGAGCGCCTCCCCGCGCGGCTTGCCGAGGCTCCCGGTGAGCAGCCCCTCGTACTTCGGGTGCACGTACTTGAGCAGCCCGACGCCCGCGACGACGCCGGCGCCGCCGCCGCGCAGGCCCCGCGTGAGCCGCGCGGCCTCGGCCCACGGGAACGTGCGCGCGGAGACCGGCGCGGCGGCGAGCGCGGCGGGCGCGAGCGGGGTGCGCTCGAGGTGCGGGGAGATGTGGTTGCAGAGCGCGGCGCTCGGCGCGCGCGTGTGCGCGCGGAGGGAGACGGCGACGCACGTCGGGAGCGACGTGGCGCGCGCGCCGGCGCCGGAGGCGTGCACGAGGCGCGAGAGGACGAGGATGGCGAGCGCGTGGAGCGCGCCGGTGAGGGTCGTGCCGTGCGCGCGTGCGAGGGCGAGGAGCGCGGCGACGTCCGCGGGGGAGACGCGCAGGATGCGCACGCGGCACGCGAGCTCGCGCGCGGGAGGGATAGGGTTGCCCGTCCACGCGGAGCGCTTCTTGAAGTCGAGGAAGGGGAAGATGATGAAGAAGATGGTGTGGAGGAGGGTGAGGAGCGGGACGGACGCGTCCATGGCAACCTCGAGTGCGGGCGTGAGCGCGGGCATGGCCGCGTCGGGGATTTTGACGATGTTCGCTGGTGTGGCGGGTGTCGGGGTCGAGGAAAGTGCAGAGAGGAGTGCGCGGTGGAACGCGGGTCCGGACTGGCCGTCGGCAATGACATGGTCGTAGGCGAATGCGATGGTGCCGTCTGCGTAGACGAAGAGGCGCCAGCGAGGGACGTCGTCACGAATGAGGATGGGCATCGAGATGCGGGCTTCGAGCTCGTGCTGTAGGGTGGCGTCTGTGGCTGCGTCTGGGATGAAGGTGACGACGGCGTCCAAGTCGATGCTCGACATTCGCGTCCACATCGGTGGTGCTGGCGGTGCGGGGAGCTGAGCGGAGAGCTCCGGGATGGAAAGGATGACAGTAGAGAGAGCATGGTAGAGGACGTCCTTCGTCAAGGGTGATCCCGAAGGGTGTTCATATCGTACAACGGAGAAGACATAGGAGTTCAGTTCGGTGCGAGAGCGTACGTTGTAGTACTGCTCCAAAAAACCTATGGTGTCATCATGTGAGTCGCCTCGCGCGGCAAATTTGGGGAAGTAGTGCTGACCTGCTTCGCGAAGAGTTGACATGACGAGAATAGAGGTCGACCTTGGGGGCGACCCCCTTGAGGCCCCGTTAAATACTTCGCAATGTCACTGGCAAGCGAACCAGAGGTGGACGCCGTGCTGATCAGTCTTGTCAACCGCAGCGTTTGCGCAGCCTTATCCCTTGATGGCTGATGGACCGGGCCGGAATATTACCGAAAGCCGCAGTGGTAACACGGCCTGCTATGGCCTGCTCGACGTAAGCAACGTGTAGTGACCAGACGGGCATACATAGGCCGCTTTGCACAGCTGGGGGTGGGGGCATGGAAAGTCACCATCAGTAACGGATGTGTAAACCCAGGCCACTCACAAAACCAACCCGAACCCGTCCCGTGCGCGACCGGCTACCACGCCCTAAGTACGATCGCGTAGGAAAGAAAGGACGCACCAGGAGACACTCGCTTTGAATACCGAGGCTTGAGACGTGCAGAAACTGAATATACGTGCTACTGTACAGTACAGTGATGGTGTTACAGATGGTACAGCGATGTCCGAGGATACGATAATGATATGCTACTTACGAGCCGCGCGCAGAGCGCCAGCCACTACTGCCAAGCGTGAACTAATATACTTTCCTCACCCTCCAACTCTGCGCCGGACCGCGCACAAGACAGCGCGCACCTCCGTGCGGTCGGAGCGCGGGCGCGGGGCGGGACGCGCCAGGGACGCGTCGCAGCGCGAACGAGCGAGATTGGGTATGGTCGGGCGCGCGCGGCTAGTACTTGTGCGCGGCTAGGTAGCGCATGATTGTCAGGGTCGCCAGGATCTCTAGAGCGCAATCCCGACGGACGCGGACGGCGTCAGCGTGGGACGGATGGGGAAAGATGAAGGGGGCGGAGACGCACCGACGGCGAGGTGCGTGAACGGCTCGTAGATGGTGAGCAGGTTGCCCGAGGTGTTGTACGCGGGCTTTTCTGGCGGGCGGAGGTTGTAGTGCGCGACGACGTAGTCGTGCGAGTCGACGCACTGTGCGCGGGGGTGGGGGTCAGTGACTGGGTTCGGGGTGTGGATGCCAGCGTGCTGCGCACCGCCCACTCCTGATCCTTGACTGCGCGATGTATCCAGCGGTACTCCTCCCCGTTCGAGGCCGTGAACTTGCGCGATAGTGACCTAGCATTGCGATCAGCACGCCGTGGGATAGCAGGAAAGCACACTTCTCACCCCGAGAACATGGATGTCCTCCTCAGGAAGTGGCTCATGGGCACGCCCGACCCGGAGCGCACGAACGTGATCGTTCCAAGCGCGCCTCCGACCCCAAACTCAAGCACGACCGTGGGTTGTACGTCGCGCGGCGCATGTGCTTGTCGTCGACTACTCGATCGCCGCCCGGTGTCGTAGACGAGCAGCGTTGTCTCCGCGTCAGGATGCGAGGGTGTTGGGCGAGACACAGTGAGGAAGAGCCGGTCGTAGATTTCGTCGAAGTCGGACCCCATGAAATCACCAGTGCGGTCTTCGAGGTGGAACGGGAGGTTGCGGTTCAGCATCAGGGCAAAAACGTGAGGCCGGTGGGGCGTAGAGGAGGGCACGGACAGACCCGAGTGTCCTAGGGAGTGAGGGCGAAGGGGGATATCAGTGGGCAGTCAGCTGGAGGGAGCACAATTATATACCTGGTGCGTCCTGTGCCCGCAGAGCGCCGCAGGTGAAGGGGCAGTCAGGCGCCAGCGGATCCGAGGACGAGAACGTGGCCGGGAAGGTGCCTCCGCCCGGGTGACTGGCGAGGTCCCACTGCGCTTCGCATCCGCACCTCCGCGTCTCTGCACAATTGCGTGCACGAGCGCGAGCGTGAGCGCCTCCCCGAGCCCCGCGCCCCACACCCTCACATCCCGCACCCCGCAGCCACGGGTTTCGACACGCCGTCTCAGCCCAGCCCCGTCTGCCCCGACGCCCCAGGTTCGGGGTGGGGGCGAGCGCGCCGTTCCCACCACGGCCGGGGAGGTGCACTGAATGGATGCGAAAGAAGCGCCGCACGGCACGCTAGTGCAGAACAGGCACTGTTGCCACGCCCGCGGGTCCCAGGCTCGACGAGAAAGGGACCCCCGGCCGCGCTGGTGGCCGAAACTTCCGGCGGCGCGCGCGGCGCGCTGCGACGAGCCCAGAGCGTGTCACCGCACGCCTTGGCTGACCACACCCCCCGGCCGCGCCACGACGCCGAGGTGGAATTGCTGCCAGACGTCGCGGGTGCAAGTGCCGGAGTCGCGATCGAGGCTGGAGCGGTGCGGCGCGCCACGGTGCACGCCTTGCGAAGAAAGGAATGGTTCGCGAAGCACGCCGCACCGCACGAGCTAAACATGACTAGTTGACTGCTCGTATTAGCCCCAATCTGCGTGGGCAGTGGGAAGCCGACGAAGCCCGCCTCTCAGCTCCCGCTGGTCCGCCACCATCGATCGTCCCCATGCCATCCCCAAGTGCTCGTGCGCCCCACGGGAGAGCCAACGTCCATCCGGAAGACAACGCAAGAGCTCGAAGTGCACCACTGCACGGGTGTCGACGGCGTATGTGGACCACCGAGGCCGGGCGGGCTCGCCAGTCGCGCCGAGCCCGCCAGACGCCGTCAACAATGGCCCAAGAGGGTGAGAGCCACGGAGTTCAGGGACGACGTACCGTGCTTCACTTCTCAGCCAGGCCCCAGGAGTACCAGAGTGTCCAAATGCTACGCTAGCCTGGCAATCCGTGCCGGACGTACGCTTCCGTGCAGCGAAATGACGAGCTTCTGCTAATCTCGGCTCCCAGCCCGAGAATAAGTGGTCGCATCATCAGCACCCTGATCGAGGGTGAAGCAGCTCGTGCTCACACTCACGGTGTCCGTGCATGCAACCCGGAAGACTGGGGGGACATTGCACTCCCATGCACGTATCATGTGGGGTGCGGGAAAACATGTCCGCTCCGACGGAACAGCAAAGAGGGTTTGAGAGTCGTCGCTCCGGCACGCACCTGACCTCGCTTGGTGATTGACTTGGACAGAAGGCATCAGTTATGTCGTGAGATGGGCGGATTTGTCTTTGCACCTGACCTGATTTGTTCGTCAAGCATAGAGCTTGCGGCGCATAAATACTTGCAGCATATGACACATCATCTGTTGGGAGTGTCGTGAGCAACAGGATGTCGTCATAGACTGCTCGTGTGACGAACAAAACCATTCATCGCGAGTAAGACGGGGGCGTTCATTGCGTTGAGGTTGCGCGTCGAACGGCACTTCGGCGCGAGCTTGCGAGGAACACTCGGATCAGACGTGGCTTGGGTCCGCATTGTTCGCTGATACAAGAAGGTGCCATTGCCCGAGCAATTGAAGACACGCGCACTTTACATCACCGCCCGAAGCGTCTGTCATCTGACCAGGAATACGTCAGTGAATGAGAGCCGCCGCGACGGACGAAGCTCGATCACCGCGCAATACAACTCCCGCACCGTCCTTCCGAACGCAAACGTCTAGCTACGCCTCGCCCTGCTTCTCGCTCGTACCCTCCTCGTGCCGTCTGATGATGTTCGCGCTTGACCTTGCATCCAGGAAAAGCTCGCCCATCTCGTTGATATCTTCGAGTTGGACCTCGGCTCGTCCGGCCAGTTTGGCCAAGATCGCTGCAGGTGACAAGAGTTGCAATGCGTACCTAGCGATTGCATTGTGAGTGCGGTGTTACACAGGTCACCAGACTGGGGTGCAACGCACCGCAACGAGCTGTCAGAACCCTTGGCGGCAAGCCGGTCTAGAACGCCCTCTCCAAGCTTCAAGCCTTCGATGTTGGCACGCAGTTGAAGCACCTTCGCAATGGCGTCTTGGTTGTACGGCATCGTTTTCACGATCAAACAGCTGCATTGGCGTGAGCACAGGTGACGGTCATATGATCGGGCATACGTACCGGTCAAGCAGGTCCACTGGTATGCCGTGCGCTGAATAGATGTCTGTCGTGCCACGCACAAGAGTGTGGCCACGGTTCGTGGCAAGCACCACGGTGGGAGCCATGGGTGATTCTAGTAGAGCATTAAGATATGTGAAGCACTCTATGTCTAGCATGTGGACCTGGACAAGCGGGTGAATATTTGCGCCAACCAGACAAACGAAAGACTCGCCTCGTCGATGAACACTACACCAGGGACGACCTCCGCTACACCCTGGTCAACGTATCCCTTCACCACTCGGTTCACCTCTCGCCGCAGCTTCTCCGTGATTTCTGTCCGACCGCTTTTCACGAGATTGCCCATCACGCTCATGATGTCTTGCCCTCCTTGTGGTCGAGCGTTCGCAGCATCCAGATCTCCCAGCGTCACGTCTTGTACAAGCTCCTTCTTTTTGTGCACGTCGCCTTTGGGTAGGGGGACGTAGGTTTCGGATTCCAAGTCGTAAGACGACGCATACGCGTCGGATCGGCCAACGCGCTGAACCTTTGTCGGCAAACGGATGCACGAGAAAGTCGCTGAAAAGACGCACCTTCACCGCACCAGTATTTGCTTCGACATAGATCACGTCCCCAATCTGAATCTTCTCCTTCAAAATGGCTTCATAGATCGTGGGGTCCAAGCGCAGTTGCTTCGTCCCCCGCACCGTTTTGAGCCCGACGACGACGTGCGAAACGGTCTTCCCGTACCCACTCAAAGGGTTCTCGGACTCCGTTGGCGTCAGCTCCGTGACCTCTCCTTCGTAAACCTCCTTCGTCTCCTTTATCCGTAGACCTGCATGTGCATCGACGCATGCCTTGAGCGCACACAGTCAACCTCGAGCGCGTATAACCACGTACCGATTGCCCGGCGGAACGCCTCAGCCAAAATCTCCGTCTTTTTCACTTCCGTCGAGTACACCTCCGAGCCGACCATCGGGCAGAACGGGACCTTCGAGCCCAATTCCTGGGATATCGCGAGCGCGAGCGCGGTCTTCCCGGTCCCTGGAGGGCCCACCAGCAGCAATGCCCGGCCAGAGAACTTGCGCGACTTGATGAGGTCCACCACGACCCCACATGCCTGTAGTCGAACGCGCCGTCAGGATCGCTCTGAGTTCTTCGTTCATCGTGCGGCTCGATCGCGCAAAGGATGCAGCTCACCTCTCGCGCGGGGTTCTGGCCGACGAAACCCGCGCTGTCTGATGCAGCGAAGCCTTCCGAGTTGAGCCCGAGGCCTTTTATGTGGGAGTGGGGGGCAATGCGCGAGGAGCGGCCGGCGGAGACTGTGGGTGGAGGCGGAACGGCGTTGTGGGCAACGGGCGCCGAGGACGACGCGCCGGCGGTGGAGGGGCGCATAACACTGGACATGTTGGTGCCGAGAACGCGAAGGGACGACGGCGTCGACGAGGACGAGGACGGGGGAAGAGGGGGCGCGCGCGGCCCTCGCGCCGTACAGTTTGAATTTCGAAGCCAGCGCAAACGCCTGGGTAAATAATTAGGCTCCGCTCAAAGAAGTGGCTTTGATCGCGCCTATAATTGATCTCCGACTCAAAGTTGCCCACTCGGCTGGAGACTGGAGAGCGCGACGAGCTCGAGTCTGCTTGTGACATCATGCCCCCCTCCTCCTCGAAACCCTTCGTGCAAGCCGGAGAGCCCCTCAACGACTTTCTTCCGTCTTTCTGGCAGCGTCAGATCGATGCCGCTGAACAAGAAACCCCCGACTACCGCCATCCTCCCCTGCCCCTCGCACGCATCAAGAAAGTCATGAAGAGCGATCCGGAAGTCAAGGTATGCTGCCCTTTCCTAGGCTGCTGTATGCGCTTTGTTGATATTTTCGAGCCTTTAGATGATTGCCGCAGACGGTACGTGCCCAGCAGTCCGTGGTCCAAGCCGATCTTAACGCGTCGCAGCTCCCATCCTGTTCTGCAAAGCCTGCGAGAGTACGTCTTGACATCCCGTCCGCGACGCGCCGCTCCTAACACCAGACCATCCAGTCTTTATTTCTGAGATTACTGCGCGCGCGTTCATCATCGCCGACTCGAACAAGCGTCGAACCCTCTCTCGCGCGGACATCGCAAAAGCTCTCAGCAAGTCCGACCAGTTCGACTTCCTCATCGACATTGTCCCTCGAGAAGACCCACCGGGAGGTGCCGCGGCACAAGGCGTCAGCGCTGCCAATCGCCCACCGAAGAAGGTCTCGTCGCCGCTGAACGTATGTGTTTCTCTGCTTTATGGCATTATCATAGTCTTCGGCTCATGGCGTCCATAGGGTGGGCAGGGTGCTGCGGATGTACAAGACGGGTCGTTGGACGATGGGGTCGGCAATGCGGAGGAGGTGCCCGGAGCAGTGGATTTGGATTCCCAGGTGCGTGCCCATCGCATCGTTCCTGGTCCAGTTTCGCTCAGCCCCAGTATCAGCTACGGTCACTGCTCGATTCTCAAGCCCCAATGGAGCCACGGCCGCTGTCATAGACCCCCGTCAGTTCATTCGTCGTGCTGCAAGCTTGTGTATCTGCTACCTCGTGTACTCTGCTACGTGATTCTATCTATCGGTGCCTCGATATGCCATGCATTGATGTCCTCGGTGGTAACGATAGACGTGCGTCGCGCAGCCGCTTAGGCTCCAGTGGCCTAAAAAGCAAGAAAGGCCTTTTTCGGCACTCTCAGATCCTCCACCTGTACAAACTCTTGACGTACGAGAGGTTGGCGGCTCTCGACGTACCCGCCCTTACCAGCATGGCACCAAACCTTAGCCATCTGGTTGTCAAGATCCGCGCCACGAGACCGCCGGTGCATGGTGGTAACACGCCCTTTGGTGCGCTTCCTGAACAGCTGCCCCGAGCCCAAGCACCTCGACATCGCAGCGGCAGAATCAACAGACTGAAGGACTGCCGGAACTTCGCTGGACGGTACTTACCCTCCCCCGCCTCTTGCCTGCAACGTAGAGTTCCTCCACCAGCGCATCGTCCGGCGCACGCCCCACGCCACCACCGCGCCCGCATCCAAAACTCGTTGGGTAAGATACGCTTGCTGAGCCACGTTTACATAGTGTAGGACAGTATGCTATAGGCCCTGCGCAATGAGCTGCTCGTCGCTGACGTCATTCCACCTCTGCACCCCGACGGTCACGGCACCGGTCAGCGGCTTGAAACCATAGAACGTGTGCCCCAACTCGTCGTCTTCGTCCCCCTCTTCCCCACACCTGACGGCGAGCATCACCTCCAGCGTCGGACTCGGCGCGGCGCGCAGGAGCTGGTGCATCCGCGTCGTGACCACCTCCGCGTAGCCGGGCGACTTGCTCGGACGCATGCGAGGCCGAGTCCAGACCTGAAGCCGGGTGGGCTTCGACGCCCTCCGGACCATGAGGCGCATCTCTTCGAGCCGGACGTTGTTCACGATCCACCCCAGTGTGTCCTAGCGACCAGAGGATCAGGACGGGCATCCGTGCTTGGCGAGGGAAAGCAGACGCACCAACAACGACATCAGTTCGTACTGCGGCGGGTCCCTCTTGAGCGTGTCCTCGAGTACCGTCAAGTCGAGCTTCGTGAGCCGCGACACGTACCCAGGAGTGAATTGACCGGGGTGGAAAGCAAAGGGAAAGGCGAGGGAGAGGAGCGTATCGAACGAGTAGATGTGCAAGGCGAGCGAACGTGGGTTGAGCAACTCGAGCACCAGCGGGAGCATCTCCAGCCCCACATCCGGGGGTTCAAACGCGGTCCGAATCTCGTCCACGGGGCGCTGCAGGCCTAGACCGAAGATGGTGACAAGCGGGGCGTCGAGGAGGGCCATGTTTTTCCAGCCGCGCTCGTCGTTCTGCCACGCTGCAGTGGCGGTGATGACTTCCTCGGGGTCCTGGTTGTCGGGAAGATCGTTGACTTCCTCTGGATCGAGGTAGGGTCGCATGGTGTGGTAGGCGTGCATCTCGAGGGAGGAGAGCTTCGGGAACATGGACATGACGTTCTTCGCCTCCAGGAAGAAATTGTTGAACTCCTCGTTGACCGCGAAGGAGAGGTTGAGCGACTGGAGCGCCGAGAACCGCAAGTCGCTCGCGGCCGAGAACATGCCGTTTCGGGAACCTCCGAGGTCAAGTTCGCGGAGCGTACCGCTCATGTTGCGCAGGAAGTGGAACATCATCTTGGGTAGGGGCGCATGGGGGTCCTTCGCCGCGAGAAAATCGGGGCTGAGGTCGAGCTGGGCGGTGTGCACGCCCCAAGACACCCCCTCGAGGAACCGCAGCGTGTCGGGGCCGATCCCGGTGAGCTTGAGGGTCGTTATCGACGTGATATGTGTCAGGGCGGTTGCCAGGGCGGGGTCGAGCGCAAGGTAGAGCTCCACCTCATCGAATTCGAGAACTCGCAGAGCGGGGGCAGATTGGAGCGCGCGAAAGAGGCCGAGCAGTGCTTGTACTTGTTCGCGGCGGTCGATGCTGTCCTCGGTGCAGATTTCGACACTCAGCTGAGAGAGACGTCGCCAGCGTTCTTGGTCCTGTGCGCCGAGGAAGGCGGTGAGGAGACGGAGATCGTCGATGGAGCGGACGTGCGCTTGGCGACCCTTGTGGAGAAAGAGTGACGCGCGTTCGTTCACAATCCGACACGTATTCATGAGTTGGACTATATCATAGTCCGAGTCGCACTGTCCAGCGACCTCAATGAGGACGTCCACAGGGAGGAGCGGTTGTAGAACCTTGCACGAAATCAGTGAATTAGAAACTAGCTAATAACGCGTCTCGAGCGACTCACGACGTTCATGTCGACGTTATCAGAGAAGTGATGTGACTGAAGGTGGGGCTTGAGCAGAAGACACTATGGTTCCGAAGATGGGCGTGCCTTTTGAACGTCTCAGCATCGGGCGCTTCCACGGTGCAGTACGCAGAGACAAAGAGGTCCATGGACGAATAAGACAAGGGGGGCACCACGTATACAACGAGGTGCTTTGCACGAGGCGATGGCTGTTGCCAACCAGTGTCAACGTAGGAGGCACTCTTGTCCATATCAGGCAACTCCCCGGTACGATGACGATCCACTCCTTGTATTTGGGTGGCACAACAGGGTGACATTGGCACCTGATGCAATGATCGTTACACAAAGTAGTGCATGCCATGATCGTCACGGATCTAGGGCCTTGATCAGTCATTGTACATCATCCACAACTGCCCACCGGCAAACGCGAACCAAGCGGTGTAACTCACATTGGAGCTAGTACTCGGCATCACCGAACTGGACTCCGCGCACGACGCCCTACAAGCGCAGCTGTAGCCTCGCTTCCGGACAACCCCTTGATCGTGATCATGGACTACACCGTGCCTAGCAACGGGCCCGCTGTTTGAAAGCGGTGCGTGGGTTCGTCGAGGTTACGGATGCTGAAGCTATACGCGGCGTTCAAAAGGTCCACGTCCGTCGCGCTGGGAGACGCCTGGCGTTTGAGAGAGGGGAGGAGGCTGAAGCATAGGAAGGCGAGGGCGATGAATAGTAAGGGGAACAGGAGGGAGAGACGAGCCTGTACGAAACCCTGATAGTCAACATAGAGCGCATACACAGAGTAAAGAAATCTCACCATCATCTCCAGCACGTCAACCGTCAAAATCTGGGACAGTATCAAGCCTCCGCAGATGATGTCCGCCTCGAAGTACTCGATCTGTCAGACAGGTACCGCACGACCCGTTGCTCTGAGAACACCATTAGGTCCCCGATGTGAACCAGAGAAATGGGGCCCAAAGACTTACGAATTCATGAGCGGCGCGCGACAGCTGGTGAGCTCCTTCCACATACCAAACGGGTCTTGGTCGATGACGGTCGTTGGCGTCCGAGCCCGGATCTCAGGAATCCGATTACTCCTCGATCTTCGCTAGTCACCCTTCGACCGGGAGTCACGGAGCATCTGGGACCCCAGCCATCCAACCTCGCCCAAGTGGGACGTCCTCGGGGATGCAGACGACACCACCGTCTCCGCATCAGTTAACATATCCACTATCATGGGGCCAAGTCTCTCCCAGGCCACGACCTCATTTGCATCGACCAAGGGGGTGGTTTTCGCCCTTCACTGCGCTGAACAGACCATAAGGAAACGATGGAGTAGGGAGACGAGTCGAACGTACTGCGAACTGCCTCCACCCATCCTCGGATGTGCCTGGATTCGTGTGTACTCTTCTTCGGATACTTGAAATAGCCAAAATGGAAGGACACAACTTACAAGTGTTTCGGTGGCTGACCAGGAGGGCTGATAACGTTTGTGGCAAGGCCTGGCAGCCTAAGTTCGGCAAGCTGCAAAACTCTGTTTCAAATTGAAAGACATACCTTGGCTCAACAACACATCACAAGTATATCCCATGCCGCAAATTCCCTCGTGCACTACCACCGAGGCCTGATTCTCATCTCGTGGAAGTGATGTCGCATAGACGAGGCCTGCCGAAGCACCTACGATGTCGCCTTGAGCGCATACCTCGTACCACAGTTGACGAGAGGTACGTACGCGACTTGGGTGGTATGAGAAGAGAACATGGCGGGAACGAGGCCGAGTTGCTCGTGGACGGACGCGAGGAAGAGACAGCCTCAGACCGAGCTCAGCGCTCACTGCTCGAAAAGGGGCACCAGCGCCAACCAGTCCACGGTCCGCATTCTCCGGGGCCGGGTCCGAGATTCTCGCGCTCTTTCGACTCTCTTGCACCTCTGTCAACTTCAATGACAATTTTCGAGCTGCACCACGAACGGGTGCGTGTTTCTCACCGTTTAGGGGTCGATTTACGACAGTGGAAATTTTGGGCTTGCACAATAACGACACACAGTGAGTGCGAGCTCAGTCGGGGACAGTAACGACTGAGGTATGAGCGAGCGGCCGAGCGAGCGCTATGCCGGGGCTCCTCGGAGAGCGCCGAAGAACTGTACAGTACCAACTAAACTAAAATAGGTAAGACAGTATCGGACGTCCGTCCTCGAGCTGTATCGTAGGAGATAAGATAATCAACACTCCCCCTCAGCGAGAAGAGATGGATGACGATGGAGCAAGGCCGAGGGAGGCGGTGTGACGACGGTGGACATCGGTGGAGAGCCCTTTGGTGAGGATGTCCGCAACGTTCTTGGCACCTGCGACATGCTCAAATGCGAAGTAGCCCTTACGAGCCGCCTCGCGAATCCAGTAGTATGCAATATTGACATGTTTGGTTCGGTTGCTGACCTCGTCGGTGTTCTTGAGCATTCGAATCGCGGTGGTGCTGTCCATGTGGAAGAGTGTGGAGGGAGAGTTGTTCATGGGAAGGAAACCAAGCTCCTGGAGCAGCTGACGCATCCATACGATCTCGCGCCCGCAATTCTCAGCCGAGTAGAACTCCGCCTCCGTTGTGGAGCATGCGACTGTCGTCTGCTTCTTCGCGGACCACGCGATGCATCCCTGTCCGATAAAGATGGCGTACCCGGACGTGGACTTCACAGCTGGTTGGTCGGCGTGTGATGCATCGCACCACGCGACAGGGAAGATCGAGCCCTCGCCACCAACGGTGAGAGTGTAGTCCCGGGTGCCCTTGAGGTACTGAAATATCCGCTTGACGGCACGCCAGTGAGTCTTGTTTGGGTTCGACATGTACTGAGCGACGTTCTGTACTGCCTTCGAGATGTCCGGTCGAGTGTGAACCGCAATGTGCATGAGTGTACCGACCGCTGCCGGGAACTTCACACGGCGCATGAAAGCGGCTTCGTCTTCGTCCAAAGGACCGATCTGTGGTTCGAGCTTCGTGCTGAGATCCATCGGGGATGTGACCGGCAGGACTTCAGCGAATCCGAACTCTTCAAGTGCAGCGTTGATCTTGTGCGCGTGCGAGAAGGAGATGGTGCGAGCTTCGCGGTCGCGTGTGACCTGAACACCAAGCAGGAGAGATACCTCTCCGTTGTCCTTTATCGGCACATGCTTCGCGATCTCGGCCTTGAGAGATTCGGCGTCGACGTCGTTCGCGCAGAAGAGGGCGAGATCATCGACATGGGATGTGATGGCTTCGAACTTGTCTCCGCGTCGTCGGAAGAAGATGCATGGGTCGGCGAGTGAGACTGTGAAGCCAAGTTCGAGTAGGATCTCGCGGAGTTTGCGGTACCAGAGATGCCCAGATTGTCGGAGACCGTAGAGCGCTTTCTTGATGCGCCAGACCAAGTGCTCGAGTCCGGGTTGCGCGAAACCTGGTGGCTGCTTCACGAATGCCTCCTGATCTTCAGGGATGTCGCTGTTCAAGAAGGCGCTGTCGACATCGACGACGTGGATGGCCATACCTAGCATGGCAGCTATAGCCATGAGTGTTCGCATCGCCTCGGGCTTGACGACCGGAGCATGAGTGTCGAAGAAGTCGACACCCGGCTTCTGCGAGAACCCTTGCGCAACAAGTCTAGCCTTGTAGCGGATGATTCGGCCAGCAGTGTCGCGCTTCAAGGCGTATACCCACTTGGTGCCGATCGCTGATCGGCCGCGAGGGAGGTTGACGAGTTCGAAGGTACCGAGAGTCGAGATCGATTCAAGCTCCTTCATCATAGCGGCGATCCACTCTTCGGCGTCTGGTGAGTCAACCGCAGAATGGTAGGACTTTGGCTCTTCTCCGGTCGAGACGTAACAGTGGTCTAGGAGAGCATCAAGGAAGAGCGTTGCGTCGACCTCTTCCTCGGACTCGTTACTAGGTGAGTGTGGCTCAGCGTCGTTGTCGTCGCCTGAACGAGTTTGCAGATCGTCTCCTTCGTCCGGGACTTCCTCGATGCGTGCGGCCTGGTTCTTCGTAGCTTTCAGCTCCATGATGCGTGTCGATCGTCGTGAAGGCTCGGTTCCATGCTTCTCGCGTCGAGTGCGACGTGTTCGTGGACGTGCTCCGACGTCTGTAGGAGGCTGAGGTACGTCTGGCTCCTCGCGATGCGGTGGTAGTGGTACATGTTCTTGTTGCGCTGGTCGAGCATCGGCAGGTGTGGTTGCAGTGTGCGGGTTGTTGTTCGGAAGCTCGTCGTCTTCCTCGGTAGGGTAGAAGAGCGAGTTGTAGAGTGGCTCCCCCTCAGCCTGCGCACTGTTACCACGTCGTGGCCACCCGTTGATGTCGTCATGAAAATCGACGTGGATGGACGAGTGAAGCTGCCAGGAGGAGGGTTCAAGCACCTGGTAAGCCTTCTGCGTTGGTGCGTATCCAAGAAATACGCCCTCAACCGCGCGCGCTTCAAGCTTGTTGTGCGACGGGGTGTCGCCCACGTAGACGTAGGCTCGACATCCGAAACGGTGAAGGAAGGCGTAGTCCGGGGGATGACCGAAACGTGCAGTGAACGGTGTTTTGCGACCAGGCAGTGCGGAGGTAGGGTTGCGATTCTTCGTGTAGACGATATAGTTGACCGCTTCGCCCCATAGAGAGAGAGGGAGTCCGGCATCGATGAGGATTGTCCGAGCGCGGTCGAAGATGCTTCGGTTCTGGCGTTCGGCCACACCGTTCTGCTCCGGAGTGCGTGGCGAGGACGTCTCAAGCCGGATGCCGGAGGAAGTGCACAGCTCCGAGAAGCTGTGGTTGACGAACTCCCCGCCGTTGTCCGCCCGGATCGTGTCGAGTTTCTGCCCCGTCTCGCGCTCCGCGCGCTTCAGCCACTCCGTGAACGTGTCAAACGCTTCGGATTTGCGGCGCAGGAAGCCTACCCACACCCAGCGCGACCAGTGGTCCGTGAACGTGATGAGGTACCTGTGCCCTGATCGAGTTTGAACGGGAGCCGGTCCCCATAGGTCCATTGAGACGAGCTGCAGGCATCGCTCGGGACGCGCACCAGAAGAGCCAGTAGATGGTGGGAACGACGCGCGTGTCATCTTGCCCTTTACGCATGAGGGACAGGGTGGGTTTGGGATGCGCAGCTGTGTAGGCGTGAGCTTCATCCCAGGGAGTCGTCCAGACCGCGC